AATATTCATATAAAATATAGTTAAAATCGATTAAAAAATGGTATTGCACCTTCAGTCAGAAGCTTAAAACTAAGTGAAGGAGTCATTTCCGACCCCATAAATCATATATATTCTTGATCAGCATCTACAGGCCTTTCTTTATAGCTTTATCCGGCCGAAAAAAATATTTTCTGAATATTCCCATTTTTCGGAAAAAAGGAAAGGGGTTACATCATTAAAATTTGCAAAAATCGGACAAAAATTCACATTTTAAATGAAGTATGCAGCTTGTTAACCTGCTAAAAACTAACATCGGAATGCTTTCCGAATTGAAATTCATGCATTTTGGCTGAGTTATGACATTTTACATTTTAATTTGACCAAAAATATTCATATAAAAATATAGTTAAAATCGATTAAAAAATGGTATTGCACCTTCAGTCAGAAGCTTAAACTAAGTGAAGGAGTCATTTCCGACCCCATAAATCATATATATTCTTGATCAGCATCTACAGGCCTTTCTTTCTAGCTTTATCCGGCCGAAAAAAAATTTTTTCTGAAATTCCCATTTTTCGGAAAAAGGAAAGGGGTTACATCATTAAAATTTGCAAAAATCGGACAAAAATTCACATTTTAAATGAAGTATGCAGCTTTGTTAACCTGCTAAAACTAACATCGGAATGCTTTCCGAATTGAAATCAATGCATTTTGGCTGAGTTATGACATTTTTACATTTTAATTTGACCAAAAAATATCATATAAAAATATAGTTAAAATCGATTAAAAAATGGTATTGCACCTTCAGTCAGAAGCTTAAAACTAAGTGAAGGAGTCATTTCCGACCCCATAAATCATATATATTCTTGATCAGCATCTACAGGCCTTTCTTCTAGCTTTATCCGGCCGAAAACAAATTTTTCTGAAAATTCCCATTTTCGGAAAAAAGGAAAGGGGTTACATCATTAAAATTTGCAAAAATCGGACAAAAATTCACATTTTAAATGAAGTATGCAGCTTTGTTAACCTGCAAAAACTAACATCGGAATGCTTTCCGAATTGAAATCAATGCATTTTGGCTGAGTTATGACATTTTACATTTAATTTGACCAAAAATATTCATATAAAAATATAGTTAAAATCGATTAAAAAATGGTATTGCACCTTCAGTCAGAAGCTTAAAACTAAGTGAAGGAGTCATTTCCGACCCCATAAATCATATATATTCTTGATCAGCATCTACAGGCCTTTCTTTCTAGCTTTATCCGGCCGAAAAAAATATTTTCTGAAAATTCCCATTTTCGGAAAAAAGGAAAGGGGTTACATCATTAAAATTTGCAAAAATCGGACAAAAATCACATTTTAAATGAAGTATGCAGCTTGTTAACCTGCTAAAAACTAACATCGGAATGCTTTCCGAATTGAAATCAATGCATTTTGGCTGAGTTATGACATTTTTACATTTAATTTGACCAAAAAATATTCATATAAAAATATAGTTAAAATCGATTAAAAAATGGTATTGCACCTTCAGTCAGAAGCTTAAAACTAAGTGAAGGAGTCATTTCCGACCCCATAAATCATATATATTCTTGATCAGCATCTACAGGCCTTTCTTTCTAGCTTTATCCGGCCGAAAACAAATTTTTCTGAAAATTCCCATTTTTCGGAAAAAAGGAAAGGGGTTACATCATTAAAATTTGCAAAAATCGGACAAAAATTCACATTTTAAATGAAGTATGCAGCTTTGTTAACCTGCTAAAAACTAACATCGGAATGCTTTCCGAATTGAAATCAATGCATTTTTGGCTGAGTTATGACATTTTACATTTTAATTTGACCAAAAAATATTCATATAAAAATATAGTTAAAATCGATTAAAAAATGGTATTGCACCTTCAGTCAGAAGCTTAAAACTAAGTGAAGGAGTCATTTCCGACCCCATAAATCATATATATTCTTGATCAGCATCTACAGGCCTTTCTTTATAGCTTTATCCGGCCGAAAAAAAATATTTCTGAATATTCCCATTTTTCGGAAAAAAGGAAAGGGGTTACATCATTAAAATTTGCAAAAATCGGACAAAAATTCACATTTTAAATGAAGTATGCAGCTTTGTTAACCTGCTAAAAACTAACATCGGAATGCTTTCCGAATTGAAATTCATGCATTTTTGGCTGAGTTATGACATTTTTACATTTTAATTTGACCAAAAAATATCATATAAAAATATAGTTAAAATCGATTAAAAAATGGTATTGCACCTTCAGTCAGAAGCTTAAAACTAAGTGAAGGAGTCATTTCCGACCCCATAAATCATATATATTCTTGATCAGCATCTACAGGCCTTTCTTTCTAGCTTTATCCGGCCGAAAACAAAATTTTTTCTGAAAATTCCCATTTTTCGGAAAAAAGGAAAGGGGTTACATCATTAAAATTTGCAAAAATCGGACAAAATTCACATTTTAAATGAAGTATGCAGCTTTGTTAACCTGCTAAAAACTAACATCGGAATGCTTTCCGAATTGAAATCAATGCATTTTGGCTGAGTTATGACATTTTACATTTTAATTTGACCAAAAAATATGCATATAAAAATATAGTTAAAATCGATTAAAAAATGGTATTGCACCTTCAGTCAGAAGCTTAAAACTAAGTGAAGGAGTCATTTCCGACCCCATAAATCATATATATTCTTGATCAGCATCTACAGGCCTTTCTTATAGCTTTATCCGGCCGAAAAAAAATATTTTCTGAATATTCCCATTTTTCGGAAAAAAGGAAAGGGGTTACATCATTAAAATTTGCAAAAATCGGACAAAAATTCACATTTTAAATAAGTATGCAGCTTTATTAACCTGCGAAAAACTAACATCGGAATGCTTTCCGAATTGAAATTCATGCATTTTGGCTGAGTTATGACATTTTTACATTTTAATTTGACCAAAAAATTTCATATAAAAATATAGTTAAAATCGATTAAAAAATGGTATTGCACCTTCAGTCAGAAGCTAAAACTAAGTGAAGGAGTCATTTCCGACCCCATAAATCATATATATTCTTGATCAGATCTACAGGCCTTTCTTTCTAGCTTTATCCGGCCGAAAAAAATATTTTCTGAAAATTCCCATTTTTCGGAAAAAAGGATAGGGTTATATCATTAAAATTTGCAAAAATCGGACAAAAATTCACATTTAAATGAAGTATGCAGCTTTGTTAACCTGCTAAAAACTAACATCGAATGCTTCCGAATTGAAATTCATGCATTTTGGCTGAGTTATGACATTTTACATTTCAATTGACCAAAAAATATTCATATAAAAATATAGTTAAAATCGATTAAAAAATGGTATTGCACCTTCAGTCAGAAGCTTAAAACTAAGTGAAGGAGTCATTTCCGACCCCATAAATCATATATATTCTTGATCAGCATCTACAGCCTTCTTTCTAGCTTTATCCGGCCGAAAAAAAATATTTTCTGAAAATTCCCATTTTTCTGAAAAAAGGAAAGGGTTACATCATTAAAATTTTCAAAATCGGACAAAAATTCACATTTTAAATGAAGTATGCAGCTTTGTTAACCTGCTAAAAACTAACATCGGAATGCTTCCGAATTGAAATCAATGCATTTTGGCTGAGTTATGACATTTTTACATTTTAATTTGACCAAAAAATATGCATATAAAAATATAGTTAAAATCGATTAAAAATGTATTGCACCTTCAGTCAGAAGCTTAAACTAAGTGAAGGAGTCATTCCGACCCCATAAATCATATATATTCTGATCAGCATCTACAGGCCTTTCTTTCTAGCTTTATCCGGCCGAAAACAAATTTTTCTGAAAATTCCCATTTTTCGAAAAAAAGGAAAGGGGTTACATCATTAAAATTTGCAAAAATCGGACAAAAATTCACATTTTAAATGAAGTATGCAGCTTGTTAACCTGCTAAAAACTAACATCGGAATGCTTCCGAATGAAATCAATGCATTTTGGCTGAGTTATGACATTTTACATTTAATTTGACCAAAAAATATGCATATAAAATATAGTTAAAATCGATTAAAAAATGGTATTGCACCTTCAGTCAGAAGCTTAAAACTAAGTGAAGGAGTCATTTCCGACCCCATAAATCATAATATTCTTGATCAGCATCTACAGCCTTTCTTTCTAGCTTTATCCGGCCGAAAACAAATTTTTTCTGAAAATTCCCATTTTTCTGAAAAAAGAAAGGGTACATCATTAAAATTTGCAAAAATCGGACAAAAATTCACATTTTAAATAAGTATGCAGCTTTATTAACCTGCTAAAAACTAACATCGGAAGCTTTCCGAATTGAAATTCATGCATTTTTGGCTGAGTTATGACATTTTACATTTAATTTGACCAAAAAATTTCATATAAAAATATAGTTAAAATCGATTAAAAAATGGTATTGCACCTTCAGTCAAAGCTTAAAACTAAGTGAAGGAGTCATTTCCGACCCATAAATCAATATATTCTTGATCAGCATCTACAGGCCTTTCTTTCTAGCTTTATCCGGCCGAAAAAAAATATTTCTGAAAATTCCATTTTCGGAAAAAAGGATAGGGTTATATCATTAAAATTGCAAAAATCGGACAAAAATTCACATTTTAAATGAAGTATGCAGCTTGTAACCTGCTAAAAACTAACATAGGAATGCTTTCCGAATTGAAATTCATGCATTTTTGGCTGAGTTATGACATTTTTACATTTTAATTTGTCCAAAAAATATTCATATAAAAATATAGTTAAAGTCGATTAAAAAATGGTATTGCACTTTCAGTCAAAAGCTTAAAACTTAGTGAAGGACCGTTCTTCAGATAAAACTCATAAAAATTTTTATATTATGTATTACTTTATTGTTTCAAAATTTAATAGCCCAACAAGCACAAGAAAAATTTATAAGCTTTTAGTTTTACCAAAACTATATGTATATTAAGTTTTAAAATCATTAATTGTATTATTCAATGATCGCCAAAAGAAAGTTGGCAGGGAGCCAAACGGATTTGGTAATTGTGGCAGTGACGGTAGGCTTGGTAGTGTAATTTCAGGCAAGGTAACCAGAGTTAAATTAACTTCCGGCAACTGTGGTAAAGCCGGAGGCCATGGAGGCAAAGGAAGAGGAAGTTCGGGAACAGGCAACGGCAGAGGCAGAACTGGTGGAGGAAAGGGTATTGGCAGGGGCAGAGGTGGAAGATCAGGAAGTGGAAGAAAGGACAATCCAGGATCAGCGGGCTTGTGATAATGAATATGGTGGTGGTGATGGATATGTTCCGACTCCATGGTTGAAATAGACTCTTTCGTCGTTGCCAACTGCGTTGTCGTCTCAGTAGTTAGTTCGGCGCTGGTTGTGTTATGACCCGATGGGGCGACAGTAGTAGTTGGCTCTTTTGTGCTCATTGGAGTAGTTGTTTTAAGAGTAGTCTTCGCAGTTGTTGGTTCATTTGTTGTTTTAGCAGTCGTAGTCCTAAGAGTAGTAGTTTTCTCGGTCGTAGGTTCCTTTGTGGTCTTCGCAGTAGTCGTTTTTAAAGTAGTCGTCTTCGCCGTTGTTGGTTCATTTGTCGTTTTAGCAGTCGTAGTCTTAAAAGGAGTAGTTTTTCTGTCGTAGGCTCCCTTGTGGTCTTCGCAGTAGTCGTTTTTAAAGTAGTCGTCTTCGCCGTTGTTGGTTCATTTGTTGTTTTAGCAGTCGTAGTCCTAAGGGTAGTAGTTTTCTCGGTCGTAGGCTCCTTTGTGGTCTTCGCAGTCGTAGTTTTTAAAGTAGTCGTCTTCGCAGTTGTTGGTTCATTTGTCGTTTTAGCAGTCGTAGTCTTAAGAGTAGTAGTTTTTTCTGTCGTAGGCTCCCTTGTGGTCTTCGCAGTAGTCGTTTTAAAGTAGTCGTCTTCGCAGTTGTTGGTTCATTTGTCGTTTTAGCAGTCGTAGTCCTAAGGGTAGTAGTTTTCTCGGTCGTAGGTTCCTTTGTGGTCTTTGCAGTCGTCGTTTTTAAAGTAGTCGTCTTCGCAGTTGTTGGTTCATTTGTCGTTTTAGCAGTCGTAGTCTTAAGAGTAGTAGTTTTTTCTGTCGTAGGCTCCCTTGTGGTCTTCGCAGTAGTCGTTTTAAAGTAGTCGTCTTCGCCGTTGTTGGTTCATTTGTTGTTTTAGCAGTCGTAGTCCTAAGGGTAGTAGTTTTCTCGGTCGTAGGTTCCTTTGTGGTCTTTGCAGTCGTCGTTTTTAAAGTAGTCGTCTTCGCAGTTGTTGGTTCATTGTCGTTTAGCAGTCGTAGTCTTAAGAGTAGTAGTTTTTTCTGTCGTAGGCTCCCTTGTGGTCTTCGCAGTAGTCGTTTTTAAAGTAGTCGTCTTCGCCGTTGTTGGTTCATTTGTTGTTTTAGCAGTCGTAGTCCTAAGGGTAGTAGTTTTCTCGGTCGTAGGTTCCTTTGTGGTCTTTGCAGTCGTCGTTTTTAAAGTAGTCGTCTTCGCAGTTGTTGGTTCATTTGTCGTTTTAGCAGTCGTAGTCTTAAGAGTAGTAGTTTTTTCTGTCGTAGGCTCCCTTGTGGTCTTCGCAGTAGTCGTTTTTAAAGTAGTCGTCTTCGCCGTTGTTGGTTCATTTGTCGTTTTAGCAGTCGTAGTCTTAAGAGTAGTAGTTTTTTCTGTCGTAGGCTCCCTTGTGGTCTTCGCAGTAGTCGTTTTTAAAGTAGTCGTCTTCGCAGTTGTTGGTTCATTTGTCGTTTTAGCAGTCGTAGTCCTAAGGGTAGTAGTTTTCTCGGTCGTAGGTTCCTTTGTGGTCTTTGCAGTCGTCGTTTTTAAAGTAGTCGTCTTCGCCGTTGTTGGTTCATTTGTCGTTTTAGCAGTCGTAGTCCTAAGAGTAGTAGTTTTTTGGGTCGTAGGCTCCCTTGTGGTCTTTGCAGTCGTCGTTTTTAAAGTAGTCGTCTTCGCAGTTGTTGGTTCATTTGTCGTTTTAGCAGTCGTAGTCCTAAGGGTAGTAGTTTTCTCGGTCGTAGGTTCCTTTGTGGTCTTCGCAGTAGTCGTTTTTAAAGTAGTCGTCTTCGCAGTTGTTGGTTCATTTGTCGTTTTAGCAGTCGTAGTCCTAAGGGTAGTAGTTTTCTCGGTCGTAGGTTCCTTTGTGGTCTTTGCAGTCGTCGTTTTTAAAGTAGTAGTCTTCGCAGTTGTTGGTTTATTTGTCGTTTTAGCAGTCGTAGTCCTAAGGGTAGTAGTTTTCTCGGTCGTAGGTTCCTTTGTGGTCTTTGCAGTCGTCGTTTTTAAAGTAGTCGTCTTCGCAGTTGTTGGTTCATTTGTCGTTTTAGCAGTCGTAGTCTTAAGAGTAGTAGTTTTTTCGGTCGTAGGCTCCCTTGTGGTCTTCGCAGTAGTCGTTTTTAAAGTAGTCGTCTTCGCAGTTGTTGGTTCATTTGTCGTTTTAGCAGTCGTAGTCCTAAGGGTAGTAGTTTTTTCGGTCGTAGGTTCCTTTGTGGTCTTCGCAGTAGTCGTTTTAAAGTAGTTGTCTTCTCTGTTGTTGGTTCATTTGTCGTTTTAGCAGTCGTAGTCCTAAGAGTAGTAGTTTTTTCGGTCGTAGGTTCCTTTGTGGTCTTCGCAGTCGTCGTTTTTAAAGTAGTTGTCTTCTCTGTTGTTGGTTCATTTGTCGTTTTAGCAGTCGTAGTCCTAAGGGTAGTAGTTTTCTCGGTCGTAGGTTCCTTTGTGGTCTTTGCAGTCGTCGTTTTTAAAGTAGTCGTCTTCGCAGTTGTTGGTTCATTTGTCGTTTTAGCAGTCGTAGTCCTAAGAGTAGTAGTTTTTTGGGTCGTAGGCTCCCTTGTGGTCTTTGCAGTCGTCGTTTTTAAAGTAGTCGTCTTCGCAGTTGTTGGTTCATTTGTCGTTTTAGCAGTCGTAGTCCTAAGGGTAGTAGTTTTCTCGGTCGTAGGTTCCTTTGTGGTCTTCGCAGTAGTCGTTTTTAAAGTAGTCTTCGCAGTTGTTGGTTCATTTGTCGTTTTAGCAGTCGTAGTCCTAAGGGTAGTAGTTTTCTCGGTCGTAGGTTCCTTTGTGGTCTTTGCAGTCGTCGTTTTTAAAGTAGTCGTCTTCGCAGTTGTTGGTTCATTTGTCGTTTTAGCAGTCGTAGTCCTAAGGGTAGTAGTTTTCTCGGTCGTAGGTTCCTTTGTGGTCTTTGCAGTCGTCGTTTTTAAAGTAGTCGTCTTCGCAGTTGTTGGTTCATTTGTCGTTTTAGCAGTCGTAGTCCTAAGGGTAGTAGTTTTCTCGGTCGTAGGTTCCTTTGTGGTCTTTGCAGTCGTCGTTTTTAAAGTAGTCGTCTTCGCAGTTGTTGGTTTATTTGTCGTTTTAGCAGTCGTAGTCCTAAGGGTAGTAGTTTTCTCGGTCGTAGGTTCCTTTGTGGTCTTCGCAGTAGTCGTTTTAAAGTAGTCGTCTTCGCAGTTGTTGGTTCATTTGTCGTTTTAGCAGTCGTAGTCCTAAGGGTAGTAGTTTTCTCGGTCGTAGGTTCCTTTGTGGTCTTCGCAGTAGTCGTTTTTAAAGTAGTCGTCTTCGCAGTTGTTGGTTTATTTGTCGTTTTAGCAGTCGTAGTCCTAAGGGTAGTAGTTTTCTCGGTCGTAGGTTCCTTTGTGGTCTTCGCAGTAGTCGTTTTTAAAGTAGTCGTCTTCGCAGTTGTTGGTTCATTTGTCGTTTTAGCAGTCGTAGTCCTAAGGGTAGTAGTTTTTTCGGTCGTAGGTTCCTTTGTGGTCTTCGCAGTAGTCGTTTTTAAAGTAGTTGTCTTCTCTGTTGTTGGTTCATTTGTCGTTTTAGCAGTCGTAGTCCTAAGAGTAGTAGTTTTTTGGGTCGTAGGCTCCTTTGTGGTCTTTGGAGTCGTCGTTTTTAAAGTAGTTGTCTTCGCAGTTGTTGGTTCATTTGTCGTATTAGCAGTCGTAGTCCTAAGGGTAGTAGTTTTTCGGTCGTAGGTTCCTTTGTGGTCTTCGCAGTCGTCGTTTTTAAAGTAGTCGTCTTCGCAGTTGTTGGTTCATTTGTCGTTTTAGCAGTCGTAGTCCTAAGGGTAGTAGTTTTCTCGGTCGTAGGTTCCTTTGTGGTCTTTGCAGTCGTCGTTTTTAAAGTAGTCGTCTTCGCCGTTGTTGGTTCATTTGTCGTTTTAGCAGTCGTAGTCTTAAGAGTAGTAGTTTTTTCTGTCGTAGGCTCCCTTGTGGTCTTCGCAGTCGTCGTTTTTAAAGTAGTTGTCTTCTCTGTTGTTGGTTCATTTGTCGTTTTAGCAGTCGTAGTCCTAAGGGTAGTAGTTTTTTCGGTCGTAGGTTCCTTTGTGGTCTTCGCAGTCGTCGTTTTTAAAGTAGTTGTCTTCTCTGTTGTTGGTTCATTTGTCGTATTAGCAGTCGTAGTCCTAAGGGTAGTAGTTTTTTCGGTCGTAGGTTCCTTTGTGGTCTTCGCAGTCGTCGTTTTTAAAGTAGTTGTCTTTTCTGTTGTTGGTTCATTTGTCGTTTTAGCAGTCGTAGTCCTAAGAGTAGTAGTTTTTTGGGTCGTAGGCTCCTTTGTGGTCTTTGCAGTCGTCGTTTTTAAAGTAGTCGTCTTCGCAGTTGTTGGTTCATTTGTCGTTTTAGCAGTCGTAGTCCTAAGAGTAGTAGTTTTTTGGGTCGTAGGCTCCTTTGTGGTCTTTGCAGTCGTCGTTTTTAAAGTAGTTGTCTTCGCAGTTGTTGGTTCATTTGTCGTTTTAGCAGTCGTAGTCCTAAGAGTAGTAGTTTTTTGGGTCGTAGGCTCCTTTGTGGTCTTTGCAGTCGTCGTTTTTAAAGTAGTTGTCTTCGCAGTTGTTGGTTCATTTGTCGTTTTAGCAGTCGTAGTCCTAAGAGTAGTAGTTTTTTGGGTCGTAGGCTCCTTTGTGGTCTTTGCAGTCGTCGTTTTTAAAGTAGTCGTCTTCGCAGTTGTTGGTTCATTTGTCGTTTTAGCAGTCGTAGTCCTAAGGGTAGTAGTTTTTTCGGTCGTAGGTTCCTTTGTGGTCTTTGCAGTCGTCGTTTTTAAAGTAGTCGTCTTCGCAGTTGTTGGTTTATTCGTCGTTTTAGCAGTCGTAGTCCTAAGAGTAGTAGTTTTTTCGGTCGTAGGCTCCTTTGTGGTCTTTGCAGTCGTCGTTTTTAAAGTAGTCGTCTTCGCAGTTGTTGGTTCATTTGTCGTTTTAGCAGTCGTAGTCCTAAGAGTAGTAGTTTTTTCGGTCGTAGGCTCCCTTGTGGTCTTCGCAGTCGTCGTTTTTAAAGTAGTTGTCTTCGCAGTTGTTGGTTCATTTGTCGTTTTAGCAGTCGTAGTCCTAAGAGTAGTAGTTTTTTGGGTCGTAGGCTCCTTTGTGGTCTTTGCAGTCGTCGTTTTTAAAGTAGTTGTCTTCGCAGTTGTTGGTTCATTTGTCGTTTTAGCAGTCGTAGTCCTAAGAGTAGTAGTTTTTTGGGTCGTAGGCTCCTTTGTGGTCTTTGCAGTCGTCGTTTTTAAAGTAGTCGTCTTCGCAGTTGTTGGTTCATTTGTCGTTTTAGCAGTCGTAGTCCTAAGAGTAGTAGTTTTTTGGGTCGTAGGCTCCTTTGTGGTCTTTGCAGTCGTCGTTTTTAAAGTAGTTGTCTTCGCAGTTGTTGGTTCATTTGTCGTTTTAGCAGTCGTAGTCCTAAGAGTAGTAGTTTTTTGGGTCGTAGGCTCCTTTGTGGTCTTTGCAGTTATCGTTTTTAAAGTAGTTGTCTTCGCAGTTGTTGGTTCATTTGTCGTTTTAGCAGTCGTAGTCCTAAGAGTAGTAGTTTTCTCGGTCGTAGGTTCCTTTGTGGTCTTTGCAGTCGTCGTTTTTAAAGTAGTTGTCCTCGCAGTTGTTGGTTCATTTGTCGTTTTAGCAGTCGTAGTCCTAAGGGTAGTAGTTTTCTCGGTCGTAGGTTCCTTTGTGGTCTTTGCAGTCGTCGTTTTTAAAGTAGTTGTCTTCGCAGTTGTTGGTTCATTTGTCGTTTTAGCAGTCGTAGTCCTAAGAGTAGTAGTTTTTTGGGTCGTAGGCTCCTTTGTGGTCTTTGCAGTCGTCGTTTTTAAAGTAGTCGTCTTCGCAGTTGTTGGTTCATTTGTCGTTTTAGCAGTCGTAGTCCTAAGAGAAGTAGTTTTTTGGGTCGTAGGCTCCTTTGTGGTCTTTGCAGTCGTCGTTTTTAAAGTAGTTGTCTTCGCAGTTGTTGGTTCATTTGTCGTTTTAGCAGTCGTAGTCTTAAGAGTAGTAGTTTTTTGGGTCGTAGGCTCTTTTGTGGTCTTCGCAGTAGTCGTTTTTAAAGTAGTTGTCTTCTCTGTTGTTGGTTCATTTGTCGTATTAGCAGTCGTAGTCCTAAGAGTAGTAGTTTTTTGGGTCGTAGGCTCCCTTGTGGTCTTCGCAGTAGTCGTTTTTAAAGTAGTCGTCTTCGCAGTTGTTGGTTCATTTGTCGTTTTAGCTGTCGTAGGCTTAAGGGTAGTAGTTTTTTTCGGTCGTAGGTTCCTTTGTGGTCTTTGCAGTCGTCGTTTTTAAAGTAGTTGTCCTCGCAGTTGTTGGTTCATTTGTCGTTTTAGCAGTCGTAGTCCTAAGGGTAGTAGTTTTCTCGGTCGTAGGTTCCTTTGTGGTCTTTGCAGTCGTCGTTTTTAAAGTAGTCGTCTTCGCAGTTGTTGGTTCATTTGTCGTTTTAGCTGTCGTAGTCTTAAGAGTAGTAGTTTTTTGGGTCGTAGGCTCTTTTGTGGTCTTCGCAGTAGTCGTTTTTAAAGTAGTCGTCTTCTCTGTTGTTGGTTCATTTGTCGTATTAGCAGTCGTAGTCCTAAGGGTAGTAGTTTTTTCGGTCGTAGGCTCTTTTGTGGTCTTCGCAGTAGTCGTTTTTAAAGTAGTTGTCTTCTCTGTTGTTGGTTCATTTGTCGTATTAGCAGTCGTAGTCCTAAGAGTAGTAGTTTTTTGGGTCGTAGGCTCTTTTGTGGTCTTCGCAGTAGTCGATTTTAAAGTAGTTGTCTTCTCTGTTGTTGGTTCATTTGTCGTTTGAGCAGTCGTAGTCCTAAGAGTAGTAGTTTTTTGGGTCGTAGGCTCCTTTGTGGTCTTCGCAGTAGTCGTTTTTAAAGTAGTTGTCTTCTCTGTTGTTGGTTCATTTGTCGTATTAGCAGTCGTAGTCCTAAGAGTAGTAGTTTTTTGGGTCGTAGGCTCCCTTGTGGTCTTCGCAGTAGTCGTTTTTAAAGTAGTCGTCTTCGCAGTTGTTGGTTTATTTGTCGTTTTAGCAGTCGTTGTCCTAAGAGTAGTAGTTTTTTCGGTCGTAGGTTCCTTTGTGGTCTTTGCAGTAGTCGTTTTTAAAGTAGTTGTCTTCGCAGTTGTTGGTTCATTTGTCGTTTTAGCAGTCGTAGGCCTAAGGGTAGTAGTTTTTTCGGTCGTAGGCTCCCTTGTGGTCTTCGCAGTAGTCGTTTTTAAAGTAGTCGTCTTCGCAGTTGTTGGTTCATTTGTCGTTTTAGCAGTCGTAGTCCTAAGGGTAGTAGTTTTTTCGGTCGTAGGTTCCTTTGTGGTCTTTGCAGTCGTCGTTTTTAAAGTAGTCGTCTTCGCAGTTGTTGGTTTATTCGTCGTTTTAGCAGTCGTAGTCCTAAGAGTAGTAGTTTTTTCGGTCGTAGGTTCCTTTGTGGTCTTTGCAGTCGTCGTTTTTAAAGTAGTTGTCCTCGCAGTTGTTGGTTCATTTGTCGTTTTAGCAGTCGTAGTCCTAAGAGTAGTAGTTTTTTGGGTCGTAGGCTCCCTTGTGGTCTTCGCAGTAGTCGTTTTTAAAGTAGTCGTCTTCGCAGTTGTTGGTTCATTTGTCGTTTTAGCAGTCGTAGTCCTAAGAGTAGTAGTTTTTTCGGTCGTAGGCTCCCTTGTGGTCTTCGCAGTAGTCGTTTTTAAAGTAGTCGTCTTCGCAGTTGTTGGTTCATTTGTCGTTTTAGCAGTCGTAGTCCTAAGAGTAGTAGTTTTTTGGGTCGTAGGCTCCCTTGTGGTCTTCGCAGTAGTCGTTTTTAAAGTAGTCGTCTTCGCAGTTGTTGGTTCATTTGTCGTTTTAGCAGTCGTAGTCCTAAGAGTAGTAGTTTTTTCGGTCGTAGGCTCCCTTGTGGTCTTCGCAGTCGTCGTTTTTAAAGTAGTCGTCTTCGCAGTTGTTGGTTCATTTGTCGTTTTAGCAGTCGTAGTCCTAAGAGTAGTAGTTTTTTGGGTCGTAGGCTCCCTTGTGGTCTTCGCAGTAGTCGTTTTTAAAGTAGTCGTCTTCGCTGTTGTTGGTTCATTTGTCGTTTGAGCAGTCGTAGTCCTAAGAGTAGTAGTTTTTTGGGTCGTAGGCTCTTTTGTGGTCTTCGCAGTAGTCGTTTTTAAAGTAGTTGTCTTCTCTGTTGTTGGTTCATTTGTCGTTTGAGCAGTCGTAGTCCTAAGAGTAGTAGTTTTTTGGGTCGTAGGCTCCTTTGTGGTCTTCGCAGTAGTCGTTTTTAAAGTAGTTGTCTTCTCTGTTGTTGGTTCATTTGTCGTATTAGCAGTCGTAGTCCTAAGAGTAGTAGTTTTTTCGGTCGTAGGTTCCTTTGTGGTCTTTGCAGTAGTCGTTTTTAAAGTAGTTGTCTTCGCAGTTGTTGGTTCATTTGTCGTTTTAGCAGTCGTAGGCCTAAGGGTAGTAGTTTTTTCGGTCGTAGGCTCCCTTGTGGTCTTCGCAGTAGTCGTTTTTAAAGTAGTCGTCTTCGCAGTTGTTGGTTCATTTGTCGTTTTAGCAGTCGTAGGCCTAAGGGTAGTAGTTTTTTCGGTCGTAGGTTCCTTTGTGGTCTTTGCAGTCGTCGTTTTTAAAGTAGTCGTCTTCGCAGTTGTTGGTTTATTCGTCGTTTTAGCAGTCGTAGTCCTAAGAGTAGTAGTTTTTTCGGTCGTAGGTTCCTTTGTGGTCTTTGCAGTAGTCGTTTTTAAAGTAGTTGTCTTCGCAGTTGTTGGTTCATTTGTCGTTTTAGCAGTCGTAGTCCTAAGAGTAGTAGTTTTTTCTGTCGTAGGCTCCCTTGTGGTCTTCGCAGTAGTCGTTTTTAAAGTAGTCGTCTTCGCAGTTGTTGGTTCATTTGTCGTTTTAGCAGTCGTAGGCCTAAGGGTTGTAGTTTTTTCGGTCGTAGGTTCCTTTGTGGTCTTTGCAGTAGTCGTTTTTAAAGTAGTTGTCTTCGCAGTTGTTGGTTTATTTGTCGTTTTAGCAGTCGTAGTCCTAAGAGTAGTAGTTTTTTCGGTCGTAGGTTCCTTTGTGGTCTTTGCAGTCGTCGTTTTTAAAGTAGTTGTCCTCGCAGTTGTTGGTTCATTTGTCGTTTTAGCAGTCGTAGTCCTAAGAGTAGTAGTTTTTTCTGTCGTAGGCTCCCTTGTGGTCTTCGCAGTAGTCGTTTTTAAAGTAGTCGTCTTCGCAGTTGTTGGTTCATTTGTCGTTTTAGCAGTCGTAGTCCTAAGAGTAGTAGTTTTTTCGGTCGTAGGCTCCCTTGTGGTCTTCGCAGTAGTCGTTTTTAAAGTAGTCGTCTTCGCAGTTGTTGGTTCATTTGTCGTTTTAGCAGTCGTAGTCCTAAGAGTAGTAGTTTTTTCTGTCGTAGGCTCCCTTGTGGTCTTCGCAGTAGTCGTTTTTAAAGTAGTCGTCTTCGCAGTTGTTGGTTCATTTGTCGTTTTAGCAGTCGTAGTCCTAAGAGTAGTAGTTTTTTCGGTCGTAGGCTCCCTTGTGGTCTTCGCAGTCGTCGTTTTTAAAGTAGTTGTCTTCTCTGTTGTTGGTTCATTTGTCGTTTTAGCAGTCGTAGTCCTAAGAGAAGTAGTTTTTTGGGTCGTAGGCTCCCTTGTGGTCTTCGCAGTAGTCGTTTTTAAAGTAGTTGTCTTCGCAGTTGTTGGTTCATTTGTCGTTTTAGCAGTCGTAGTCCTAAGAGTAGTAGTTTTTTCTGTCGTAGGTTCTTTGTGGTCTTTGCAGTCGTCGTTTTTAAAGTAGTCGTCTTCGCAGTTGTTGGTTCATTTGTCGTTTTAGCAGTCGTGGTCCTAAGAGTAGTGGTTTTTTCGGTCGTAGGTTCCTTTGTGGTCTTTGGAGTCGTCGTTTTTAAAGTAGTCGTCTTCGCAGTTGTTGGTTCATTTGTCGTTTTAGCAGTCGTAGTCCTAAGGGTAGTAGTTTTTTCGGTCGTAGGTTCCTTTGTGGTCTTTGGAGTCGTCGTTTTTAAAGTAGTTGTCTTCGCAGTTGTTGGTTCATTTGTCGTTTTAGCCGTCGTAGTCCTAAGGGTAGTAGTTTTTTCGGTCGTAGGTTCCTTTGTGGTCTTTGGAGTCGTCGTTTTTAAAGTAGTTGTCTTCGCAGTTGTTGGTTCATTTGTCGTTTTAGCAGTCGTAGTCCTAAGGGTAGTAGTTTTTTCGGTCGTAGGCTCTTTTGTGGTCTTCGCAGTAGTCGTTTTTAAAGTAGTTGTCTTCGCAGTTATTGGTTCATTTGTCGTTTTAGCAGTCGTAGTCCTAAGAGTAGTAGTTTTTTCGGTCGTAGGCTCCTTTGTGGTCTTCGCAGTAGTCGTTTTTAAAGTAGTTGTCTTCGCAGTTGTTGGTTTATTTCTCGTTTTAGCAGTCGTAGTCCTAAGAGTAGTAGTTTTTTCGGTCGTAGGCTCCTTTGTAGTCTTCGCAGTAGTCGTTTTTAAAGTAGTTGTTTTCGCAGTTGTTGGTTCAGTTGTCGTTTTAGCAGTCGTAGTTCTAAGAGTAGTGGTTTTTTCGGTCGTAGGCTCTTTTGTGGTCTTCGCAGTAGTCGTTTTTAAAGTAGTTGTCTTCGCAGTTGTTGGTTCATTTGTCGTTTTAGCAGTCGTAGTCCTGAGAGTAGTAGTATTTTGGGTCGTAGGCTCCTTTGTGGTCTTCGCAGTAGTCGTTTTTAAAGTAGTTGTCTTCGCAGTTGTTGGTTCATTTGTCGTTTTAGCAGTCGTAGTCCTAAGAGTAGTAGTTTTTTCGGTCGTTGGCTCTTTTGTGGTCTTTGCAGTAGTCGTTTTTAAAGTAGTTGTCTTCGCAGTTGTTGGTTCATTTGTCGTTTTAGCAGTCGTAGTCCTGAGAGTAGTAGTATTTTGGGTCGTAGGCTCCTTTGTGGTCTTCGCAGTAGTCGTTTTTAAAGTAGTTGTTTTCGCAGTTGTTGGTTCAGTTGTCGTTTTAGCAGTCGTGGTTCTAAGAGTAGTGGTTTTTTCGGTCGTAGGCTCTTTTGTGGACTTCGCAGTAGTCATTTTTAAAGTAGTTGTCTTCTCTGTTGTTGGTTCATTTGTCGTATTAGCAGTCGTAGTCCTGAGAGTAGTAGTATTTTGGGTCGTAGGCTCCTTTGTGGTCTTCGCAGTAGTCGTTTTTAAAGTAGTTGTCTTCGCAGTTGTTGGTTCATTTGTCGTTTTAGCAGTCGTAGTCCTAAGAGTAGTAGTTTTTTCGGTCGTAGGCTCCTTTGTGGTCTTCGCAGTAGTCGTTTTTAAAGTAGTTGTTCTCGCAGTTGTTGGTTTATTTGTCGTTTTAGCAGTCGTAGTCCTAAGAGTAGTAGTTTTTACGGTCGTAGGCTCCTTTGTAGTCTTCACAGTAGTCGTTTTTAAAGTAGTTGTCTTCGCAGTTGTTGGTTCATTTGTCGTTTTAGCAGTCGTAGTCCTAAGAGTAGTAGTTTTTTCGGTCGTAGGTTCCTTTGTGGTCTTTGCAGTCGTCGTTTTTAAAGTAGTCGTCTTCTCTGTTGTTGGTTCATTTGTCGTTTTAGCAGTCGTAGTCCTAAGAGTAGTAGTTTTTTCTGTCGTAGGCTCATTTGTGGTCTTCGAAGTAGTCGTTTTTAAAGTAGTTGTCCTCGCAGTTGTTGGTTCATTTGTCGTTTTAGCAGTCGTAGTCCTAAGAGTAGTAGTTTTTTCGGTCGTAGGTTCCTTTGTGGTCTTTGCAGTCGTCGTTTTTAAAGTAGTCGTCTTCTCTGTTGTTGGTTCATTTGTCGTTTTAGCAGTCGTAGTCCTAAGAGTAGTAGTTTTTTCGGTCGTAGGCTCCTTTGTAGTCTTCGCAGTAGTCGTTTTTATAGTAGTTGTCTTCGCAGTTGTTGGTTCAATTGTCGTTTTAGCAGTCGTAGTCTTAAGAGTAGTAGTTTTTTCGGTCGTAGGCTCCATTGTGGTCTTTGCAGTAGTCGTTTTTAAAGTAGTTGTCTTCGCAGTTGTTGGTTCATTTGTCGTTTTAGCAGTCGTAGTCCTAAGAGTAGTAGTTTTTTCGGTCGTAGGCTCCTTTGTAGTCTTCGCAGTAGTCGTTTTTATAGTAGTTGTCTTCGCAGTTGTTGGTTCATTTGTCGTTTTAGCAGTCGTAGTCCTAAGAGAAGTAGTTTTTTCTGTCGTAGGTTCCTTTGTGGTCTTTGCAGTAGTCGTTTTTAAAGTAGTCGTCTTCGCAGTTGTTGGTTCATTTGTCGTTTTAGCAGTCGTAGTCCTAAGAGTAGTAGTTTTTTCTGTCGTAGGCTCATTTGTGGTCTTCGAAGTAGTCGTTTTTAAAGTAGTTGTCCTCGCAGTTGTTGGTTCATTTGTCTTTTTAGCAGTCGTAGTCCTAAGAGTAGTAGTTTTTTCGGTCGTAGGCTCCTTTGTAGTCTTCGCAGTAGTCGTTTTTATAGTAGTTGTCTTCGCAGTTGTTGGTTCATTTGTCGTTTTAGCAGTCGTAGTCCTAAGAGTAGTGGTTTTTTCGGTCGTAGGCTCCTTTGTAGTCTTCGCAGTAGTCGTTTTTATAGTAGTTGTCTTCGCAGTTGTTGGTTCATTTGTCGTTTTAGCAGTCGTAGTCCTAAGAGTAGTGGTTTTTTCGGTCGTAGGCTCCTTTGTAGTCTTCGCAGTAGTCGTTTTTATAGTAGTTGTCTTCTCTGTTGTTGGTTCATTTGTCGTTTTAGCAGTCGTAGTCCTGAGAGTAGTAGTTTTTTGGGTCGTAGGCTCATTTGTGGTCTTCGCAGTAGTCGTTTTTATAGTAGTTGTCTTCTCTGTTGTTGGTTCATTTGTCGTTTTAGCAGTCGTAGTCCTAAGAGAAGTAGTTTTTTCGGTCGTAGGCTCCTTTGTAGTCTTCGCAGTAGTCGTTTTTATAGTAGTTGTCTTCGCAGTTGTTGGTTCATTTGTCGTTTTAGCAGTCGTAGTCCTGAGAGTAGTAGTTTTTTGGGTCGTAGGCTCATTTGTGGTCTTCGCAGTAGTCGTTTTTAAAGTAGTTGTCTTCTCTGTTGTTGGTTCATTTGTCGTTTTAGCAGTCGTAGTCCTAAGAGTAGTAGTTTTTTCGGTCGTAGGCTCTTTAGTGGTCTTCGCAGTAGTCGTTTTTAAAGTAGTTGTCTTCTCTGTTGTTGGTTCATTTGTCTTTTTAGCAGTCGTAGTCCTAAGAGTAGTAGTTTTTTCGGTCGTAGGCTCCTTTGTAGTCTTCGCAGTAGTCGTTTTTATAGTAGTTGTCTTCGCAGTTGTTGGTTCATTTGTCGTTTTAGCAGTCGTAGTCCTAAGAGTAGTGGTTTTTTCGGTCGTAGGCTCCTTTGTAGTCTTCGCAGTAGTCGTTTTTATAGTAGTTGTCTTCGCAGTTGTTGGTTCATTTGTCGTTTTAGCAGTCGTAGTCCTAAGAGTAGTGGTTTTTTCGGTCGTAGGCTCCTTTGTAGTCTTCGCAGTAGTCGTTTTTATAGTAGTTGTCTTCTCTGTTGTTGGTTCATTTGTCGTTTTAGCAGTCGTAGTCCTAAGAGTAGTGGTTTTTTCGGTCGTAGGCTCCTTTGTAGTCTTCGCAGTAGTCGTTTTTATAGTAGTTGTCTTCGCAGTTGTTGGTTCATTTGTCGTTTTAGCAGTCGTAGTCCTAAGAGAAGTAGTTTTTTCGGTCGTAGGCTCCTTTGTAGTCTTCGCAGTAGTCGTTTTTATAGTAGTTGTCTTCGCAGTTGTTGGTTCATTTGTCGTTTTAGCAGTCGTAGTCCTGAGAGTAGTAGTTTTTTGGGTCGTAGGCTCATTTGTGGTCTTCGCAGTAGTCGTTTTTAAAGTAGTTGTCTTCTCTGTTGTTGGTTCATTTGTCGTTTTAGCAGTCGTAGTCCTAAGAGTAGTAGTTTTTTCGGTCGTAGGCTCTTTAGTGGTCTTCGCAGTAGTCGTTTTTAAAGTAGTTGTCTTCTCTGTTGTTGGTTCATTTGTCGTATTAGCAGTCGTAGTCCTAAGGGTAGTAGTTTTTTCGGTCGTAGGCTCTTTTGTGGTCTTCGCAGTAGTCGTTTTTAAAGTAGTTGTCTTCTCTGTTGTTGGTTCATTTGTCGTTTTAGCAGTAGTAGTCCTAAGAGTAGTAGTTTTTTCGGTCGTAGGCTCTTTAGTGGTCTTTGCAGTCGTCGTTTTTAAAGTAGTTGTCTTAGCAGTTGTTGGTTCATTTGTCGTTTTAGCAGTCGTAGTCCTAAGAGTCGTAGTCGTTTGCTCCTTGGACAGTGTTGTTGCTCTTTCAGTCGTCTTTACAGTAGTATCTATTTTGGAACCTAGTGGGCATCCGGGAAGAAATGGATCTAAGAAACAATAAAGCGGATATTGTGTTGCTGATTCGATTCCGAGTGTTGTGGCACTGGTGTCCTCAGCTGCATTAACAGCCCGTTGGAGTGCCAGGACAAAGAGAATCCTTAAAACTTCCTGAAATTGTCATTTGGGTGCTTTCAAAATGTTGCTTTAGAAAATTTTTAGGTCTTACCATGGTGAAAGTCCTATGCAGACTATGAATTTGTCCGTCTTTGAAGGTACTTAAATAGTAAGCCAAGGAAATTTATGCTCTTTGATAAGTTTCAAACAGTCAAATTTCAGGGCAGTATACTTACTATAAAGATAAAATGTAATAGTTTATGTCTTTCCATCAACTCTGACTTAAATAAGTGTGTAAGTAGTTTTGCCCACTCAAAGTGTATTTGTATAATTCCGAAAGGTCATAGACTTTGATAAGTTTTCTTTATATTTATGGAAGAGAACAACCACGTGACTCAGTTTTGACTAGCTGTGTTTTATTACACATTAATATATATGAATTCACATAAAAGTTGAGCTGCAATAGTCTAATTGCAGAGTCCGAAGATACCGAAGCGAATCGGACGATCTTATTTGGTACTGGGCTTGGTGTTTAATGTGCAAGTCTCGGGTTAGTTTCTCTCTATTGCTGGTGCCAAAATAAATATTGCTTATGCCTAGGTAAGAGTATGATAAGATAAATAGAACAGAAGGTTTGCAGGCCTAAATGCAATGCGAAAACAGAAATGACAATCGATTGTGCCTTCATAATTGCACAGTGCCCGAAACTCAACCTCCGTCTTGGTGCCACATGCAGTTCTAGTACTATTCCCATTCCCTCGTTTTAGTTGTTGGTGTGGGTATAGTAGAGGACCGTATTGCCGGGCAGCTGCCAGTGGGATGCCTTTAGCTCAATAAGCTGGAGAAGAGTGCGCCGGATGGACGCCGCCGAATCTCCGGCATTGAGAAAGGCATCACGAACAAGGCCCATTAATAACTCCAGTTGCTGAGGTAATTGCTGCTCCATGTCCTGGCCAATGCAGGTGAGCACATAGAACAGACACTCAATCTGAAAAACCGAAATACAATATCACTGATAATAATAATAATTACAAATTCGATATAGGTTCCCACCTCTGAGAGCGATCTTATGGGTGGACGTACGCAATCCTCACAGCACTTGGATAGCAGACTGAGCAATACCAGCGGTGGAGGTGTGCCCTCGTTGTGGGTCCGTAGTTGTAGCTGCCGCCGCTTCAACTGGCAGAACATCTCCGTAAGGAAGGCCATGAAGGCGGTAAAACGAACACGAGATGGCGACTTCATGCCTTGGATGGCAAATAGCAGCTGCGCATAGTTAAATAAAGGAATTACACATGTTTTTGTTAAGCCTTATCATATATTATGAACTCACCTTCTCTCGCTCCTGATACCATTGGCGGCATGTGTTGAGAAGCGCCTCCAAGAAGGTCTCTTTTTGCTCACGGGCGATGATGTTCAAGCAAAGACGCGAGATGGGCAGGGCGAAACGACGACTCTCTACGGCCCGCTTGATGAACTGAGAGGTCAGCTCCATCAGACAGCGTGAATTTAACTTGTTTGGGTCCTCCAGAGCCGTGTCAATCAAAGCCTGGATTTCGGGCGTAAATTGTCCAATATCGGCCACCTCGTTTCCCAAGCCCAATCCCAATCCGGCCATTCCCCGGGTGAGGGCATCAGCCGATGACAATGACTTTGAGCGTTGCAGCGCATTTCCATTCATATAGGGATCCACTTCGATGCCATTCATGTGCGACTGATAAGGCTGTCCGTAATTGTTGTTGAGCTGACCAAACTGGTTGTGGGTGACCTTGTGACCCCTGGGCTCAGGCGCAAACTTTACACGGTTTGTTGTCTGCAATTTATAAGGAAATTGGTCATACACAAATGCACTTATATTTCTGTTCTATGAACTGTCATCTCACATGCAGTATATTGCCACTTGAGGGCGAGTTCATGAGCGGTAGCTGACCGGTCAGGGCACTGGGAGTGATTGGATGTGTCACCAAGATCGACCGATGATGGCTGGCCTTCAGCCCCGGCATGTTGCCCAGTGAGAGACCGGCCTGGCGGCGATTCACGTTGCCGTACTGTCCCAGAGCCGGAGCCACACCGGGACCATTGGTTGGCGGGAAGATCAGCGACGAACTGGAAGAATGTTGTAGACTGTAGTTTAGCTCTGCAAAAAGACGGGAAGAGGGGTAAACGATGGCATTAAAAGACTTTGCATTACCGATTGCTGAGTGCTTCGGCCGGTGCCCCAGAGCTGCTCGTCATTGTAAACTCCTGGGCATTGACGTTAAGCTTGTTGGCGGCACCGTTGGCCCCACTGGCAACACCACCACCACCACCGCCGCCACCGACTGGAGCAGCCAGCTCTCCACGTACATCTGAGATAGGGTGTTATATAGGTACATATTTGGGTGTGGGGATTGGGATACCCGAGGGTTTAATGTGATTATGAGGGGCAGGACAACGGTGTGTGTGGAGGGGCGGAATGTACAGTGTATGAGACAGAGATATGAAAAGAATCAAAAGAAAGATATGGTCTCAGTAAGTAATCGTTGGAACTGAAAGGCTTGCGGCTGAAAGAGCAGAGCAACCCAAGCTAAGCTGGCTAGAAGCTTTGGACTTAATATCTGAGAAATCTTTAGGATTAAATGGGTTCTAAAAAATATTCAATTAGGAAGTATGCTTATTTTATAACAAGAATCGTCACAAGCAAAACATAATTTATTATAATCCTCTCGGTATTCCTTTGATCCTCTGTAATGTAAGATCACCTTTCTGATTAATATGCATCCATCTAAGAGTGATTGATAACTAAATGAGCACAATATGGAATAAATAAGTAACACTAACTAAACTGCACCACAAATTGGTTTTTCTGATTGACTTTAGAGTCTTATATTTATGGCACTAATTCCCGGCAAGCCAAGCAAACCAAGCGAAGAGGAAAAGGTATAATGATCGACTAAGACAATAACTTACTGGGCGGTCTGTATATATCCATGGCTGGCTTGCCCCTCATCTGTCCCGTCTGGTTGCCCGGAACATTAAACGCCAGGCTGCGGCGTTTGTTGATATTCTGAAACCGCACACGAAAATATGGTTAGTACTTGATATGGATATTTCATATCATAGGAAGGCGGCAAATCACCTGTTGATTCGAGGTGCGCACAAAGCTGCGTTCCCTGGAGATAACGCCGGGAATAACGGGCTGAAATTCAGGTGACTTTCGCACCTTGCGGGGATCGTTCTGCTGCCCGATCAGGCTGGCCTGGGCGTGCTCCACTTTCTCAGCCATGTCTCCGTTCTCGAGGTGCAGCTTCTGCTCTTTTTAGCTAAACTTAATTGAAGATGAAAGCCTAATCTTTGGTGGATTACCTCCGGATAATCGTTATACAAACTGGGATTCCGTGGAATAAACGTCTAAATAAGCGGCTTCAGTATTTGAGTAAATTTGTACATATCACAATAGTTGACTTCCTTTCCTTTCCTTCCTTCCTTTATCGAGTTGAATTGCCTCCTTAATACGATGTCAGGGATGTGTTTGCTCCCTTTGTGCAGAGTCAGATTGCTGGGTCTGAGAATTAAATTGAAATTAGTTATGGGAAGCCAAAAGCTTTGGCCCTGAGCCAAGCCCAAAACATGTTCACCTACTCATACATCAAGTAGAGATACGCAAAAACTGTTTACCCAAGCCGAGAGAGCGGAGCTCAACTACTTGATCGGATCTCTTCGAGCAACCGGCTCAATGCTCGAGCGTAGGAGTTGCATCTGGTTTGGGGCCTCTGGCTAGAGCACTTCGTCTCCAAACATGACATCAGCCCCCAAGTAATTCTTATTTCGCGGCCCACAAGGAGCCCGAGCGACTCGCAGCGGAAGATACACACAATAAACTACAGTCTGACCTCACTAGCTCATACCATTAAGTGGGTTTTTTTAAGAACCTTGTTCATTTTAAGAAATGGTATTAAACCCAAAACATAAAAAAATGATATAAAGAGGTTCTAAAGATAAGTTAATCACATACATATTAGTAAGATATGATTTGAATTTCAACTCAGCACTCAAAGCACTTTGATCTATTAATTCGATTCCTAATATTTTAAGCTAAGTTTTGATCGATTTTTGAACCGATCCTATAATTAGATTGCATTGGTATATAACCTTCCCGAAGTTCTAACTTAGTTCGCCTTAGTCACCCCACCCTGTAGGTGACTGTTTCCACAACTATTTGAACTTGCCACGTTAATTACTGGCAGTTTGATATGTTCAGGGCAGATTACTAAACAGATTTTTGCTCGGCATAAGCTGGGCCTGGCTAGGTGAATCATTCATATACATATGTACATATGTATGTACACTCACCTTTTGGTGCAAATGTGTTGTTTCCTCCAAATTGTTTCGTTGCTGCTGTTTCTGCTTGAGCTTTTGTTTATCTATCTCTCACAATAGAGTGTATATAGATAGATGGGTTTGTTTGTGCGTCGCGTTGCGTTGCGTTTGTTTTTCGTCGATTCGATTGTTGGTGGTGCTGCAGCTCAGTTGTTCGTGTAAAGATATTTATCTACTTCGTAGATACGTTCTTTCGTGTCTCGTTTAATCATGCTTGGCATGCGCGCCAAGTCGAGCCATAAGCAGTGCCGAAGCGTTTTTAATTAATATTTTGAAGAGGGCGGCAATTCCGATATTCCTTCCTTTCTGCCTTCCTGTCGCTTTTGGATACCAGCGCCTCTCCAGATACAGATACAGTAGCGCTCACACACACGCTCAGTGATCACAATTGATGGTGCTTGTTGCTGTTGCTGCTGCTGCTGCTGCTGAGTGCGAGCGAGAGGTTGCGTTGAGTCGTTGGGGTGAGCGGGTGGCTTCGTTAAGTATACGCACCGTGGATGTCGTCTATTTTCGGTTTGTTGCTTTGTGCTGCTCGTTCTCGGCTCGTTGTGCTCGTCAATTGTTTCAGTTACAGAGTTCTCCGTATTGTTTTTTTTGTTTTATTTTTGTGTTTTGTTCGCGTTATTTTCGTTCGTTTCTTTCTGCGTGATTTGCTCTCCTTTCATGCAGATCGCTCGCTATATAGTTCTTGCTCGGATTACTCATACGTACACATACGAGTCACTACACACATACAGGGGATTATTATTATTATTAATTCTTGCTTATATGTTTATATGTACTAGTTTTCATGTTTTGCCTGCACGCGCTGTTTTGTTTTCGCCCGACTTGTGCGCCGTATTCTTTGGCAATTGCCAAAAACTGCTCACATGTGCCGCCCGCCGCTGCCGCATCTATATTTTTAGTATATGACAGCGCGCTGCTAGGGATGACTGTATGCGATGGACACACCTACACCTACAGCCATAGGCGTAACATATATGCAGTTGGCGTTCCTTCCGTTTCCGCTAGACAACAACAAAACAGCTCGCAAAAAAAAAAAAAACAAAAAACAAAATTTAGGAGGAACAACAAGAGTCTATTTCATATTATTGGCCCGATTTATTTAGCATTTTAGTGGCTGCGGCGGCAATATGATTTCCGCTGGCAAACAGTTTGTCTATTTTTAAATAGAATTCGGCTTGCCTCAAGCAAGAATTCTTCGGGGGGAAAACTTATGTACTCTCGGCATGAATCACATAATGGCAAGCGGATTCCTATTCCGATTCCGAATAGAAGGGATCGTGGATTGGATTCTGCACACACTGCACACTTAATTATAGAATATAGATAGTGACTTGCTTTTCCCAGTTTCACGTTGGGCGGTTACTTTTTAATGGGTTCGTGGAGACACAGTAGTTGGTATGGCGGGGTGTATCTATTTATCGATTTAGGTACTATTTATGTATGTATGTAGATTCGCACGTATGTATGGATGTGAGTAACGCTGCCGCTGCTGGCTACTTCACTGGGCGCAGGCTTTAACTTAAAAATTAAATCATCGGCGCGAGCGATCAGTTGAAGACTAAAGACGTGATGAATCGCCACCGACGTCGAGATCGCAGCCAAACCGAAAGCTCTCCGAAACAGAGTAGCTCTCTCGGCAACGCCTCTCTTCGCAGCACACAAACAAATGAAACTCGTGGGAAATGGCAAGAGCAATCCGCTCCGCGAGGGTTGCCAAGCTTTCCGAACTGACACACCGGCACCATAGATCGACAGATCGACTTTCGTACACAAATGTTATTAATCCTTAAACATAAACAAAGTGGTTAATTTGATACAAAACACGCTTACACGCTTACGGAAACTAAATAAAACAGGAAACATGGATCAACGGAACAGAACACTTGGTCGTGTTGGCCTGTGTTTATGTGGAAATGTACTGGGTGGCTAGTAAAAACAGCTGACATCTTACCGGAGGAAAGTTGTCCTAAATAAATTTATGGCCCAATGCGAGCAGACCTCCGACCATATCTAACTATTCTTTAGTACAAATATAAGATACGATAAATACAATTGTTTTCTAAAATTAATAAAAAGATTTTAACATTATTTCTGTCAGTGAAAGGAAGTGCGTGCCCAGTTCATCTGTAGCGGGCGAATATAAATACGAAGGTGTTGACCAGGACGAGGACGATGTATAGCATGCCTATTTCTGGGGCGAGGTTATGGAGTTGCTCAACGAATTGTTGAGTTGCTCCTCCTGGTCCTTGTCAAGTCCCAGGGCTGTAGTTAGCAGCTTGACCACACACCGCTGTTCGTGCACCTCGCCCTTTTCGGTGGACGTGATGTCCTTCTCCAGCTTTAGCTTCTCCTCGGCGGACATCAGGATGCCCTCTTCAATGGTGCTCTCCGATATGAGGCGATAAATGGTGACAGGACGCTGCTGACCCATGCGGTGACAACGATCTTCGGCCTGCTTGTCGTTATACGGATTGAAGTCGATATCGTGAATAATGCAGGTATCGGCGGCGGTCAGGTTGATGCCCACGCCCCCAGCCTTGGTAGAGAGCAGGAACACGAAGATATTGTCGTCCACATTGAAGTCGGTGATCAAGTCCTGACGCTCCTTTACCGCAGTCGAGCCATCGAGGCGACAGAATCCATGCTTCCTTATTCGCAGATACTCCTCCACAATGTCCAGCATCATGGTAAACTGGCTAAAGAGCAGCACACGATGTCCCTCTTCCCTCAACTTTGGAAGTAACTCGTCCAGGAACTCGAATTTCCCTGAATCGCATATTAACTTGTCGGGTATCTTTACGTCAAACAACTCCTGTTGAAAAATAAATATTAGCAAACAAAATGTTGTCAGTATTTCTGGGGGAAACTCACGTATTTCTGGCATAACTGATAAACTTGGAAGTCGGACATAATGGCCAGCTCCTCAAAAATGTACTGCTCATTTGTTTTCTTGTAGGAACTGCATTTGGCCAGGCGTTTAGAGAAGTCCCGCAGATTCTCGTCGCTGAAATAATGACGCATTAGCAGTGGATGGTTGGCAATGCGACGCATCTCCATCATGATCGTCATGGCGGCTCGATCGCTGCTGCTGCAGATTTCGCCCTTGTTATTGGAATAATACTCGACCAGTTCATGATAGTACTGCTTCTGTTGATTGCTCATGGATACTTTTTCCTGTAATTCCACATAAATTAGATTTTGAAATGTAAAGATTTGATTTGGATAGCTTACCACAAGGCTTAGCTTCTTGGGCAGGTTATTAAGGACATCTTTCTTGAGGCGGCGAAGCACAAACGGTTTCATTATACGCTTTGCCCGTTGGATCTGTGTCTCCTGGAACTGTGACACCTCTTCCTGATCGCCATCGGTTTTGCTTTTCTGCAATGGATACAAAATAACATCAATCCATACGATTTGCTTTAGCGTAAAGGCAAGGACGCACCTTGGCAAACAATGTCTTAATGTCCTCGATGCTCTTGGCAAAGAACTTTGGCATCACAAAGCACAATAGGGAGATCAACTCCAGCAGGTTGTTCTGCAGCGGAGTGCCGGTGAGGAGGATGCGACTCCTGGCATTTATGGTGATGAGATTGGCATACCGCTGCGTGGTCATATTCTTAAGCATGTGTGCCTCATCGAAAATAACGTAGTCTAGTTTGCACACGCGGAACATTTTCCTTTCCTCGGGCGTCGAGCCGACAATGTGATAGCTGCCAGTAAAATGGTATTAATAGCATGCAGTACTTGGGTATCTCTTTAAATTACTCACGTCGTCAGCAGGACATCGAAGCCTGAAAATCCATCTTTAGCATAGCGTGCACGCATTCTTCGGCGCTCGTCTTGCGAACCGTGATATTTCTCCACAACTAGATTGGGACACCAGCGGCTGATCTCCGCCTCCCAGTTATCCAGAGTGGAAGACGGCACCACAATTAAGTGCGCCGCCTGGCTAAGACTGTTCTCCTTGAGGTAAGCCAGGAATGCAATCACTTGAATGGTCTTGCCCAGACCCATTTCGTCAGCCAAAATGCCATTCATCTCCTGCTTGTGCATCACTGTGAGCCAGTTGAGTCCAATGATTTGATAGTCTGCCAATTGCAAGCTGCAAACGGATTTATTCGCGTAAGAATATAGAAAAAGAAACTATTCAGAGTCCTAGTCAGTACTTACCCGCTGCTGAGGAGCTTGGGCTGTTCCACAATGCCCGCACCAGTGGAGATGGCCTTCTCTAGACGCGTCACCATATTGTTGCACTTGCTCAGTATGGTGGCCACCGTATTTTGCTTATTAATCAAATCCTGGGCGTAGTTCAGCAGGTCTCCCGAACACTTGACAGTCTCCAGCTTCTTTCGCAATCCGGCCCAGTCTTCAAAGGGGCGCAGCTCAATGATAGCTGCTGCCTTCTTTTCTGAGAGTGTCTTCACACTTTGTAACTCCATAAGTGTAGCCTCGTTCATGAACTGGAAAACCTTTTTGCGCTGACCCGTCATCTTGCTGGCCATCTCGGTGTCGCTGTCATCGCTGTCGTATACCTGATCCTTGGATTGCTTGACATCCTCGTCGTCCGAGTAGTCGTTATCAGAGTAGCCACCGTGGGACGTGCCACTGATTCCGTTCGAGCTGGGCACCAGCTTAGGTTTAACAAGTGGCCCATTAGCCCCTTGGATCTTGGGCTTGCAGTTCTCCCTCAGGTACCGCACAGAGGCGGCCACGTCCCAATTGGTGCGCGAGAGTGACTCTTGAATCGCCTGTAAAAAACAATTGTTTTTCAATTAACATATAAATACGTATTTACAATCAAGAGAGATTATGTTCTTTAGTCATCAATGTACAAAAGCAGCATTGCAAGTTTCTCAAAATATTTGTACACATTCAAATCTGTTTCAAAATTGAGGTAGGTAAGTATCGGCATCGATCAGATTTTAAATTCACTGCGTTAGGGTTGTTCCTTATTGTCCACCCCTGTTTGCGACGCCCCTGGTCACAGACAGCTGTTGACCGTGCCGGGTCCCGAATCCAATCGCCATGTTCCACACACTCACACACACACACACACACTTACAGAGGAGACGCGCGCTTCCCGCCCCCGCACGCGCTCCTGCTTCCCGCTTTCCTATTCACGCCGGATAACAGCGAGAAAACAGAAAACTTACCATCGTGTCGTACTGGGGCGAAATTTTCGCTGCTGCCATATACCGCTCCTCCTTCTCTTTGACGGTCAGCTCCAGCTTGGTCTTCTTGGGAGTCTGGCAGTCGGCACCGTCGCTGTCACTGTCAGCCATCACAGAAATACGCTTCTTGCCTGGCACGCGCTCTGAAAGGAGAGGTACCCACACTTAGAGCCGTAATATCGTGTGTGCAAGCTCTGAAATTACCTGTTTTCGCAAGACCAGCTGCGGCGGCGGCACCCTTGTTGATGCGAAATTGCCGCAAGTCACTGAGGCTTGACTTTGTGGCCGAGGCCTTGGGCGCGGAGTTGTCCGACATCGTGGGGCAAGGCGAGACACCAGCTGGCAATCTATCCTTATTCAAAAATTGCCTTTAAAAATTCCTATGATCGTGAGATTGTATTTGCGAGTTTGCTAGAGGTGGAACTAACATCGATACGTCGGTCTATCGCACTTTTTGCTTAAATCGATTTTTCTAGCGATGTGTTGTATCGATATTGGTCACGTCGACCAATCGATGTTCGCAATTATCGAAACATTCTACCCCATGTATCTGTAAACGTGTATAACTGTTAATTGAAAAATGTTAAGTGACAGCTTGGAAATTCAGAGTGACCAGAAACAAAATATAAAAAATACCAACAAATATTTAATACAAATATCGCTACATCGATATTTCGGCATACTTAATATCGATATATCAATAACCGACTGCCAACGACAGAAAACTCTGTTAATTTACGCTCTTTCTGTCTGGATGAGAGCAGATAATTCTACATGTTGTTGTAAACGTGTAAAATTGTATCTACCCAAGTATCTAATCGGAATTCGTAGTAATCAGAAACAAAGTTTAAAAAAATACCATAAAAACGTCGCAGTAAATAAAATATTATCTATACGGGTAAAATGTTATATTGACAAATGTTATCTAGACCTGTAAAATGTTTTAATAAAATAAAAAATCAAAAATACCAAAATCAATATATTTTGAGAGAATTCTATTAACGAGCAGGTCTGTTAATGAGTTTTACTTTCTACATGAGAATTATACTCCAAAAACGATAATTCGACCCCAAAAATAAGAATTCGACCCCATGTATCTGTAAACATGTAAAATCGTTATTTAGACGTGTAAGATGTAAATTTTATAACAGCTCCGAATCCAGAGTGACCAAACTAAAAAAATAAAAAAAAAAAAACTAACCCTATTTTTTTCGCTTCGCTTCGTAAAATTCATTTAAATTGCGAAAAGAATAATAAGAAAAATAATACGCTTGCCAAACCAAGGACTCATCGAGAAATAGCAATCATGGCTGGCGGCAACACCCCGCGTGTGATCCAGGTGACCAACATTGCGCCGCAGGCCACCAAGGACCAGATGCAGACGCTGTTCGGGAACATCGGCAAGATTGAGGAGATCCGCCTGTACCCCACCATCCGGGACGTCTCCTGCCCGGTTCAGTCGCGCATCTGCTACGTTAAGTACACGGAGACGAGCAGCGTGCCGGTGGCCCAGCACCTGACCAACACGGTGTTTATCGATCGGGCCCTGATTGTCATACCGGTGCTGGCCATTCCCGAGGAGTACCGCGCCCTGGAGATGCTCAAGAATGGCACCATTGTGCCTGGTCTTCAAAAACCCGACTCCAAGCTGCCGCCGGAGGTGATAAACCGTATAGAGGGACAGCTGCCGCAGCAGGTGATCAAGACGTATGACCCGAAGCTGGTTGAGTTTAATCTGCCAGAGTACCCGGCGCTGCCCTCGTTCTATGACGCCCGCAAGATCGAGGAGATCCGGCGTACCATCATCGTGTGCGATGTAAAGAACGAGTGGCGCTTGGATGACCTGATGGACTGCTTCCAGCGCGCCGGCGAGGTAAAATACGCTCGGTGGGCCGAGAAGGACAACAAGACGTACTGCATGATTGAGTTCTGCGAACAGACCAGCATTATTCACGCACTGCGCATGCAGGGCCAAGAGTTCAAGGGCGGCTACCTGAGCGTCTACCACTCCACCTACTCGATTACCAAACCGGAGGCCAAGTCGAACGAAGCCGCCCAAGCGGAGATCGAGGAGGCAATGACCATTGTGAAGGAGGCGCAGAGTATGATCTCGGCTGCCATCGACCCGGTGATCGGAATGCTGGCCAAGGATAAACGCCGTAGGTCCCGATCCCGCTCGCGCTCTCGCGAACGCCGCACCAGTCGCTCACGCTCGCACCGCTCCACGTCCAGGCGGCGTTCTAGGCGTTCTGGCTCAAGAGAGCGTCGTAGCGTGTCCCGTTCGCGTCGCTCACGTTCACGCGGCAAGCACTCATCACGATCCCGCAGCAAGCGGTCTAGATCCCGCCATCGTCGCAGCACCTCGCGCTCAAGGAGATCACGTTCCCGTGGTGGCAAGCACTCGCGCTCCTCCAGATCGCGTGGCAAACGCTCGAGGTCTCGTCATCGTCGTAGTACCTCTCGTTCTCGCCGCTCCCGGTCCCACGGAATTGCAGTGGTTCCCAGTGGAAACGGCAAGCGTTCTCGATCTCGTGAGCGCAGCAAGAAGTCACACCGCAGCGAGAAGCGTTCCTCACGCTCACCCCGCTCCAGGAGCAAGCGCAGTTCCCCATCTCCGCCGCCGGTGGCCACCAGCACCAAGTCACGCTCCAGCCGCAGCAAGGACTCGGCTCTCGCCACATCCAAGTCGTCATCCTCACGACGACGCGACCGCTCTCGCTCTGCGGAAACACGAAAACTTAAATCCATCTCCGAGGACACCGAGGCAAAGAGTTCACGCTCCAGCGCCGATTCCAAGTCACGCAAATCGGTGAGCGTCGAGAAATCAGACAATATGGACATCTCCAATTCGCCCTAGACATAGAAAGATTACACATTACTTTATAATAAATACAGAACTTAAGTCAGGTCGCCTGCAAATAGCCCGATACCGCATTGTCCACTCGGGATTTTTACATCCCATTGTGTCCTAGTTCCCAAGCATAAAGTCCACTTTAAAAAGCAGCATTTTCGCATTCTTAACTCTTAGAAACCCTTTTGAAAATACACAATAAGCTTAACGACTATATGTTTTATTTGGATTACAAGTGTGGTGAAATATATATGTTATTTTTAAGGGAGTGCATTCAGATATCTGGACTAACCTTTTGTTTGGCGACTAACTTTACTTGATCAATTTTAATTAATGAATCTTCTACATTAAACAACTAATTCTTCAGATCTTAATAAGTAAAGCAATAAAAAAATTGAGTATTAAAGGATTTCCTTCTAAATAAAACTAAATTGACGGAAAATGTTGTTCTATTTGGCATATTTTCTTCTATGGTTCTTTTCTCTCTGTGGATCAAACAGCTGAAGTTAAGCTGTGAGGGCTTGTCTCATCCATTGCTGGGGAAGCTTTTGAACGCCAGCCGCAAAGAGGTAACGAGAGTCTGAAGAGCTTTCACCAATAATATGTCGGCGACGCCGACGAGTTCCCAGCAGAAGTCGAAAGTCATAGCATTGCAGCGGTCCTATATTTTATTTTTACCTTAATTAAGAAGTGAAGAAGTCCACAAAATGTCTGCTGCTACTAAAGGTAATTCCGATCCCACGTCCTTCTGGATATGAAAGGATGCTAAGGGTCTTGATGCGAAAAGATCGTATCAAGTGGGTCTGAACTTTGGACTTGTTGATGTCTTATCTGATGCTATCCCCCGGACTCGGCCGGTTGCACTTTGGACCTGTTGAATCGAAAACAAAAGTCCGCCTTCGTTAATTGCCACATTTTGGCTATCAGTCTTGTCTACGCACATTATATATGTTTGTTCTAAATTAATGTCTGTATACTTGTGTTCTATATAAGGTATCTATATTGTGGCTGCCAAGCGCACGGCCTTTGGAACTTTCGGTGGCTCCTTGAAGGGCATCAACCAGACCCAGCTCCAAACCACGGCGGCAAAGGCCGCTCTAGATGCCGCCGGGCTAAAGGGAGAGCAAGTGGATACCGTCATCGTGGGCAATGTGATAGCGGTAAGTTTAATTTAGAGATAATTTCCCGAAAAGTATTTCCTTATTTCTACAATAAGCTTTAGTAGAGAGCTTGAATAAACCTTGACCTTATTTCGAATATTATTTATTTTATATTAAAGTATATTTAATTTTACCTCTTAGTCCTCCTCCACTGATGGTATTTACGTGCCCCGCCATGTGAGTCTTAACTGCGGTGTGCCCATCGAAAAACCCGCCTTGGGCATCAACCGACTGTGTGGCTCCGGCTTCCAGTCGATTGTGAACGGGGCACAGGACATTCTGGTTGGTGGTGCCAAGGTTGCGCTCACCGGTGGCGTGGAGAACATGTCCCAGAGTCCGTTCATCGCCCGCAACATGCGTTTCGGTACCACTCTGGGAGCCAACTACAACTTGGAGGACGCCCTGTGGGCTGGACTTACCGACACTTATTGCAAGCTACCCATGGCTCTGACCGCTGAAAATCTGGCCGATCAATATAAGATTTCTAGGGAGCGCGTGGACGAGTTTTCGCTGCTATCCCAAAAGAACTGGGAGAAGGGCCAGAAAGAGGGTGCCTTCAACGCCGAGATCACCCCATCAAACTGAAGGTCAAGGGCAAGGAGGTGGACTTTCTGGTGGACGAACATCCCCGTCCCAAGACCACCATCGAAGGTCTGAACAAGCTTCCCTCTCTGTTCAAGAAGAACGGAGTGGTAACAGCCGGAACAGCCTCTGGTATCTGTGATGGAGCTTCAGCTGTTGTTGTGGCTTCGGAGGAAGCTCTTAAGGAGTACAATCTGACGCCTCTTGCCCGCCTGGTGGCCTTCTCTTTCGTGGGTGTGAAGCCAGAGATCATGGGTATTGGTCCCGTGCCAGCCATTCAAAATGTCCTGAAGGTTTCTGGAAAGAAACTGGAGGATATTGATCTGATCGAGGTAAACATATTTCCCAGAGTATATTTTTAACCACATCTTATCAACTTACGTTTCAGATCAACGAAGCTTTTGCTGCCCAGACTCTAGCCTGTGCCGATGCTCTGAAACTAGATCCCTCCAAGCTTAATGTGAATGGCGGAGCCATTGCTCTGGGTCATCCTCTGGGAGCCAGTGGCTCTCGCATCACTGGCCACCTGGTGCACGAGTTGCAGTGAGTTTTCTCCTACACTTTTTGTATCTTGAACACTTTTAACACTTTTATTCCAGGCGCAAGAAGCTGAAGTACGGCATCGGATCCGCCTGTATCGGCGGTGGTCAGGGCATCGCCTTGCTGCTGGAAGCTGTCTAAACGCGTTGATCCACCTCGAACTATCCCTGCATTTACATTTAAAATTAGTGCTGAAAATTCCCTGCTTTTAAACTTAATAGTAAGAAAAGATTATTTTAACTTTACAATTTATTAAATCATCTGCGAATGGAAGTTGATCAGCTTTCTACAAGAAAGACAACAAGTTTGTGTTTATACTATAAAATTTCTATGTTCGCACTGCTGGAAATGCTGGTCGGTGTGGGACTGGATGATGAAGAACGGACCGGCCCCACACAGGACCGATGAACGGAATTCTTGCCCGCTGTCAAAGGGAATCTCTTAAAGGGCCTTACATTACGAGTACATGAACATGGCATGACATGAAAGTATGTTTGTTCAGTTCGATTGGGCGCTGGTGGAGAAGAGCGCCAGGGCGCCGCTGGCGATGCCCACTGAGAAGATGTAGTTGACGAACGGCGTGGAGTTCTTCAGCAGGAAGAAGCTGATGAAGATGATCACGGCCAGGTAGATGGCGTTGTTGTAGAAAATGGCGAAGGTGGTGGCCTCGTAGTCGGCCACTTCGTTCTTCTTCCACAGGATGCGCTCATCCTTCTCCTTGCGGGTTACCTTCTTGTCGTCACCCAGCTGGCGGTTCACCTCACGGGTAACGGCCTCCTCCCTGCGTCCGGCGATCTTGTGCTTCAGCTGGAACTTGATGTTCTTGTAGGCGGTGGCCATCAAGTAGGTGCTAGCGGCGGTCACGAGCACAAACAAGATGGAGCTGGGCCACAGGTCCATATTGTGGATGCGCCAGAAGAGCCCTGCAAAGCCCCGCGTTCATTCACCAAGGGTCCGAAACTATCAACGTGTCACTATACTCACAGATTGGCACAGCGGACACGATGAAAGCATTGCCGTAAAACAGAGCCGAAGACTTGGTGCTCACGTTGCGGCTGAAATCTTGCAGGAGCAGCTCCTCCTCTTTGGTGAATCCAGAAGACTGCACCTTTTGTTGCTTTCCTGAGCCCATTTTCAGTTAAGTTTTCGTAGGGAAAGTTACTGGAGTAGTGAGGCGAAGACGAATGTACACGAATGCAAGAATTTCGCTGTCGGCGCCGACGATTGTGACGTGTAAACGTCAAAACTCAGGGTTGCATTCTTCTGACAACACTGCTGTCATTTGGCTATTTCCCCGCTACATCTAGCTATCTTCATTGGAGTGTGCGGTATAGAAGTAAAGGCGAGTGGGAATTATAGCTAATAATATTGAAGAAAGTTTTCCAAAAACGAGTGTTATTATATTTGTTCTATCCATTGTTCCATTTTTATACCTATTTTAGCTACCATCAACATTTAAGACCCTAACCAACACTGCTTGTCAAGTGACGTTATCGAGCCGATATTTGACTATCGACTATCGGCATGGGCGCAGTAAAAAATTCTGTTCACTTAATTTAAAAATGAAAATAAGGAACTAAAATTTTGATAATTTAGCTTCTACAGATGTAAAATGTCTATTAAATAATTTGGGATAATGTTTTAGTTTGCAATAAAAAAATGTGTTAAATACTATAGGGGTGAGGCGCCACTGGTTTCGTGATCCCCTCTCACTACTTCACTGCTCTTCGATAGCGCAACAAGTCCTATAGATTTCTGTGTTTAAGTTCGCTCCTTTAATTTACAATCAACAGGTAAATCTAGTAAGTTATTCAGCTTAAATTTAGTTTATTGGTTAATTTAAAATAATTGTGAAGCTGCAATTAAATTTATAAGAGTTAATTTCCCCAGATGAGTGAGATACCGGCCCTGTCCAAAGGTCACTGTTGTTTACATTTGTTGATACATTTCAGATCATTATGCTGCGTTCAAAAGTCCTCAGTCTGGTGGCCCGCAGTGGGTCCAACCGTCTGATGTCCACCGGCACAAAGCTGACATCGGTGGAGGTCAACGACAAGACAGGAATCGCCACTCTCACAATGAACCGGCCACCAGTAAACGGACTCAACTTGGAGCTTCTGCAGGATCTGAAGGCCTCCATTGATGAAATTGAAGTCAACAAGAGCAGAGGACTCATTCTGACTTCCGTGAGTAATATCTGAAAACTGTAATAGTAGATGCTGACTACGAAACTTCTCTGCAGTCCAGTCCTACTATATTCTCCGCTGGCCTGGACATTCTGGAGATGTACAAGCCGGACAAGGACAGGATTCGTGCTTTCTGGTCGCAGCTGCAGGAAACGTGGCTAGCCCTCTACGGCAGCAGTGTGCCCACGGCAGCCGCCATTAATGTACCTTGCCTAAAGACTCTCACAGATCCTTCTTTAACATATCATGTATTTCTAGGGCCACTCACCCGCCGGCGGATGTCTCTTGGCCACATCCTGCGAGTACCGAGTCATGCTGCCAAAATTTACTATTGGCTTGAACGAAACCCAGCTAGGCATTGTGGCACCCAAGTGGTTTATGTCCGCCTTTCTTAGTGTTCTGCCGCAGCGCGAAGCAGAGCGTGCCCTGAATCAAGGACGCATGTTCAACACCGAAGAGGCCCTGAAGGTGGGTCTGATTGATGAGACTGCAAACAGCAAGGAGGAGGCCATCGAAAAGTGTGCTGCTTTTATTGGCACCTTCGCTAAGGTCAATCCTCTGGCTAGGTCGCTGACCAAACAGCAATTCCGGGCCGCCGATCTACAGCAATTGGAGAACGAGCGGAAGGAAGACCTGGAAAAGTTTCTGTTCTTTGTTAACCAGCCCGCTGTTCAAAAGGGTCTGGGCATTTATCTCGAAGGCCTTAAGAAGAAGGCCAAAAAGCAATAATTAAAAGAATTTAGAACGGAGTTAAATAAACTTATTTTTCATTCATTAAAATTATTATTATTGAAAAACAAATTTGAAATGCGTTTTATACATATATCAGTCAACGAAAAACAATTTTAAGTTAATTGTATTCGATATTTTCTTTACCGCCAAATCGATTACTGCTCAGTTTGAGTAATAATAATTGTTTAATTGTATAATTTCTTAATTTTTTAATTTTAATTTAAACCAAAAGCAAAATTCGCAGAACTATTATCACCTATCTACAGCTTTTTAAAAATGATTATATTCGATATTTTTTAAACGCACCAGCTTGATCGTTGATAACGATTAACTGAAAAATTTCCATCGAGGATCGGTTAAGGGGTGATAAGAAGTTTAAAGAAACTTTGTCGAATTAAAGCAAGGTAAGTTTGGGAATACACGCCTAAATGGATTGATGCATAATTGGTAATCTCTTTTGTTTATATTTTGGATTAAAAACCACCATCCTAACGATGCTGGTGGCTGGACAAAGATCATATTTCATCAAACAACAATGCTCCACTTGAATCTCTTGAGACTTGTGGCACGCGGAGGGCCAAAGAGGATGATGGCCACCACCACCAAGCTGACATCGGTGGAGGTCAACGACAAGACCGGAATCGCCACCCTCACATTGAACCGGCCACCCGTGAACAGCCAAAACGTCCAGTTATTGGAGGATCTGCAGACGTCCATCGCCGAAATTGAGAGCAACAAGAGTCGGGGACTTATTTTAACCTCTGTAAGCCGGTCACTTATGCATTGGGTTATGTTAGTATTCATCATATTCCTTGCAGGCCTCTTCCAATGTGTTTTCAGCCGGTTTGGACATCACTGAACTGTACAATACGGATGAGGACCGCCTTCGGACCATCTGGAGGGCACTGCAAAACGCCTGGATTGCTCTCTACGGCAGCAGCTTGCCCACTGCCGCCGCCATTAATGTAAGACTAACGACCCGGAAACATGATTCTATAGACCCTTTTTGACATCTTCCGTTTTCCCAGGGCCACGCACCTGCTGGAGGATGCCTGCTGGCCACCGCTTGCGAGTATCGAGTGATGCTACCAAATCGTCTTATCGGACTGAACGAAACGCAGCTGGGAATCATTGCGCCCAAATGGCTGATGTCCGGCTTCCTCAATGTCCTGCCCCAGCGAGTGGCAGAGCGTGCCCTTACCCAAGGTCGTCTGTTTACTACAGAAGAGGCACTGGCAGAAGGTCTGGTCGATGAAATCGCCAACACCAAAGAAGAGGTGCTGGAGAAGTGCTCTGCCTTTATTGGAAGCTTTGCCAAGGTGAATTCTCTGGCTCGGTCGCTAACCAAACTGCAGTTCCGGTCGGAGAACATTAAAGAGTTTGAAAAGATACGCAATAAGGATTTGGAGGACTTTGTGGCCCTCGCCAGCAGTCCTGAAACCCAGAAAGTTATGGGCAACTATCTGGAAACCCTAAAAAAGAAGAGTAAGAAGTAAGGTATTTGTATTTGTGCAATTGTATAATCATTATACTGTTACTACTTTGAAAATTAACCAGAAGTGCATTTCTTTTGAATAAGTTTTTAAAACTTCGTTTACTCGCAATAAATATTTTCAGATTAACTAAGTTTTAAATGCCTGATATTATTTCCAGTCGATAATCATTTCTGCCAAGTTATCTTATGAAGCCCATTCCCATTCTTGCATCAAATTAATTCCAGGTAATCTCTAAATTTTAATTTATTATTAATTAATTAATTTGAGTAACTTTTATTCGGGCTTCTCTTTCAGTCGATAAACGTTTGTTGATCACCATTTCCCAGTGTCGTGTAAACTTTGCCTGGAAAAGCTGGATCAGCTGATCGGCTGACGCTCACTTGGCTTGAGTGTTTTGTTTTTCTTCGGTTCGCAACTCGACTTTGTGTATGATAAACAGGTTAATTTGTTTAAATTCATGCCTGCCGCTCAGTGCGTGATTGCTGCTCCAAATCGAAAGTCGTAGTAATGTTGCGTAACAGGCTAATAGACACCTTCGGGCGGATAAGACCCATCCTCTGCGGAGTCCAATCCCTTCGATCTATTGCCAATGTGGGGTCAAGCTCAACAAAGCTGACTACCATCGACGTGGATGATAAGAGCGGAATTGCCACCTTATCGATGAATCTGGCACCAGTTAATACCCTCACCATGGAGCTAATGCACGACCTGATCGAGTCCATTAACCAGATCGAAAGCAACAAGAGTCGCGGCCTTATCTTGACGTCGGTGAGTACATGTAATTGGGCAGGCGATTTGTATTCATTCTACATCTATTTTGCAGAGCAATGACAAGGTTTTCTCCGCTGGCCTTGATCTCCAGGAACTTCTGGAACCGGACAAGGAGCGTCTGAAACAGTTCTGGACCTCATTTTAGGATCTGTGGCTCGCTCTGCATCTCTGCGGTCTTCCCACTGTGGCGGCTGTAAATGTGAGTTCATCTTTTGGGAACGATCTTTTCCAGTGTAACTAACACTTCCGCCCAGGGTCATGCTCCTGCCGCTGGTTGCGTTCTGGCCACAGCCTGCGAGTACCGCGTCATGCTTCCGGATCTCTTTATCGGTATCCACGCCACACGCTTCAGCTTCGTCATCTCCAAGTGGATGATGCTCTCCTATCAGAGCGTTCTGCCCCGTCGAATTGTGGAGCGGGCACTGAACCAAGGTAAGCTCTTCTCCACCAAGGAGGCCCTGGAGGTGGGCCTCGTCGACGAGGTGGTGGACACCAAGGCAGAGGCGCTGGCCAAGTGCGCCGCCTTTATTGGTTCATTCGACAAGGCCAATCCAGTTGCTAGGAGCCTAACGAAACGGATGTGTCGAGAGCCGGATGTTCGTGAGCTGCTGAATGACCGGGCCGGGGATCTGAGAGAGTGCGTGGACTATGTCCTTACGCCCCTTTTTCAGGAGGGACTGTGCGCCCACCTCGAGGCCCTCAAGAAGGGAAGGTAAAGGGCTTCGTAGGCTAGATGATAATCTCACTGCATTTATTACTTAATCGTTATTAAAAATATTTGTTAATCAGAGAGTGACTCTTTCTTCGACTGATTTATCTCCCGCGGTAGGTTAGCTAGTGCCTCAGTCATCATTTCCATAAACGAATTGATCTCCAGTACCTTGGCACGGTGACGGTCCACCTCTTTGCTGTAAAGGAAGTGTTTTATTAGTGTCTTTCGGGTCTAATCCCGTGATGGATATATAATATGTATGTACTTTTTCAACTTCTTTATCATGTCGTCTATAAACTCCCTGCTGCGATTGGCCATGCGATCCTCCCGTTCGTACACCCTTGAGGCGTGAGATGACCTCATAGCCTCCACAAGCTGGCGGAGTGCGTCACGATCAGCGACACACTTTCGCAGTTCCTCGGGAATGGCGTTCAAATCATTCCGCAAGAGCTTGGAGGCGAGATATTGCGACACGATCTCCGTCATGTTGTCGGCAAAGTGCCCACAGACATCGCGCAACTGCTGAAAAATCACCTGGGCCTGTTCCACAAAGCTGGCCATCAGCTGGGTTATCTTCCGTTTAAAGTTCAGCGTGGAATCCTGGCCAAAGAAACGAACTATTAATAGAACCAAAAGTGTTACGTTAAACTCACCTCAACAGCTTCGTGCAGATGAAGCTCCTGAGCCATTAAGCTCTGCCACATCTCGTTCAAGGCATCTTCAAACTGTCCGGTAAGTGCATCCAACTGAGCTGACACCTCTTCCAAATCGTCATCGCGTTGGTCCAGATCTCGCCACTTTAACCGCATCTCATCAAATGTTTGCTCCTTGTATTGTAGGAACTCCTCGATTTGTTTTTGACCCTGTGACTGTAGCTCCTCCTGCCCCTCATATAGGTTGGCATTAAAGTCCCGGATCTCAGCATCCCGCTCCCCAAACCGCTCCAGACCAAGACGATAGATCTGCTGGGTCAGCTCGTGAACATCCTTGGTGTACTCTTCGGTTAGCTCCTGCGCAGGAGTTCCTACCAACATCAGAATGCGCCCGTTATTGTCGTCGCGCCACAAGGATTCGTACAGCTGATGACCATCTAGGTGTTCCACAAAGCTGGAAGCTAAACGTTCCGCTTCGGCCATTTCCCGTTCCTCCGTCGCCAGGCCTTGGATCTCGCGCTCCTGTTTGTCCTCGATCTCGCGCAGTTCACGGCTGGATTATAATTATTTTTATAATTAAAAACTTCAAGGTACGAGGGTAATGTACTCACTAGAAACGCTTTTGAGCTTCCGCACGCGTCTCCGCCTTAATGAACACGTATTCGTAGTAGTTTAACTGGGGTAGGATGGCAGTCACATAAAGGGACAATGGGAAATCCGGCATTTTGGCAATGGGGTTACCCTCCAAATTCAACACTCTCAAGCTGCTCACAAAGCGTAGGCGTTCGATCTGGTTTAATCAATTATAAGAAACTTATATTTAATTTTAATTTAATGTTGAAAACTTACACCCTCCACAGTGTTGATTAGATTGTTGCCAATGCTAAGGATGACCAGTTTCTCCAGTGTCTGCAAGTTCTCGATCTTTTGGATGCGATTGCTAAAAAGCGACAGCTTTTCCAGGTTAACCAGCGTCTCTAGGTTCTCGATTCGCGTAATGTAATTAAAGCTTAGATTGAGATCCTTGAGGGCAGTGAGCATGGTGAGGTGCTCGATCACCTCAATCTTGTTGCAGTTCAAGCACAGCGTTGTTAGATTGGGCATCATCCAGAGATGGTCAATCCGCAAGATGTCTGCAAGGCGGAAACTAAGTTTGGGATACCCTTGTGAGTTGAACCGGTCTTACTCTTGAACTCCAGGCGCATAGTGCGAATGCGTTCGTAGACCACCGGTTCCAGCTGGTGGAGGCGTCTCGCTTCGCCCTTTTGGCCCTCTTCCAGATAGGCGGACTCAATCATTTTGCGATCTATGATGCCCGGCTCTGGGCAGTTGACCTCGTCTAGAAAGCCCCTTAGCGGCTCATCACCATCCTCCTCCTCTTCCTCCTTCTCCCCATCTTCTTCTGCACTTGGCTTTTTGCTGACCGGTTCGTCCATTTTGGTGTGCTCTCCCAGTACATGTGCCAAGTCGCCAAAACTCCGAGAAAGGACACGAAGCCAGGTTGCCAAGGGCAACCCAAACAACAGGGCCTTGCCTAGTAACCATCGCTCGGCAGTTCCACCCCACAAAGACTTCGGAAGCAGGTGTAACTGAAGACCCAGTCAGCCGGCAGTTCGTGGCTTTTCGGGTCTGTATTGTCCGCTCTCCAGGCTTTGGGTTGTGGTTGCTTGGGTCCTCGCGTTGTTGTGGATATCGGGCCTGGCAGTTGTTAGTGTTTTCTTATCAAATCAACTCCTGTCCGCGAAGGATATCCGCATAGGGAGTAGCCATAAATCGCAGTTAATACACGGAATAAACAACGGATTAGACTAGAAGATCTCGGATTCAAATGCAATTGTGATTAAGGTACGCCTAATATGTGATTGTGCTCCTCCTGCTCTGTCCTGTGGTAGCGCCAGTGCCTAGGGATAGAGTCCGAGAGACTTTGTGACAACCCTCGTTCAATCGATAAAGTGACCCCGAACATTTTATGTTGTTTATTTGTTGGTACACGGTGCGAAAAGTCGAGTATCTCTGCTGTGGCTGTGTATATATTGTGCTTTTGTAGTAATGGCCGATTAACCATCGGCTGGATGTGCGTGCCCAAAGTTTAAGTGAGTCAACAAATGTGAGGGGTTCAAGGCTGTGACGCAGGATTTAAGTAAGAGCCAGGTCAAAATGTGAACCAAAACAATCAGATGTGTATGCATATATACTCCATATACCCCAAGTTTATACATACATATATCAAAGGTGGAAGAGGTTCCACTCGCATACAATGAATAAATTATCGCCCAAGGAACTTGATTCGCAAAGTGACCACAATAAACTATTACGACACCTAAGTCCTTAATTTCCAAGGATCCAGATTCCAAGTATCTAGTTAAAGCATAAGGCTCGGAAGTTAATATCACGGCGTCAAATTTGATACAATTGATCTTAACCGGCTTCATTTTCAACGCTCAAACAAACTACTTAACAAATTGATTTTTGATTATGTCCGGTGCTTGCATAAGCGTCCCCTAGCTGACCTCAAGATATTTCTAAAGTTTGAATAAATTTAACAAATAATAATAGTGAAGCCATGGAAGTGTCTATTTCCCCCATATATTTGAGGGTTGGAATGGCCTAGGCCTAAGGGGTTGATACAATAAATAAACAAGTCGAAAAGGAAGGATTTCGATTTTATTATTATTTCATTTCCAATAAAAATAAAAATATTTTAGCAATTAAGGGAAGTGTTCCATTTTTATCGTATTATGAAGGTATAATAAATTGGGAGCATGATTATTAAATCCCGCTTGATCTTACTTTCCCAATCCAAAGGAGTATTTCCCTGTTTTTGCATTAGCCAAAATGACGAAAAGCACTGCGAACTTTAGATTCATTTTGAATTAGTTTTATAAAGTCTGCTTTCCTTTTGACTATCTTATGTGAAATAACCCCACAACCACCCAGCTTTTTAATACCTTTCCAATTATGTCACGTGTTTTGGATCTAAAAATTATCCAATTATTTTTGCTACACCTTTAATAATCCTATTAACGTTTCCAGAACAGCGTTACAGTCGATGTTTTCCTTTTTATACCCTTGCAGGGTATTATAATTTCAGTCAGAAGTTTGCAACGCAGTGAAAGAGGCACCTCCGACTATACATATAAAGTATATATATTCTTGATCAGGAACAGCCGAGTCGATCTAGCCTTGTCCGTTTGTCTCTCTGTCCCTTTCTACGCAAACTAGTCTATCAGTTCTTAAGCTATCTGAATGAAACTTTGTAGTTAGCCTTCTATATACTCTAACTCGTATATATGTCGGAACGGACGACTATATCATATAGCTGCCATAGGAATGATCGAAAAATGTTTACAAAAAAAATGATAACATTTTCAGTTTTTAACAGAATTTAATCAAATTTGAGATATAGCCATTTCATATTATTCTACAATTTGGTGTAAAATTTTATGAAAATCGGACTCCTATCATAAAGCTCTTATAGGAACGATTGGAAATTAATATAAATAAAAATTATAACGATTTCAGTTTTCAGCAGATTTTCATCAAATTTGAAATATAGCCATTTTATATCAGTCTTATATTTTGTGTCAAATTTCATGAAAATCGGACGACTATATCATATAGGTGCCATACAAACGATCGTTAGATGTGGAGCAAAAATGAAAATCTGTGAATGAAAAACTGCAAATATAATATGTATAGGTGAATGAAATGAATGCAGGTATTACTTTATTGTTTTTTAACACAAATATATATAATTTATATTATATGGATTCCTAGTCATAGAAGTTCTATCTGCAAGGGTATATAAACTTCGGCGTGCCGAAGTTAGCTTCCTTTCTTGTTTAAATATGATATGATATTCATGTCATAAATATATAATAAAGCTTATATCTAATATTTGTATTCGAATCCTGATTAAGTATACTTTTATCAGCAAAACGAATGAATAATCTCTACTCATTCATTGCATATTTGCATTTCCTCTTCTTTTGAACTCAATAATATACCTTCTTAATTTTTGTAGTATCCCTTAGAAATTCCTTTATTAAATTATCTTTACATTTATTATTTAAATTTAAAGCAAGTATCGTTTTCCATATATTGTGACGGGGGAAATGACCTAGACCTTAGGAGTTGATACAATAAATGACCAAGCCGAAAAATAATGATTTTATACTTATATGATTTCTAATTAAAACAAAAGTCTTTCGGGAACTAAGGGTTCTTTATTAAAAGTTCCATTTTAAATATTATTACAAAGATTATTTAAGCTTGTTTATTAAACGGCGCGAGACCTCACTTCCGAGCTTGATAGGAATACGTTCCTATAGCTGCATTTCCCAAAATGACAAAAAGCACTGCAAACTTAATATGCATTTTCTGTTAGTGTTTTATAGCCTGCTTTCCTCTTGACGATCTGATGTGGAATAACAATGAACTACGCAACAGTTCAGCTTTAAATACCATTCCAATTATCCCATAATTTTTGTTTCACCTTTGGTAATATGATTAAAACTTTTAGAACAGCGTTCCAGTTGTATTATGAATGTATATTATATAGTGTATTATGTAGTAAATACATGTTAAAACGGTAAAAAAGGGTAAAAAAGGGTATATCTTCTTGAGCCCACAGGGGAAGTTAAGTATATATATTTAATTGTTCCTTATATGGCTTTTTAGGTATCCAATTCGAAATACCCTCTAGAATAGTTAACTTATGTTTGCAAGCTACTTAGGACCATCCCAAATTATGCCCAGGATACCTGCTGCTCGTCCCATTTCTTAATTTCGGAACTTTACCTTTGACCCTGATGGGGGAATGGGGAAATTCATTTTTGGGTTAAATCAATTTGGTCAAGTTCTTAGCCGACTGCCTCTTGGATCAATATATTGATTTTTATTGGGTTCGGCAGCCCAAGTCAAGACGCACACAAATGGCCCAAGAGGGACACGATTTGATTCGAGGTTTGTGCCCAGTCACCTAATTCAACGGTGATTCCTTTGACGTCCGCACACGTGGGCGGGGCTCATAAGTTATTGAAGAGCTCCTAAGTGACCACCCGTTGTCCTCGTTTTCCATTTTGCTGTATGTGCAGTTGCATCCGGAGAATGTGCGAAGAGCTGACCATCCCGTCCGCCTAAGCATGAACCGCTACATCACGTTGACCCAGCTGGGCGATGGAACCTATGGCACCGTGGTCCTGGGCCAACGCAAGGACACCGGCGAGAAGGTGGCCATTAAGCGCATGAAACGCAAGTACTACTCTTGGGAGGAGGCCATGAATCTGCGCGAGGTTAAGGTGGGTTCTATGCCAGCTACCTTGTACTGGACTTTCCCTAATATATGTATCCGTATCTGCTGCAGTCCCTTAAGAAACTGTCGCACCCGAACATCGTGAAGCTGAAGGAGGTGATCCGGGAGAACGATACCCTATACTTTGTGTTTGAGTATATGAAGGAGAACCTCTACCAGATGATCAAGGATCGGGACACGCACCTGCCCGAGCCGGAGCTGAAGAGCATTCTTTTCCAGGTAAGCTGCCTTCCCGTAGTCCTGTAAGGACATTCTATAATTATTCATTTCTTGTAGGTTCTGACCGGTCTAGCCTTCATGCATCGCCATGGCTTCTTCCACCGCGACCTCAAGCCGGAGAACCTGCTTTGCTCCGGTCCGGAACTCATCAAGATAGCCGATTTTGGTTTGGCCAGAGAGATACGATCACGACCACCGTTCACGGATTACGTCTCGACGCGTTGGTACAGAGCGCCGGAGGTGCTCCTGCACTCGACCAACTATGGCAGCACCATTGATCTCTGGGCCATGGGCTGCATCATGGCCGAGCTCTATACCTTCCGACCGCTCTTCCCGGGCAGTAGCGAGGTGGATCAGCTCTTCAAGATTTGCTCAGTGCTGGGCACGCCAGAGAAGGTAATAATAATAATTAATAAAATTAGTTAATATTATTAACCTTTGGTTTTCCGCACAGAACGATTGGCCCGACGGATATCGCCTGGCTGCCATGATTCACTTCCGGTACCCGGACTGCATCAAAGTGCCACTGAGCAGCGTCGTCAGTCGCTGCAGCCAAAACGGACTCGATCTGCTGGAGGATCTTCTGGCCTACGATCCCGACAAGCGGCCGACAGCCCAGCAGAGTCTTAAATACCCATATTTCCATGCCCTCAAGCGGATCTCGCCCACCGCCGCCACCAAGGCAAATGTGCGGCTTAACTCCAAGTACGCACCAATGTCCAATGGCCATCAGCAGGTGCAGGCCGTTTCGAACAACGTGCTTCCGGTGCAGGAGAAGCTGCAGGCGGTCACCGAGATGCTCCATCAGAGCAACAACAACAACAACAACAATAATAACAACAGCAATAGCAACTCCAATCTCGGCAAAAACAGTAATCTAAGCAATGGCAAGGTGACTGCGAAGAATGGAGGAATGCCGAGGAAGTACCAACCGAAGCTGAGCTTCCTGACCAGCCACGAAATGGGTGCAGGGTCCTTGGCGGACTCCTCCAGCCTCGGTGGCGCCACAGCAGATGGTATCCAGGTGCAGCAGCAGCACCACCAAAACGGAGGCGAGTCGATAAACGACATATACTTAAACCGCAACATCTCACAGCTCTTCGGTCTACCGGCGGGTACTCAGCATCATCAGCAGATGCACCATCCGAACGTCTCCTTCAGCACGACGTCGTCCAGGAATGCTGGAGCCATCTACGTAAATGGTAGCCACCTCAGCTACGACACGGCCAACATGAATGCCAAGAATAATGCCAAGATCGTGGTGGGAGCCACAAACGGAGGTTACTATGTGCCAGTGGTCAGGCCATCGCTCTTGGCTCCCGAGGCCAAGGTCTACAACGTGTTCTCCAAGGTCAGTGCCAGCCAGGCCCCGCCGAGTATCATTGTCCGTCAGCCGCAGCTGCAGCAGGAGGCAGGAGCACCGCCCATGCGACTCTCAGGTAGATCCCGAGCACCGATCCAGGACTCCAACGTGGGACCCTTAAAGTCCGACGATCTGGATTTGATACTTGGGTGAGTTTAAGGAAGGCGACTAGGTCGTGGTAAATTACTCTCCATGTGCACTCCTGGCACTGCACTATTGTCTGTCGCTGCACCAGAGTGTGATTCCTTCCTCACCACCCCCGAACTCTCTCCGTCTCTACCCCGCGCAGCTCCAAGCTGAAGAACTCCGCCAAGCGGCAGCGGAACGCCAAGGCCAACATTCTCCTGGAGGATCTCTTTGGGCAGCTGTCCATGGACTCAGACAGCGATGGCAAGTACCCGCACACGGTGCCGCCCACGCAGCAGGCAAAGAATGGCCAGACATCGACGGGGGGTCCCCGGGAGCGGGATCTGTTCGGAGAGAGCTTCCTGCCCAGGCCAGGACTCCGGAAGAAGGCCACTCAGAGCAGTCTGGAGGTGAACAACGGTAGCCACGCGGACTCGCTGTAAGTGGGGCTGTGGGTGGGGCTGGGCGGACATCCTCGCTGGCCTGCATGATCGTAGACCTTGTTCTTGTCCTCGTACCGCGCTTCTTTGCCTCATGCTCATGCTCATCCCGCCGTCCTGTCTCGCTCTACATTGTACTCTGTCTCTCTTATCTCTCCCTCTCTATCTCTATCTGTATCGCGCTGTCTCTCTCCCGTTGTGTCTGTCATCGTTTTGTGTGTTTTCGTTTGCTTGTCATTGAACATTGAACACTTTGTGTGGGTGCCCAAGTGATAACTCCTCCTCGTCCTCCCCCTCAAATGATGAAGAATGTCGCTTTTGGCCCATAAGGTAAAAATCCGCATTCGCCATTGAGCTGTAAATATGTTGAGTAGAAGTAGAGCAGGAGTGCTCCAACAGTGAACCCGAGAGTCCTGAGGTTCGGCTTTGTCCTGTGCTCGAGACCTCGAGGACATTGTGGGAGCAGCTTCATATTAGAGACTAAAACTAATTAACTATCATATCATCATTGTATATGGGAGGAAAACTTGCAGGTTTATTTAATTTCATATTGAAAACCAGCAAGCCTTTCTCCCTGTTTGGTCAAGCACTCTTTATTTGCCTCTTCCATAAAGACTCTGTAGATTATTATGTAAATTGATTGATCATTATACAAACCTTTGTTTCTCTTAGCTAAGAACACAATGAAATATATTATATCCTTAACAAGATATTCTTCGTAGAATCATTTTAAAATTTGAAAATATTTAAATATTTAAATCACACCATTCCAGAGCTCAAAATACACAAAAGGAAAAGGCCGCAGCGGCAGCCAGCTTCCCCTGGGATGAGACCAACAAGACGGAGGACGAGAAGCTGACGGCTTGGATGGTGGCAGAGAACGGTAACTTGGTTTTGGGTTTGGGTCCTCAGCAAGCGTAGAAGTCGAGAGCACTCCACTCCACTCACAGTAGTAAAACCCCATTGGAACTAGAATTTGGTAGCGTAAATTCAAAAAGCACCACTTTGAAGTAATTGAGATTGGAGTTAACACTTTCTCCGCACTATCCTTTTCCCAGGATCCCTGCTGGAGAATAAGTTCTGAGAAGATGATCGACCTGCGAAATGCCGTTGTACCTGAAACAGAATGAAGAGAATTCACGTGCCTGTTGTCCTGCGTATTTCCGAACTGAATCCGTATCTGAATCCAAATCACGAAGCCATCGAGCCATGGTATCATCGAATGGTCGGCGCGGCATGTAGAGTTAGTCTAGTCTCTCGATATAATGTTATTGCTGTGATACAACTAAGCTAGACTCTATTGTGTAAAAAATATGGCCTACGAACTCGAGCCTCGCCTCGAGTGTAGGGTGTGTAAACTAAGCTACTATAATATAATATAATCCGAGTGAGTTTTGAATCGAGTGCGGCAAGTGCAGCGTTTTGGTTTCGTTTTCATTTCCCCCCACGTAATTGCATAAGTCTGGGCTGAGCTGCTGCGGGGCGTATCTGATTTCAGCTCCCATAACTTGGCCACTGCGACAATGGGCCACAAGCATCGACATATAAAAGAGGTTGAGTCTAGCTCTTAGTCATCAGTCGAGTACCTTCCATCGTTTCAATTGCATCTCTAACTTCACCTCTTCGTCATGAGTGTCTCGGTAAGCGAAGACATCTAAGGATAATGATCCCAGGTCTGAAGCAATCTCTGATCTAGTATTCCAGCCTCGTTTTGTGCCTTTTCCTGAGTGCCCTTGTTGCTGTCCAGTCCGGTATTATTACCAGCCATCCCGACGAGCTAATCAGTGCTCCTGCCCAATATGAGTTCCACTACTCTGTCCATGACAGCCACACTGGCGATGTGAAGGATCAGTTCGAGCACCGACGTGGCGAATATGTGACGGGTCGCTACTCTCTGATCGAACCCGATGGCCATCGTCGCATCGTGGACTACACCGCCGATCCGCTGTTGGGTTTCAATGCCCAGGTTCGTCGGGAGCCACTTTCTCGCTATTGACATGGTTTCCCCAGAGCCAGGACAACAGATATTCTCAGCTGACCCCGGACTCGTGATTTCTCTTCTTTAATTTTAAGCTGTAATGGAGGATGTATATCTGTAGAATAAATCCAAAGGCTGTTTAGTTAGAAAATCAGTAACTAAAAGGATAATGATTTAAAGATAAATGACTTTCTAGGGATAGGGAATACAAGAAAAATACATTGGCTAAAGCAAGGAGTCTAATTAAGTTTTAAACCTATGGTTTGTTTTCTAATAATGCATTTATTGCCTTCTATTTACATATAGTATTACATAGATGAGATAGTGACCCTCAGACTTCGTGTTATGGCGGTGTCGATTTCAGAGGGTCGAAGAGTCTTAGTGGAGATATCAGAGTATGAGGAAAGGAAGATAGATTCATAGAAAAATAGGTACGATACGAGGTGTCTGGATGGTTAAGCCATAGTTCAGATTCAGATACAGCTACAGGTGCGGATGCAGATGGGTCGTCGTCGATGCGATGAAGTCAGTGTTTTGCTATCTCTCTCTCTGCCGCTCTCCCACTTATGTGGCCACCTTAGTGGTACAGGCTAAGAGGCAGCTTGGCGGGAGCCAAGAGCTTGGGGCCGCATAGGCTAGCGGCAGAGGGGCTGGAGCCAGGATCTTGGCAATGGGCGCAGCCTTGACCACTTTGTGGCCCAAAGGATCACGACGCACCACTGCGTTAAAGCCATTATGCGCGTCCGAGGTGTAGTCCACAGTACGCAGGTATCCATCGGCGTCGATCAGCGTGTACTGGCCCTGCACCTGGTCGCCCTTGCGGGACTCTGTCTGGCTCTTGATGTCGCCGGTGTGCTCGTCATGCACCGAGTAGGAGAAGTCATAGTGGGCGGGAGCCTCCACTTCGACGGCCTTCAGGAGGGGCTTCACGAGGGCCGGCTGGTGGTAGAGCGGCAACTCGATGGCGGCGGCGGCTCCAACGCCCAGGATGAACAGAGAAAGGAGCTGAAAGAACACGCGTTGCATTTTAAATAAATTATTCGTAAACTCTTATTCTTAATTCGAGTATTATCCTTTCCACTTACAGCAAACATTTTGGCTTAAACTTGGCTCGACGCTAGTCTTAGATTAAGTGGTTCTGCTGACTTGGTGGCTGCTGCGGCTCCTGCTGAACTATGTCTCCAAGTGTCGCGTTCGCAACTTTTATAGTCAATGGTCTGCTCTCTAGCCTAGCCCCACCACCTCCACCTCCATCTCCACAAGCACCACACACTCTCCGTAACCCTCACCGAACCCCCAAAAAAGCAGCACACTCCCAAAAAAAAGCCGATCTCCGATCGCCCAACGAACCGGAATCTGGTTAATGCAAAACTCTTATTATATTTTTTGTCTTAATTCATTTTTTCGGCATACATATGTTGTGATCTGGTAATAAAACATTTACACACTGCTCTACTTTGGGCCACAATATTGATAGCCAATGGTGAGCGCTTGCCGTTGTCTCTGGACTGTCAAGTGGTTCCTATAGGTCTGCAATTGTTCAAACTTTGATAGTGGGCCAAAGTCAAGTGAAAGTTTTCGGGGGATTAGCTTGTATCTAGTAAACTATTTAAGTACTTAATTATTAATGACGGCTGACTGCTTAGCTTGAGATAATTAAAATTATAATAAAGAAAAACCTTTATAGAGCATATGTCATTAATTTAAATTCCCATGAAGACTTTAAGAACTGTAATTAAAAAGCTCATCCGTAGAGATCCGTAGAAGTCTCTCCTCAATTTATTGATTTCAGTCTGCTCCTCCCCTCAATTATCCTTATACGATTTTTTCTGAGCCCTTCCTATCAATTGCATTCCATATAAAACATCAATGTGATCCCAGACAAGTTGGCTGACATATTGGACGGTAATAGGAGCAGGAGCATTGGCTTATCGCCGTCACATCAAACAAATTGCACGTTGACATTCGCAGATCGCTTGATCGAGAAATGCCGTTAAGAGCTTTGCCGATTTTCCACTTAATTAATTAATCAAATTGCAACATCCGCTCGTGTGCCGCCCAAGATCGAGCTGGATCTGGATCTGGGTCTGGGACTGGGGCTGGTCAGGTGGCGGCACCGTCGCCTTCGCCTTTCACGCATGTGCTCTGCACACAAATCAATGCGACAAAGGCCGGGCCGACGCACTCCAAACTTGTTGCCGAATTCGATATGAAGTAATAAGCCGGCTACGCAGATCCAGTGGTGTGGGGTCAGGCGGAGCCCAGAGTTGGAGTGGTTCAGTGCGTGTGCGCATGCGTACCTGAGTCTTGCGCCACATTCATTTAGAACAAGATTACAAGTGCGGTGTGTGTGTGTGTGTGTGTGGAGTGCGGAGTGATGGTGGTCTCTGACTGTGACTCTGAGTGGTCGTGGACCAATTTGGCATCGGCCGCCGTCTGCTCACGCACTTGGACAGATCGGTTCCTCCAGCGCCGCCACTGCTCTCCGTGCAGGCGTGCCGGCTGTCGTTCGCCTGTCCACCTTCCACCGCCCAACCAAATCAGCAAACAAGACATATAAATTTAAGTAGTCTCTATAAATAATAAGTTGTGTCTACTTAGCGACATGTACACAAGCGTAGATCGTGTCCAATACCCACGACAGGGTTCGAAGGAGGAGATATCGCTGGATCAGGAGCTGAAAGAGCACGTATATTATGGCAATTTCTGTCAAATGTGCCTGGTTAATGTGCTCTGGTATGCACAATTAAGAAAGTATAAAATAGACTAAAGCAGTATTATTTATTTGATTTAAATCTACAAAACGAGAGACTATGACAGTCATCTTTAGAATACCCAGAGAATAGAGCTAAGCTGAGGTTTTGCTCCTAATCAGCATCAATCCATTTCTTTTAAATACGATGAGATAACATGATGCCTGGACACGAATGCTTAAATAAAGTTTACTATTTGGCATTACTAAAGTTTTTATTATTGATTTCATTTTGCGTTATATGTATGTTTTCTTTGAAATATCAAAAAATTTGCAAATAGATTACATATGTTTTTCACTGACATCTCCTTTTCTTTTTTTGGTTTCGCAATATTCTTTCGGTTGTGTCAACAGAGTACGACGCACTACATATAATCATTTGTCTCACATATGAATTGTTTATGTAGAAAAGGTTAAGTAAATCTCTAGCATATTGTACTATATAGAGCCGTATAGAATATATGTTCACTTATTGGCAATTTCGAAAAGGGTGAATCTATTGTGGCTTTGAATTGCCTGCACCAAACATTATCGTTCGCTGGTAAAAATAAAATAAAATAATACAAAACACAATGAAAACAATAATCAAAGCGATGCGATGATCTTAGGCGCAGGCAAACAATGGCCTGTGAGGTATAAAAAAGCAAAAGCGGTTAACAAGAAAGGATTGACAACGCCTCTCATAATGCTCCCGGCTTGAGGGAGAAGGACAGCTTGGGCCTAGAATTGTTTTTGCCTAGTATGACCTTCTGCTCCTCCTTAACGCGCTTCTCCTGCTCCTTGCGCATGCGTTGCCGCTCCTCGTCCATAAGGCGTTGCTCTTCAATGATCGCTAGCCGCTCTTCGGCCTAAAAAAATAAATGTATATTATGTTTAAAGTGTATTTAAAGAAGAGTAATAGAGCAGGTCTTACCAGTTTTCTTTGAGCTTCTTCAATTTTCCGATTGTTTTCGGCCAAAATCTCTTCGAGCTCTTCGCGTTTCTGTTTCTCATCCTCCTATAAAACCCAAACAAAATGACGATTAATAACAAACATCAACGCCTTGGCCTGAAGCTTAGAACTATGGATATATATATATATTATATAAATAAACAGTCTCTTGACATCAGCGATGCAAACGGTGCGCCGAATATGACGCACGCTTGTGGTTGAATTTTTTTTTAGCTTGATGAGCTGCAAAGGCAGTTAGAATCTAGTTTCTTTTTTATACTTAACAATACGTTACAAAGAAAATTTAAGGTAAAAAAGTAAAACATTTAGTAGTAGTGTCTAAATATAAGAATGTTTAAAGTAGGTTGACTCTTAGGTTTATTACAATATATGTAGGTTCACACAACATAAAAACATGTACTAGTAGTTGCTAAATGATTGGTCTTCAATTGATTTTTTTTGTTTTGTTTTTTTATTTTTGCTACTTACTATTTAAATAGAGGTCATTATTCCAGTACAAAGGCTAAATTTGTGTTAATTTTATATAGAATTTTTGCAGGTTTTCGATTTTAGTTTATGTATATAGTTTTGTATTTATCTTTTGTGATGCATATTTCGCTATTCCAGACGTAAACAAAAAAGCTCAACACACACAAATAATCGACTGGCATCGGGTATACGGTCAAGAGTCCAATGCGAATCTTACAGACATGAGTTCTATTCTTGGGAGGGGAGTCATTACTGGTTGGGTCTCTTTTGGCGTCCATTATCCTGACGGCTGCGCTGGCTTATGATCACATCGCTGGCGTTGGAAACTCACCCGTCTCTTTTGGCTTTTCAATTTGCTTCGCATGCAGCGAACAGTTGGGTCTAAAATCAGCCGGCCCCGCCCGGACAACTAGGTCCGCCTAACTACCCCGACTAACTGAGGGACACCACTTGCTGGTTTGGTTTTCTTTTTTTTTTGTTGGGATGTGGGTGTGTAGTAGGAGGAGGGTGAGCGTCCCTCGCAGCGGGCTCGCTTTACTTCCGGTGCGAGCGTTTAGCAGGACACGATCAGCACGTTCGTGGCACGGGCCTACGGAAGCGGAGTGTTTGCGCGCAATACCAACACGACAACGAACCAGTTACAGAACCAATACCAAAAAATTAAAATGATAACAGTATGTGGGTAGAAACAAACAGAAAAGATGAAGCTAAGAGTATGCAAAATGGGTCATTCATGGGCATCAAAACTGTGACACATGCGGCACTTGGCAATGTCGTCATTTTGGCTTTTTTCTCTTTTTTTTTTGTTTTGGTAGGAAAAATAAAAATTACAAAATTATTGGCAGAATATAGAGAGGAGAGAGAGCGATGGCGGAACCAGCCTCGGCGCCCGCTCCCGTCCTGGCTCATTGATATGCTTGAGGGGCTCTGAAAAGGCGTGACTGTTTGGTTAGTGTTGGTGCCGGTTAATGGACGCTAGGGGCCGGGTTAGGTAAGGCAGGCAGTCTAGAAGGAGGATGCTTTTGGAATGGATGCACCAGGATGAGCACATTGAGCCAAGGAAGGAAACGCCTCCGAAGCGGTTACGCGCCAAGTGGTTGAGACGACTGTTTGAACTGCTGTTTTTTCGGGTTTGTACGAGTGTACGAGTGTGTCATTGTGTACGTTTTGTTTTGACAGTGATAGCAGCAGTCGTCCAGCGGAATCTGAATACGAGCACCTACCTCGCGCCGGCGTTCTTCTTCGCGTATCTGCTCGCGACGCCGCTCCAGCTCCAGCATCATCTCGCGCTCCATTTCGGCCTTGGCGGTCTCCACGCGCCGGTTGACCTCCTGCTCGATTTCATCGCGACGCTTCTCTAGCTCTTCCTCGACGCGTTTCTTAACTAGCATTTCTATACGTTTAGCAGCCTCCTCCTCTATGGTCTTCTGTTCGGCCTCTTTTGCCCGCCGCTGCCGCTCCATTTCTGCCAGACGCTCGACCTGCAGCTGGTTTTGCTGTCAGAAAATAATCGAAATTAATGGAATGTTTTCAAAGGACGATTGGGGGCTGCGGCCCTATCCCACTCACCTCATCCAGCTTCTTGAAGCGGCTGCGCTTGTGTCTACTGCGCTGAGACTCGAGCTCCGAGTACTGGCTATCACTGCTGGACGAGGTGGAACGCTTCCGGGACTTGATGATCGACGGAGAGTGGCGGTAGTCGCGCTCCGTGTGGCGCTCGCCGCGGTGTCTGTCACGCTCTCTGTCCCGCTCCCGGTCGCGCTCACGGCGTCCGTGATGGTTCACCTCCGAGGATTTGTCTCTATCCGCTCGGGTGCTGCTGCGCTCGTGTTCGTGGTGAGACTTACTGCGTTTTTTGTGCTTGCTTTTGTGGTGGCGGCGTTTGCCCGACGGGCTGGGAGTGCGTGAACGTGAACCCATGGCGTGGGAGTAGGCGATTTAATCAGTCTCTGACTTTGCTGGTTTCCCGGTTCGGTCGACACAACAAATCAATCGAAGTGAATACAAGTTTTGTACGATTTTCGCAGATGCCTTGAAAACAGTGTTGGACAACTGCTTGGGCTGGCTGACATAAGTGTGGTATATTTTATTTATATTTTTCTGGTATTAATTTATTTCATATTCTATGTTTCGCAACACTACTACAATTTTGATAGTCGTTTTTTTGTGTTTATAATCTACTCCGGTTTGTCTTGCTTCACAATCATGTTGTGGAACCGATCGATCATCACTTGATTGTCCTTAAAACCCACACACTCCTTGGCAGCTTCCTTGGGCAGCCACTTGAGGGCTGTGTGCTCCTCGGAGAGAATGGGTTCCTGGCAAGGATTTCGCAGTTCCGCCAGCCAGTAGATGACAATTTTCGGTTTGCCTTTCACTTCATAATTCAGCTCCAGCGGAGTGTCCTTGTATATGATCAGATCCTTTTCATCATATCTGTAAGTGCAGTTTTGGCATTGGCGCTATGTGTAGTTAGGAACTGATAAGCACTTACCCGGCTTCCTCCTTGGTCTCTCGGAGCGCAGTGGTAAAATCATCTTCTCCTGGGTCGACATGGCCCTTGGGGGAACTCCAGTGAAAGTCTCCATATGATGCCTTTAGTAATAGGTATTGTATTTCACCGCAAAGGCGACGAAAAATAACAAAGCCCGCCGCTTTCTTCATGTTTTGACTATCAATTCACAGGAACAGGTGTTTAACCAGTGCTGCACAATAATATTTTGGTATGTAGGAACTTTAATTATTTTTCTCTATTGGGTTTCTTAAATTAAGTATTTCTGTTAAATACGATTTTTGTTTCTAATAATCTTTTAAAGATAATTGTCATATATATTTCAAAAACGGATTAGCTTAATGGGAAATTTTACGGAACACTAAATTTTACAAGGGAAATTTCCATAGTGTTGGGAAACGGGAAACATTTTTAACGTATGTTTCGGTTGCGGTCTAGATGTGCACGTTTTCTTTGTAAATTCATTACATAAATCTATAAAAAGTGCATCCAAGATGTACGCCCTGCTCCGACGCTTCGTGGGAGTCTCCACCAGCAGTAGTCCAATTAGATGCTACGCCTCCTTTACGCCTAGGGATGTGTTACGGCAAAGTGCCGACGAGACCGGCACCCTGCTCACCCGCTTTGCCAAACACATTGCTCTGGAGCGATACAGGGATCGGGAGCATGTGCTGCCCAAGACGACAATCCGGTATGCCGACTACTTTCCCATCACGGACGACCGTTACTTCCAGCGGTCCGTTCAAAAGACGGAAGCGGCCCAGCTGCCGGCTCTAATCATACAGGCCTCCAGTTACCGATCCAATGCTGCCGTGCCCATGTATGTGGCCGCTCTGAACGCCTTGGACAACCATGCAGCCAATCAGCTATCGAAGATGGAAACCAGCACTGTGCTGGAGACGCTGTACTCGTTTCTGTTTCTCATCCCCGGCTGGATGAAGCGGACTGACTTCTTCCAGGCAGCTGTTCAGCGATTGGCCAAAGAAGACTTCCGCGACAACAAGGAGCGCTTCGTTCAGGTGTGCTTCTACCTGGGACTGCAGAAGAAGCAAGCTCAGACATCCAACGACTTCCAACAGATGCTCGAGGATCAACTGGCAACACATTTGCCTGTGTTAAGTGAACTGGATCTGGCCATGATTAGCAATGCAGCCTATAAGACCTCCACTTTAGTTACGGGCCAGGTGCGAGACTCGTACGAGTCCTCCCTTGTTAAAGCCACTTTAAATTTGAAACTAGATGCGGAGAGCATTGCTCTGTTGGTCTCCTTTGTGAAGGCCTTGCGCCTCCAACGGGTGAAGGACGATCGAGTCTGCCAGCATCTGCAGGAAATCTGCCTAGATCCTGTCAAGATTGCTCTCATAGATCCTCGCGGGTTGGCTCATATTTTTGCTTTTTTCGCGGAACAACTGTGGGACGAGAAGCAATGCCTAACCATCGTTGTGGAGCGTCTAATGAACTTACTCAAGCCAGGAGATCTTCGAGCCAAGGACCTTGCCACCTTCTTGTGGGCCAGTGCCCAACTGGATTGTGAATTATCCGAACCGCAAATCCGTCAGCTCGAGCTGGCTGCTCTTCGAAAGCTAGACTATGGCGAGTACGATTATTATCCGGACAATCTGGTGGACACCTGCTTATCGCTATGTACCTTGGGACACTACTCCAAGGATCTTATTAACGCAGCTGAGGAACTGAAGGCCGCACAACGACGACAGCGAGCGCAGCCCAAGGTGGACAGCCGTTTGATCGTTTTGCGATCAGCTATTGCCATTGAGCAACCAGCGCTAGGAAAGCTGAAGGTGGAACAGGCATACAAAGAGTTTGACCGTGCACCAGCTTACTTGCTAAAGGAGCGCACGGACTTGAGCAAGTACGCTCAGGAGCTAAGTCAAGATGCCGAGGTGGAAGGCGTGGATTTGGTGTGTCCCATCAGTGGCGTAAACCTGCCAAGTCTTCGAGTACAGACCATGGGCGAGCAGCCAAGCGTTTACTTTGTGGAATTACTCTCTGCAGACCAGACCTTAAAGTTCAGCAAGAAACCGACTTCATTGCTGCGTCTAAAGAAGCGGCTCCTGGAGTCATTAGGCCAAAAGGTGGTCGTGGTAAGATAGTGCAGCTAAAATCGAGACCTTTAGGATATTAAGCATTCATTTTCACAGCTCCGCTCAGCGGATATGGTCACCAGCGCCAAGGAACTCCAGCAGCTGCTAATTCCAGATACAGCGGCAGAGATAAACAAAAAAGCCGAAGCTGCCCAAGGCCTGAGTAGCTGAATCTTGTGATATATATTCCTAGGCTAGTTACAGATCGTAGCTGTATTTAACAGTGTTTTATGTACTTGTACATATTTCTTTAAATATTAATAGCACTAAACATAATGTTCAACAAGTAATTTATAATACAAGGAATGGGCTACAGGCGTGTGTGTGTGTTCCTCAACAAAGGAATCATCGAATGGACTTAATCTTGGCCTTAAGCACGACATAGGAAACCAGTCTGAAGACAATAATCATGGCTCCAAGAGCAATGACGTCGTTCCAGAACTGATCACCTCTCATGGTAATCTCCTCAAGGAATTTCTTTGGATACCTGAGGCGAAAAAAAAAACAGATTTATAATGTGAAAGCATGTGGTGCCAGAAGGTCCTACCTGTAATGGCAGTAAGGCGCCTCCTCGCACGCCAGCACTCCTCGATCCAAGCCGTAGATGGCCGATATGAAACCCTCTAGCCCATATCTTAAATAAGATATGTGGCTACCCCATTGTAGGTAGCTTGGCAGGTCCCTCAGGGTCACTCCAAATCCAGCGAACATCATCATGGGAATGGTGAGAACGGGCGCCAGGAAAGTGCCGTTGACCACATCGAACCAGGAGCCGATCATCAGCCCGAAACTATGGCCGACGAAGACCGTCAGTAAGCTAATAACGAAGAACATCCAAAACCGGACCCACTCCATAGGCTGGTAACTCCACAAATAGACAATGACGGTGAAGATGAAGCAACTTATTATCTGCCAAAGAAAAATCTGTTATATATGGAAGTCCGATTGTCACAAACCAAAGTGTTACTTACCGATATGGGCAGGTCGACGATGGTCATGGCAGTGTAGTAAGCTTTCAAGGAATACCAACGGTTGAAGTGCTCCTTAATCAGAATGGACATCTCAATGGGGACTAATTAAAGATAAAAACAAAAGGTTAAAATCCCTGTTTGAACCACTCAATCAAAGAGTTACGTACAAGTCAGGACAGTCAACATCATTGTGGTCATGGAGTGATGCATCAGAATGGCGAACAGCAGGTTGTAGTTATCCAGCACTCGAGATCCCTCGCGACCTGTGTGATCGTACATGGCACCAAAGAGAGCGGCCACTGCAATGTTCACACCAATCCTCAAGTGTGTCATGGTGGTGTCCCGCTTCGCCTTCATGTAGCCGCGTCTCATCAGCACCGAACACTGGTTGGAGAAGCTTGTGTCCTCTAGAGAACGTGCTTTGGTGCGCTTGGGGATGGGATACTTTCTCATCAGAGCCTCGGATCGCAAAATCGAGCTGGGATTGTCGAACCAGGTGAGGCAGCTTCCGTTTTCCGTGGCTCCCTTCAGGGTGTCGACCTTGTCGTAGCCATACTCCCCGCAGGCCAGTTCGATGACTGGAAAATATAGTATTTATTTAGCCTTTTTTTAAAGTTTTTTTTTTAATTTAAACTCACTGTAATCCGCTGGATTGTGGTACATGGGACAGGGCAGATCCACGGCCTGCAGAAAAGGCACCAGTTTCTGGGTGCTGCCTTGGTAGACGCAGTTACCGGCAGCCAGGACATAGACCTGGTCAAAGATCTGGAAGAGCTTGGCAGTGGGCTGGTGGATCGTGCATATAATGGTGCGGCCCTGGCCGGTCAGCTTCTTGAGCAGTTCCAGAACCTTTGTGCAAGAGCTACTGTCCAAGCCTCTGTAAGGAAAAAGATTTAATCAATATGGGATTTGTACATATAGAATGTTAATCCTACGTTGTTGGCTCGTCCAGGAACATCACAGTGGGATTGTTGATCAACTCCATGGCAATGGATAGCCTCTTTTTCTGACCACCAGACAGGCGCATAGTGAGGGTCTGATCGTGATCATACAGGCCCAGGAGCAGCAGTATATCCTCGATCTGCAGGGGAATTAATTCCGATTAAAGACATCTCTGAGCAACTGCAGATCGTTCTCAAACTCACCCTGCTCTCTTTCTCCTCATAGCTGACAGTCTGGCCCAGCTTAAGATCGGCGGCTATATGCATATTCTCGTTGACCGTCAGCAATGGCTGCAGTCGATCGTCCTGTGTGATGTAGCAGGACATGCGACGGAAGGAAGCTGCAGATGGAATATTTTTTTTATCATTCCAATATTCAGCATTAGTTTCTAAAACTTACGCAAATCACGCCGCCGGCCATTAAGCAGGATGGAACCATCGACGCCGGTGGTCTTGAAGCCAGACAAGGCATCCAGCAGCGTGGACTTTCCCGCTCCCGAAGGTCCCATGATGGCGATGAGCTGGCTGCCGGGGAACTTTCCGCTTACATTGTGCAAGATTTCCTTGGATCCTAAAAGTAGAAATTCCGAATTTTCTTAATGCTATCATAAATGGCTATAAAAACACTTTATAACCTTCATTTTTTACGGTCGTTGATATTATGGTTCAAGTCCAAGTCCGTAAATATAGTATCTGGGCTTTTAGCAATTATTAAGGTAATAACGGGATAAACAAGTTTAACCACAATTTTGAATTAAATTATATATTGTATTTGCTTTCTTTACAGATCGGATTAAATAGGGCGAATATAGAAAGAAATTGCTTAGCCAGGAAGGGATTTAGTTTTTAATTACCATATTAATTCTTGTCAGGTTGGTAATAATTTTTGATCTATATTTTATTTCTTAACAGCATTACTAGAAAATGCAAAACTGAAAGTGTAAAATCGTTAATTTATTATGTTTCGGTGAATGTAAAGAATGTAGACATAACTTGGTTGTTTTTTTAACATATATTGTATTAATTATTAATGATAGCATTACATTTGCAAAGTTACTTGTGTCTCCCTGCCTGTCGTTTATTCTATCCCGCTGGTTTTCTCTGTCTCTAAGTCTCTATGTCACTCTCTCTCTCTCTCTCCCTCTCCCTATAGTTGTCGATATGTCATCTCTCTTTGTGTTTCTCTAGAGATATCCCTTACTCTCTATCTCTCTGTGCCTACCTCAAGAAGGATCTCTTTCTCTCTCGCTCTCACTTTCTCCGTTCTCTTTACTCGGGGACTATAAATACAGGCACTGACTTCGCGCTGACCTCATTCAGTCCGTGGCCGCCCCAGTGTTTACATCTGCAGTGATAGTGATTGTGATTACCCTTCGACCCCCAATTATCACTTGGCCAAGGCAAAGCATTTGGATAATCAGGAAGAAGCTCACTTTGATCAAGATCAAGAATATAACTCTACACTGGATGGAATTAAGCAATGACAAAAAGGATGTCCTCCACTGCGGTAAGTCTTAACAATGACAATTAAATCATTTACCTAGAAGCTTTAAGAGGAATCAGGCCTAGGTTTAGAATCAGATAAGATAGTTTTGCATTCATTTTCCAATTATTTTCTTTATTGCCATGTACCGCATTACATAATTTTAATTTAAAGTGATAGTCCAAATTTTGCTGCCGAGATTAATTTTTTCTTAAGGGAAAGTTATAAAAATATTATTATTGGGTCACTATTCATAATATATTCTAATTTGATGTTAACCTTTGCTCGTTAAAAGTTTTGATAACAATATCATTGCGTTGACCACATATTATCTTTATATTTCGAATAATTACCGCCACGGGGCGAAGAGTTGTTTGGTCATTGGCATTCTGGTTCTTGATTAGAACAAGTTACCAGGGGCAGGAAAGTACCCACTGTTGATATCAGTTGCTGCTTTTTCCTCCTGAACTTTGAAATTAGCAAAAGAGCCTTGTAAAAAGTATACTTATTTATGGTATATCGAATGCCAAATGCCCTATTCATTTCCTTATGGAGGAGATCGTTCCTGGTTGAAGTGTAACCCGTGTATATAAGGGAATTTATGAATGACTAAGTCCCGAAATTGATAAACAGAGGTGTGTGCGATCGGTGTGATCGTGTCGCTTATCTAATCACTCGAGAAGCCAGTTGGTAAAGGAACTAGCAAAGCAAGTGTTTATGGCTTATTGGTATGTGAAGCTTTGCCGAAACACAGTAACCTTGAATAGCACTTTGATTGGTTCTTTAAACTTGCATAATTATATATTAGATGATTATTTTAAACGAAAGTAAAAGTACTCCCCTCAAGAGACCCCTTTTGAAGTCTTTAAGTACTTGGTTTATAAGTATTAGTTCGCTTATTTCTTTTGGATGAGTTCTCTCACTGCTTTTGGTTAGTCAAAGAGTAGCCGCTGATCGTAAAACATATATAAACCGAATATGGCTATAACTCCTAGCTAATTTTAAGTATTTTCCACTGGCAATCTTATCGAGCCATATCTTAGAACATGCGATCGCTGTGGATCGTAAATATGACGCCTTAGCTCACCTCGGTTAAAGCCCAATTTCACAGTCAGGGACAGCTCCTTGAACTCCATATCCACAGGCTCACGGGCTGGCAGGTTGTTGAGGGCATCAATGTCGAAGTGCACCTCCTCCTCCTCCACGGGCTCCAATGGTGGCTGCTTGCTGGCCGTGGATCCATTGCTGTACGCCACCTGTGGCGGTGTGGAAACGGATGGGGGCGTCACAACGTTGGTCGTTGTGCTCGACTGGCCATTGCGCCATCCTCCGGCGCTGGTCACGGGCACTGTGGTGGCATTGTAAACCCGACTGGGCGTCACCTCTCCGATCTCGATGCCCAGGCCAAGTCCGGCGACACCGTTGTCGCTGCCAAATAAGAACTGCTCCCGCGCTGTGGCCATGCTAGGTGTGATGGGTCAACTAGGGGAAGAGGTAACAGAGCAATATATTAGAAAAGCCATTAAATAATGATGTTTACTTTTGGGGAGGATTATTACAACTATATTAAAAACTATCGTATAAATTACTAGTTTTTTAGAGGAAGTTTCTCTCCAAAAATCGTATCACAAAAGGTTCCTAATTGTATTTCGAAACGTGATTATATTTTAAAATTCAAAAAATAACAAATAAACATTTTCTAGCCTTACGATTAACCATTAAATATCTCTTTTTAGGTGTTAAATTCAGTTTCGTTGGATATTTGTCCACCGCTTGATTGATTCATCGATTGATTGATGGTGCAACAAGCAGCATGCCTCTCCTGGATGGCTCTGGCCTGCAACCCGTTCCTGACCAGTTGAAAATGTGTTGGCCTTACTCATTAAAACAGGTTTCACTGCATCTCAATTCGCACTTTGATCGCAGCTAGACAGATCGTATCAACCTTTGTCTTCTAACCTTATATTTGTTGGGCTTGGTTACTTCCAATCAACGGCTTAGATTGCGTATATTGATTAGCAGCTAAACCCCTGATTGCTGATCCTCCTGGCTCTTGGTTCGTTATATGGGATGGCTGTTGAAATTATTCAATTATCAGCATCAGGCATGCTGGCAGTTCCAATTAAACGCCAGTTTACATAAGCGAAATGTAGCACGCAGTTTACTCCACATTTCGCACTGCTGCTGCTGCTCCAAGAGACAATTAAATACGGGTGCATTAAATGCACAGATTTGCGAAAAGATCAAGGTACAGAGGCGCTGGAGCGGGATCCGAGGCAGAGGCAGGCGGAGACAATAAAACAGTGCACAATTGAGTGGAAATAAAATTGCCAGCGAGAATGTGTGCTGTGTCGTATGCACATCTGCTATTGATCCGCCGATCTGCTCCAAGCTGATCACTTGCGATCAAAACAAAAGCATTGTCCCATGCCGAGCATTAACAACAAATGGAATCGCCGTTGTCTGCGTTGGTGACGATGCTACTATATAGTAGCTAAAGCTTTTAGATGGGTTGCTTTATTATCAACGCAACAAACAGGGGTTTCTTACTTCAGAATTTTGTGCAATCTCGATTGGTTGTTGAATAACAAAGTCCGAAAAACAAATTATTCAGATTTCCAGAAGAGTGAGAAAGATAGAATTTTGCTTATCAAATCTCTTGAGGTTGGATATCTATATATCAAATATATATGTACATAATATAAGAGTCAAGTCCTTGATGAACTTTTCTTTCATCTTGATGCATTTTCCGTATTGTTCCGTGTAAAACTGTGACGAAGGCATATATAGTATAACCCCTTATCAGAATCTGGGCAATTTTCCTTGTTTGTGGGGCAGTTCCAACTGGGACATTTCCCTTTTATTATTTACAAGTTGAGACAGGTAACTGTCTATTAAACACTGCACTTGAACCCAAGTGAGTAAGTTATCAGGGCTGCCAATTACAATTACCTATGTCAATGCCCTGGAAAACCACAGGGGGAGGTAGGGAGTGGCCCTACCTAGCTCGAGGGCACTTTGATGGGACTTAATCAGTTATATTTCAATATTGATTGATACCCAGAGCTGTCGGCACATTTAGCCGGTCTCGCACTTTTCTTGGATTCCTTTGTTCGATCTCCGGACGAGCTTTACATTTCGAGTTTGCCTGTGACTTTGGGGACTGGGATGATTGTTAACTATGCTGCGGTTCGTATACATATATAACACATTACATTAGGTACTGATGCTGATGCTGTGCCTGCCCTGAAACATTGTTTTGTATATGTTACCTTGTTTATGTGCCTCTCTCGCCTTGCCGACCGAACAAACCGGTCCGGATTGAATCCCCTGCTCTGTTGCAGCTGGAAGACGGAGGCGAGTACAGCAGCTGTTCGACCGGAGGCGGTCAGAGGGGGAATCGGGAGCAATGCCGATCAGTGCGTTCCCTGGGAACAGATTTCTGTTTATATTCTGATAATTAGATAATTCAGAAATGACAATAATACTCTCGGTTTCCATCTTTGGGACCGGGTTATTGTCAAACTGATTTTAAGTATTCAGTAGCAGTCAGTCCATAAACGCAGATTGCAATTCTACAAATCAAAATGCGGGTTAAGCAGTTCCCCAAAGAGTGGGGTCGTCTCTGCGGAAGTGACCCAGTCTCACGGGTCTGGAGAATAACGTCGCCAGATACATTTCACTTGTATCTAGTCTTCACAGCAAATACCGAAGCATGAATCAGAGGGCCACTTAACACTTGCCTTGTTACGGCTCGAAGGGGTTCACGTTCGTTAACAAAGGCTGTTGTTAATATCATTAATATAATTTTCTGATAAGGTATGGGCCAATCATTTCGTATATCTGAAGTCTCTTTTATTGCATTGCATGGAGGTAAAAATTTAACATAAATAAGTCTTTTATTCCTTATGGAAATCAATGAACTTGTTTCCTTAAAGGATAATTTCTACGGGTGTCCTATGTTTTTTTTTACTGATCTATAAGTAAGCTCAATATTTTCTCTGCTTTGCATTTATTTTTCACAAATATATGTGAAGCATTTAAATTTCTTAGTTCCGTACGGTTCACTTTATGTTAAGAAAGCATTATTGTGACACAATTTCTTTTATTCTTCACTTTGATAACATTATATTTTAATTTACAGAAAGGATCCTTAGTTGTTTTATGTACAATCTTATCCCAATTTAAAAAGGAATAACTTTTTTATTTAAAAATGTTTATTAAAGAACGCAAACATTGCACACATATTTTATAAACTTTTATTTCTTCGTCTTTGATTTTGCATATATTAACAACTTTCGCGTACTTTATTTATAAAGATCCTTACCCTTTTTTAGAGTCAGGATTTTTGCACTTTAACAGAAGAACTCGAAACACTATAGTATATCCACCGAAACGTTGATCTTGCGATCTCGGAACCGAGTAACAGCGTCTTCGAAGCGACGTGCGCGACTGGCGGTCAGTAAACAAACAGTGATCCCAGCTAGCTGTGGTGGCTCCCGTTCCCGATCGCCCAGAAGTCGGCTGCCAGCGGAGAGCAGCTTCGCTGATCGTTGCCGCTGCCGCTGCCGCTGCGCACACAGCCACAAAGAACACGATCGGGCGTCCCAGCTGGGCGGGAGTATCTGTGAGTCCGTGTGAAAGTGTGTTGAATGAAGGCTTTATCGAAGGCGCTCAGTGATGCTCGGTAAAATTAATTAAAATAAAATCAGAATTTAGAAAATTCCTTACTTTGCAGACTGCAAATCATTGCCAACTTATGGGCAGTTGGTCATAGGAAGTATTGTAGAGATAAACAATTATCAGTCTTATGAGTGTATCTCACATGTTATCGATTTGAAATTTGGTAAGTAAGTAAATAATTATGATCCGTATGAAATTGAAAAATTCTTTTATTTTAAAAGCAATAAGTATATTAATATCTATAAATTATATATTTGATCCTATTATTTATTTTATTAATAAGTTCACCGCTGTTATTATTTTAAACAAACAACAATAGAACTGAACGCATTTAAAATATATAATATTAAACTTATTTTGATACTGAAATAATATATTTTAGTAGTAATACTTATATAGATTTTTCATGGTTAAAAGAAATTCCTGTTATTTCCATGGTAATAGCCAAGAAACCAACACTGGCCCAAAGAACGTTCGTCAGTCTCTGCTGGCGTTTATTTCGCATTGGTTATTAATGTTTTGCCGTTGTTAAATTGTCGTTTTCCTTCACTGATAAGAGCCACACTCTCGCTCGCACACACTCTCTCACCTCTGATACTTACCTGCTGTGGCAGCTGATTGAGTTTTTTTTGGCAGTACGGCTGTTTCGGCCCGATCGCAGTGCTTGGCAACGGAGAGCGCAATGGTATTGGATCGAGAGCTCGGGGGCTTGGGCTTAGGTCACAAGTCCACATATCGAATTTCTTCGGTGCTCCGCAAGAGTCTCGTATACGTAATACGTAATAAAGCGTTGCGTTCTTTTCGCTTTTATTCTGTGCCAATGGCAGCGGCGCAGAGTGAAACAATGGCTAGCTCCTATCCCCGCTCGACATTATCGGGTCCGGTTTACAATGCCTATATAGCTTAGTAGGTAGTATAGAGTATATAGTATATAGTTCCACCTACACACAAAGCATCCGTTTACTTATTAAGACTCTTTGTGCTGGCTTGTGAATCAGAGTTATTTCACCGATTAGCTTCCCTATTCTGACGTTCTTTGGACCCTTCCATTGACTGGTATTCACGAAATCGAGCACAGTAATCTGATGCCTCTTTTATTCACTTACCTTTTTTTTGTGCTTTCATTGGAACAAAATTTGGAACCTCGAAAAAGCAGGTACCTGTGTATTTTCTTTGTATATAATCTATAGTTTAGTTTTAAATAGTTGAAAAGTAATTAAATATTTAATTCTCTTTTCTGAACTTCAGTCTTTTAATATTTAGGCATTAGATGCAATGATCATGATTAGGTCTCGGTCTCCATACTAAGTAAACTCAATCTGATTTAAGGATTTAAAATCTAAAATTTTTAGATTACTATCTTATTAATTCATTGCAATTATAACAGAAACATTTTTACAATTTCCTTTAAAGTAAGTTTCATATTAGCTAACTTAACTCAAATTAAATCACCAAGATTTCAAGTATATTGTTTTCACTTTCATGTTCCCCAACTTGTAGAACCTCCGCTGCTTTGTCCCACTTCTACATTCCCCTACTGAAAACTTCATTGATAAGTGCTTATTTAGTTATTATCGTAATAATTACCCCATCAAATGAGCCCCGCGGCGACTCTATGATTCAATCCTCGCGACGGACTTTGAACGTTCTCGACTCGAAAGCTAAACAAAAGCCGATTGATATAGTAAGTACTGCTGAATGTTCCCAAGTTTATAAGGGAGAACAGACTACAATATAGAAGCAAGTAATAATACGTCACGGCTTTATCCAGTGCTACTGCTCAGGCTTGAACTTTGTTCTGAGCTTGTTCCGGGGATTACGAGTTACTACATCGATAGCCGGTGAATGGAGAAGTTTGTTCCAGTACTCTATAAATAACGATTTACATAGGTGTTTGATAAGTTTAAATATTAACTACATCTACAAAACACAATCTGCACGCCCGCCTATACGATAAGATAACCATTTATGATCGTTATGGCGAAGGCAATAGGAAATCGTAAATAAGGCGCATGGGAATTCATCCGTCTTGAGACTAAATCTAGCTTGGCTTCCTTGTTTTTCCTAATCGCTTTAAGCTCAGGTTAAATATTTGCCAATATCATTGCACCCACCTACTGATCAAGCGTCAAAATCTAGAGGGTTTAACTCGCCTCCGATTCAAGTTATCATCATGAGTTCCGTCCATGGCGTTGTGGATTTTCTAAATAACCAAAGTCCAAATAGCCGCGGGTTCTTTAATGTTCCTCTACGACTAACATATGTGACATTGTCGTGGGTGATCCGTTCAGTCCGTATCAACTTTGCTGATAAGCCTGACAAGAGCGTGTGCCTCTTGGAACAATTAAATATGATCTCTGTCCAAAAATCTTAGGCACATCGGAAGTGGTTTATTCCACAGATTTAACGATTTATTATGAATGACTAATGGCGTGACTCTACCGATGTTTTAGCTTTTTCATGTCTCCATAACCATTGGGGTTTGTTGTTTTTATGAAATCAGATTTCTATCTAGAATGTAATATATAATACAATATATATTAAAACACGTTTAGTTAGCATTATTATCTACATCACATGAATAACAACTAGCAGTCCTTCAGATCCTTCAGATGTCCTTCCAAAATTTAAAATAATATTTGTTGAATGGAAATACTTATGAGCTACGAATCATAAAGCTTTTGAACTCAAACTACCTTCTTGCTTAACTCTTGATTAACTTCCGCCTACAAATAATTATAATTTGTATTAATATAATTAACACTTTTCACATTTCACACATCCAAAAGCATCTCCGAAAAGGGTCAGGTCCTTAAGAAACTCTGTTCCTGCTATTATAACCACATCCAAATACTCACCTAAAGCGGATCTTTCCCAAAATAATTTACCGACAAAAAGGATAACCATTGAAGATTGCTTAACAAATTTCTCACACACCTGAAATTTTGCTCAACCGGATTGTAGGCCATAATGGTAACGGTTCAGCAAGATACAGGCGCGAATGAAATATGCCGCCCAAAGGATAAAACCAATTCCACCAAGGAGCGATGAATCACCAAATCACTCGAACGAGACTGGAACCGCGACCGCAACTTTTCCGGGCCACGCTCGGAATGGAACTGATGACCAGAAGCCAGCGCCAGCTTCTAGGTAGCCACTTCTGATCGACCCGGACCCGGGCGCCCGTCCATCCGTCCACCTATGTAAAGGCGTATTAGCATTAGAGGCACTGGGAACAAAAGGAAGCGCTGACAATGGCAGAGCCGGCTGTGCCTGGTTGGCTGAGTGCCGCCACGGTTGGGGTTGGCTGACTGACAGACAGACTGGCTGAATGGGTGGGTGGGTCACTAGCACCACTGGCACGGCGGCACTTGCAACGGCGGCGCATGCTCGCTGAACGCCACCATTAGTCGGAACTGTTGTTGTTGCTGGCTGGGACGCACCTTACTAATACAAATAGCCGCATGGAAGCGGAGCGACAGCTGACACCATCGGCGAGCGCGCCTCTTAACGAGCGGCCAGCGCGGTGACCCCACCTGGTATCACCTGAAGTGATTACATACGCGGCCACATTGAGATGCCACTGCCTCGGGGTTGCCATGACGTGTGCCTGGGCTTGGACTTTGGTCCGCACATAGCGCAGCCGTTTATCATTGGGCAAACAATATATGTATAGCCCGGGATCCTGTCATATATCCTCCCACTTACGTTTAATACGCACCTCAAAATGGGTTAATGACTTGGTAAATGCATTTCCTAATTAAATTTAGGTCCCAGATGCAGTGGGGCGTTTGAATAACCTAATTTCGGAGCAGCCTTCGAATCCCCACCTGAATTTTTGGCAGGAGCTTTAATTAAATAGTTATCTCAGGAGGAGATTTCTTCTATAATCTTTTCGAAACGGAAGACCTTTTGTTTGAATTTAGTTCAATATATGGTAAAGTGTAATTTGTAAACTATTTGTATTCCCGAATTGTATATAAAATAAACATTTTGTAAAATAAATCATAGCTTCTAAACTCAGCTCTTAAATATTAATATAACACAAAACTAGTTTCCAGAATGTTTGTTTAAAAATAAGCTCTGCTAAGTACGCCTGAGATTTTGAGTTAATGAAAGTTCCCAAATAGATTTAAAGTCCAAATAGATTTTCAATCACAAAGGATAACAGTTTTTTTTATAAAAACTACAAGTTCCTTTCATTTCAATATTCAATAAGTTGCTTTAAATTAAAATTTAATTGAATACTGCAAAGCTCTTTTATAAGGAAGCCTCCCTCCCAATGGAATAACTTAAACGATATCCTTCGCCAATGTTATGTATTCATAGTCCGTTGCTCTGTAGCACACCTTATTCCAAAAGCCAATCCCTAAAACCATATGTACAAGGAACTATCCTCTACCGCACCCACTCTCCCCCGCCAGGAGACGTGCCACTTTTCGCGCCCCACAAGTTGCCCTTTTTCCAACCACTCTATGTCCTTTTGCCACACAAACATACACAGAGGACAGGACTCCGCAAAGCTATGAATAGTAGCGGGGATGATCTGCGGTCGTTAAAAGGGCGCGTCTGGCATTAAAACTTCCAAAACTCACATAGCCAAATGTCAGCCGAACTGGGATTGGCCTCTGGAACGCAGCTATTGCCCAGACATGTTGGCTAAAGAATCAATTATGACTAATTGAAATATTTGCAGCGACTTAGGGCTTAATAAAATGAATTTGATTTTTAAAACCAAGTATTTGTATTTCGTGAGGATTTGATTTAAAGAAAAAGCTGGGTATTAAAGACATGTTTAAAAAGTGCGGCCACACCTACCTGGCCACCTCAAAGTCCTTCCAAAGCTTCCTCTACAATTACATTTGACCGCTGGGCTATATACCAATGACATTACATAACAAGCTGATCCCACTAACGGCGGGGGCCAACCCATCCGCGACCGCATCCGCCTTTAGTCTTGCCATACATTAAAATCTAGGTGAGGGTGTGTTGGCCGTTGAACGAAATTTAGTATCAATGAGCATGCGGCTCTGCCATTTGGATTGTATGGTTAATTTAAATGCAACTATTTAATTAATTTCAGCTCCGCCCGAAACGATTTGTTTGCACATAATTAAATCGACTAATTGGATGCCAGTTTTTAGTATCAATTAGCCCCTGCCTGGACAGGGCGTAACTTTATGCCTCACATATCGATTTAACCTGCTTAAGCTACGCCAAGTCAGCTTGCTCTGTGGCCAAAGTTAACTCTGTGGAGCCCGGCTTGACCTGAGGCTGTCCCAGCGACATAGGCAGCCGATCCCCCCAGCGACTGACTTTCGCACAACTGTAGGCAGATCTGCAAAGAAAATTAAATTGCTGAAGAGACCAGATATAAGAAATAGTGATTCCACTTACTTTCCGTGCTTAGACTTGGTGAAGATGACCTCTTGTAGATTGCCTTCTCCCGTGCAAACCCTACAGATGGCATGCTTCGAACGCACCAAAGTGGGTCGCACAATCCGGGGCCAAGAACGGGAACTATCGGATTGGGGACCTTTCTTTAGAATCGCATAGCTATACAAAGAGGTGTGACGGTCCGCATTAGAATCACTGCCCAATCGAAGAGGAGCGTAAGAAATGGGAAAATTGCAGGGTGTGCGATCAGCCAGATCTTTGAGACGTGGACAGGCCACATCATGGGGGCACTGAAAATAAGAATTAGAGCTATAAGCAACACTTTTTCAACGGTTTAGAAATAACTTCGTAACATACCGGTGCAAGTGTATGGCCCTCGTCGTCCTGTTCCAACAGAAATCGCCTGGCCTCGTTGACCAACTCGCTGCCACGGCGCGTCCCCTCCTCCGCTATGACCATATAACCATCGCACTTGCGCCACAGGTTAAGCAGAACCTCCTGTCGCTGTTCTTGGTCCGCCATCTCGAACAGTGTGTGAGAAATTATCACCAAATCGTACTTAGTCTCTATGGCGGGTAGGAACTGTCTATAGTACACGTTCCGCAGGGGTATCTGTTTGTTCTCGTGGCCATCACGCAGAATCAGCTCCGAGATCTCGTTCATCTCCCTAGACCTGTCCACGTTGTAATACTCGAAGATCTGATCGCGCCAAAGTTCGCTGGCCACCCACATCGCAGTGCCGACGCCGGATCCGAAGTCGAAGAAGCTGCGCGGACAGAACTGCTCATCTCTCTGGGCCAACTCGGTTAGTACACGCTTCATCACAGCATATTCCTGGGCGCCGCGGGCAACGGCATAGACAATAGCTTCGTAAGTGCCGTACTCAATGCGCCTCCATGCGTAGATGCGCTGAGCTAGTCGCTTATTGATCTCTAACTCCCTCTTTCGCTTCCAGCGTGTCACCTCCTCCTCACTTAATGTGCCCAGCCGTTCCAGCGGCATCTTTGCGTTCACCTCATCGATGATAGTCCGCTTTTTGTTCTCAATCTCCTCGGGGGAGGGCGGCGGGTGGCGTGATTTGAGGTAGGAGTTGAGCTGCTGGCCGTCGTGGATTACTTTCTTCACGGGGTGGTCGCCCACAATGCGCTTCAGGGTGTCGCTCAATTGTTTTGGCAGCTCAACATGGTTGGGCTTGACTACACCCGGATGTTTCCTCGGCTTAATGGTGGCCTGCTCCAGACCGCTGACCACTGCTGGTTCAACATCAACAGCGATTTTGCTGGTAAAACGGTGCAGTCGTGGCACCAAGTTCCTCGTTGAACAATTCAGGGATAACAGCATTTTTGAATTCTTTTTATTTCATAATATGTAACCGCAAAATCAAAACAACTGGCGGCACGCTTTGGCCGGTATTTTTGTTGCCGGATACCAGTGTTGGTAAAGTCCCAGGCAATCAGCTGATAGTGCTTTAAAAATGTCCCTCTAAGCACATATGCGGTTGCATTGATATCAGCTTCAGTACATATTTGGAGAATATTTTAGAATAATTTAAGTGATATAAATAACATGTATTAACGAATTTATATTTATTTATTTTCTTGCATTATTGAAGTATTAATAAGTGATTTGAGGGACACATTCGGCAGCTGCTATAATATGGTCCGGTGCTGTATACTGGAGCTGTGTGTGTATGCGTGCATCTGTTTCAAAGATTTACAAACAATTAGCAATCCATAAATCCGCGCAATGTTTTAGAGCCTAATTATGGATGAATACGAAGCACAAGTGAGCAAAGGTGATACTAATATTATCCCAACTTCCTTTACGATCTTCGTTATTTGAAACAGCTGATAGTTGTGGAGCAGGCGTTACAAAATTCCACCGACGACCAGCAACGCCAGGAACTTTTGGCTCTGAAAACGAATCTACAGGAGCTATTAGCCCTCACCAATGATACAGAAGATGAGAGACCAGCCGAAGATGTGCCTCAAAAGGGAGACAACCTGGACGACGAGCTGCAGCGGCTCAAGTGCGAACTTAACGACCTGGAGGAGGCTGGCGCAGGCACATCAACTGCAGATGAGGAGCAGCAGTTGGCGGAGTTGAGGGCCAAGTACACAGCCATGGTGGGCGAGAAGTGCTCAGCTCCGCACGAACACAGCTGGGGTGCCTTGAGCTATCACAATTCCCTAATCTGTGGCGTGGACGATGACGTGATCATCAATGGCGACGGTGTCTTGGATGTCCGGTTGCGGGTGCTCTTCACAAATCCCACGCATCGCGAGATGTTGCCCTGCTCCTATTACCTCGAGGGCGAATGTCGCTTCGACGAGACGAGGTGTCGCTTCTCCCACGGCGAACTGGTCAGCGGCAGCTCCATTAGGAAATACAAGGAGCCCGACTTTCACAAACTATCCCGTAGTTGTCCGGTATTGGCCCTACTACCGGATCGTCTCTGGCACCGTGGCCGGGTCCTATGTGTTAATTTTGTGGAGCAGGTGTGTCGAGTGCGTTTGGACGGCCAGGAACACAAGGAGAGGGAGCGAGACTTCAAGTTCGAGGAGCTATTTCCGCTCACGACCGATCAAGATGAAGACGAGGCTGAGCTAAGCAGTGGGGATAGCAGTTCGACTTTGAACGAAGAAAGCAGTGATGAGGCGGACTCGGACATGGATGACCTGGAGGAGGCCCGGCGAGCTCGCATGGTGGAGCTTAGTTTGTTTACCTTTAAGCCATCAGAAAAGCTGGGCGCCTGGGAGGAATTCACGCGGGTAAGAACGCCGCCACACCCAATGGCAAGAATATCTTTTAATCCTAATATTATTCCCACAGGGCATTGGGTCCAAGTTGATGGAGAAAATGGGCTACATCCATGGCACGGGTCTGGGGTCAGATGGAAGGGGCATTGTAACCCCAGTAAGTGCCCAAATACTTCCCCAGGGTCGGTCTTTGGACGCCTGTATGGAGCTGCGTGAGGCTGCCAACGGGATAAGGACTACTTCAGCGTGGAGCGAAAGCTAAAGCGAGCCCAGCGCCGCCAGAGAAAAGCGGGCGAGAAAGCCTACGCCCGCGAGTCACAACGCACGGATGTCTTTACATTCCTGAACGGCAGCGTGCTGGGCAGCGGGGATAGCAGTCAGAAAGGCGAACAGGTGGCGAAGAAGGCGAAGACCAACGAACTGCAGCAGCACTCCACCAAAACTCTCAATGTGGAGACGGTGCGGGTGGCTGATGAGATCCGACGAAAGCAAAGGGATATAGCCAAGGTTCAGCAATCACTAAACAGGAATGCCGGTGATGTGCAGCTTCAGAAGAGACTGCAGCTGCAAATGGACACCCAGAAACAGGAGCTGGCAACTCTTCAGACCCAGGAACGCAGCCTCAGCAAGGAACAGCAGACGCGCAAGAGCAAGAATAAAATGTTTGAGTTTTAATACATATAAAAAGCTATGGATTTATAATATAATGATCCTAATCTACTTCTAATTAAATACTTCCGAATGCTCCCGCCGTTATAATGGCCGTCATGTACTGTTCCAACAGTGCCTGAGCTAACTGGGCTCCATGCTCCACGGCCAGGGAATAAGCGGTCTCTCCATTCTCGTTGCTGGCACTCAGATCCAAGTCCCTGGCCAATAGTTCGTTGCACGTATGTGGATGGTTGCCAGCCGCTGCGTACATCAGTGCCGTGTTGCCCACAATGTCCATGTGGCCAGAGTCTGCGCCATGATCCAGAAGGAAGCGAACGATCTCGTTGTGGCCGCCAGCTGCTGCCAAGAGAACGGGACTGACCAGATCCGGAGCCATTATGTTCACATTGGCCCCAGCTGCCACAAGCAGCTGCACGGACACCAACTGACCGTACGACGCGGCCCAATGGAGCGCCGTGAAGCCATGCTCGTCCTTGTGATCAATGTCCTGCTTGCGCGCTCGCTCCGCCGTCACCTGCTCCTCGGTGATCTCGCCCTGGCCAGCCCGTTCGTGAAACGAGAGCGACACCTCCACGGGACAGAATGTGGCCTCTGTGTTGCCGCGCTGCAGATTGGTGAGAACGGTGGACTGTGGACGGTACGGAAGGAAGGCGCTCTTCCGCTTGGAGTCCAGCACCAGCATGGAAGTTGGCGCCGCCCGCACAGCGTCATCGTCGTCAGAATTTGTGTTGTTTTGGAGATTGCTAGCAGGCGCCACCATTTGTTTTGGTTTTACTCACGTCTTGTGGATACAAATAGATGTTCACCGTTTATGCAGTCCAAAGTGACGATAAAGGAAATATCGCAAAAAATGCATAAACATATATCATTTAAATTTTATTTACGAACGTCATCATTGGTTAAAATAAAGTTGCATTATTCCATTATTAGGTGGAAAAAACCCACTATTTATTAAAAATCACTTTAATAAATTACTTCCGATATTCAGACGCATAAACGCAAAGAAGTGATGGGAGACAACGTGCGAAAACGGCACAATCGTTATCGATAGCTGTGTGTTTTGTTTGGTTTGTTTTCATTTCTCGTTTCAAAGCTTAATTTGCGTTTAATTATGTAAATATATTTACCAGATTTGTTAGCGCTGTGTTTGTGTGTTTCATAACAGGTTTTGCGACAGCGTCGCAGTTTTTTTTTGTACCACAAACTCCCTCCTGCACCTGTTGCGAATTCGATTCAGTGCAAACCTGCGTTTGGCCTTTTTTATGCCCTTTAGTTGTACGTTTCCACTGCCACCGACAATCGCTGTGCAAATCAATTGCGTCGAAGTGGGATACGCACAAACACAGTAGAAAATGGGAAACACGAGTTCCAAAGGGGAGTCGGATGCCAGTGATCCTCCCCTGGACGCCGGGAAGCACAGACACAAGTCCAGCACTCACTCCGCCCACTCCAGTGGCTCCCACAATGGCAGCTCTGACGCAGTCGGCAGCGGCGGCGGCGGCAGCAACAACAGTCTCAAGGTGCAGCAGTCGCAGGCATCGATGACCAGGTCCGCCTCCGGGGCAGACGTCACCGAGAAGTATCTTACGCAGCTGGTGCCGGTGGAGAAGCTGGCGGATATTCTCAGGGAGCTGTCGTCGGCCAAACTTGGAGTTAATGGCATTGTGGCCGACGTCTTTGTGGTGAGTAATTAACTGATAACAAGCGACGACGACAACCCATTCACATACAACACCTTTCTCTCTGTCCCGCATCAGTCACAAGTCTTTCCGCAGTACGCGGACCTGGGACAACGGCTGTTCAAGCTGATGCACACGAACTCAAAGGCTACCACGAAGCACCTGGGCACCGTCGCCTTCCGGCAGCAGTGCGAACGCTTCCTGGGCATCATGGACGATGCCAAGACTCTGGAGTGCTACATTAAGATGTACGCCCAGGAGGACAATCCGGACTTCATCGACAAGGAGGGTGTGACTCGCCTGCTTCACATTTGCTACACAATTGCCATGCAGCACTCGGGCAACGCCGTCCTGTGCTCGGCCATCAACCGCACCTTCGGCTCGGTGACCAAGTCCATCTTTCTCTGCCACGACAGCCTGAGTCTGGGCTATGTGTGTCGCTGGTTTGAGCAGAACCTGATCCGCCTGGTGCTGCTCGTTCACAAGTACTGTGTGCACACACTGTCCACCGCCTATCGTGGCCTGGAGCAGCAGTCTCAGTCCTGCGGTATCGAGCTGCAGACTCCAGTGCTGGAGCAACGCAATCCCTTTACAGACGCCACCGACCATAGCAGTGGTGGGGATGGCGGCAGGTTTTTGGACTCACTGATGCCGCTCTCACAGGCCTGGCTGCTGGCCGGGGCTTTGCCGCCGCTCTACTCCAAGCCGCAGACCGTGGCTCCGCCTTCAGCCGGCAAGGGCAATGTGAATAGCAGTGCCTCGAACGCCGTGCAAATCTTCAAGGAAAAGCTTTCGATGATACCTTCGCACTGGACACTGCTCTACGACTCAAACGAGCATGGCGTTGGCGCCAATCGGTTTCTGCATCACGTTCTCGGCTACCGGGGACCCACTCTCGTCCTGTTGCACACTAAGGACGAGCAGACGTACTGCGTGGCCTCGCCCAGTGAATGGAAGGAGACGCATCTGTTCGTAGGCGGCGAGGGCTCCTGTATTATCCAGCTGCTGCCGAAGTGTGTAGCGAAGTTGGTTTAGATCTACGCTCTGTTTATTAATAATGTTCGTTCAAGGTTTGTTATACTGGAAAAGAAGCCAAACATCCTGTACCTAAACACGAGCATACGCGGCTATCCGAAGGGATTTCGCGCAGGCGCAGATCCCCGCAAGCCCATTATATCGGTCGACGAGCATTTCGAGAATGTGGACTGCAAGGGCCTGGCCGCAGGACTTATGTCTATAGAGGTAAGGATATAATTTAAGATCATAACTAGAAAAAGCTGAGGAAGCCAGAATAAGTTGGCAAGCCACATTATGTGAATGTTTTTCTGTATTTTAATTGCATTTCATGTACAATAAGCCTTACTCAACAGGGTTTATGTATGTATGTATATTTTTATATATGTGTATACGCATATATTAAGGGTATATAGTGTAAAAATCATTGACGTATGTATATGTATGTATATATCGCATATTAAAGGCTGAATATTCAGCCCAAGCAGTTAAAAAAACACCACACCTGCGCCGCCTAATGGCCAGGTGTTGTGCTCTAACGATGCATTTTTAAACCAAGTCTACAATTCTCCTCACCCAACAACAACAACAGTGTCTACCAACAACAAGAACTACACGTTGCTCTCCTCCCATCTTTGTATTCCATCGCAGGTCTGGGGATGCGGCGACAAGACATCACGCGAAGTGCAATTGGACATCAAGAAGTGGCAGATTAAGGAGGCCGAGCGACAGCGGACGGTGAAGCTTACGGCCGCCGACTGGATGGACCATCCGGATCGATATCTGCTCGAGCTGGGCGGCAGGCAGAACTACAACAATTGATTGGGAGCGGCTGGCTGCGTCGAAATATACTGGGATACAGCATGCGAAGTAATCACTGGACTGAATTTGTTTTTAATTGATGTTGATTGATATTCGGTTTACTTGTTTTCTTTCTATTAATATCCGAGTTTAGTATTCGATTTGATTTATGTAATGTTCGTAACGTGAATTCCGTGTATGCCTTTAAATGTACTTCGTTCTACATTGTCTGTGTCCATCTATGTGTATCGGACATCCTCTGTCTGCGTATTCCGTCTTCGTTTTAATTTAAAAGTTTATTCTGTTTCGTTCTTTGTATCTTCGTTCAAGTGTAAAACAAATGAAAGTATTATGAAAAGACATGGGAATCGAAGTGCTTAAACAAATAATACAATAAATGTTACAAATTATATTAAATGGCGTTTGAAATTCTTCGTTCATCTCTTATCGGCACAGCTAACAAATCAGAGTCTGCGATAGACAAAACTGAGATAAAAGCGAAAGATCAAGGTCCATTTGGGCTCAATAAGAGCACGGGGAATGGAATGCATGTCGGGGGAAATCAATGATACAGCAAATGTGTTTAAAACCTTTCTTATCACGACTACGTATGGCGTCAAGCAAGTAAACCAAAGATAAGACTTAATATTATATTACAACGAATGAAAAGCAATGTTAGTGTGCATAGGCGTGCAAATAATACAACGTCAAATGATAAAAAACATAAAAGTCAATTGCAAATAGTTTTCAAGATTATATTATTGCGATGTATATTAGTTTTACAATAAGAATTTCTATATAAATACAAGTCTCGCCCTTTTCGGACCGGCGGCAGTCACAAAATTCACAAGCGGTTCAGAGGACTGGCTCCATTAACTACATATACTTCTTAGGGATCACCTAGCGGGGGGGTGTATATAGTAAGAATATCGTTTCGAGAGCAAGGTCTGCCTGCAAAAACAGTGTATAAAATGTACGTACAAAACGCCGCTTGACCCCACCTCGCCTATTTAAATAATGATGATTCTTTGAGCTAAGGGATGTGTGCGATTACAATAATAGTGGCATGGAAAGTGGAAAATCAGTTGGGGTGGTGGTGTGCTTTCGCAATGAAAACTAAGGCCACGATTTCAAGGAACCCCATTCGATGGGACTCGCTAGAATGGGTTCGTTTCATGAGTATTTTAAGCCTAACACAAATCAAAATAGAACGGAAATCATAAATATAAGCATAACATAAACTGTATAAGGATTTGGGGTTGGTCGGGACCGTCTAGGTAATGTATTCCCGATCGCGGCGACGCCGCGTCGTTGAGGCAAAAACAACAACGGGCTGACCTCCGCCAGCACCGCCATCGGCATCGCCATCATCGTCTTCGTCCGCGTCATCATCATCGTCACCGTCACCGTCATCATCCCCGCCCGTTGAGTTCGACCACTCGGATGCTGTCTGATTGCTGCCCGTGGCACTGAACTTGAGGCTGCTCGATATGCCAAACGATACGGACAGCGAGGCGCTAAGCGACGAAGCGGCATTCAAATGCTGGCTCACGTCCACGCCATCCTCATCCTCGAACGCGTCGTCAATGTGCGGGTGTTGGTGATGTTGCTGATAATGATATTGCTGGTAGCGGTGTCACCTGCCTGCGCCGCCACCCAGCAGCATGGCATAGTCGTCATTGGACTCGGGAATAGGAGCGGCGGCCGAAGCGGCTCCGGCACCGGGCGCCAGGCGCAGGAAGCTACTATTGCCACCTACACCAGCACCCAGATCCCTCTCCCTTTCACGCTCACGTAGATGCAGCGTTTCACGCTGACGCGTTGACGGCTGGGTTCCCGCCGCTCCCGGCAGGTGTAGTTGTTGTTGTTGGTAGTTGTTGCTATTGCTACTACTGATCATATCATCGGGCGGCAAGCCTGCTAGGGGAAATCGAGATTGAGATTGGGAATGAGTGGGTTGGTTTTCAGGGAGTGTGCTTAACTTGCCCTCATACACGGGCACGATCAGGCGACTCGACGTTGCGCCATATGTTACCATGTTACCTGACTGCGACGAGCTGCCCGACAATTGCTGATCCTGCCGCTTGCTTATGAGATACTCCGATTCGCTGCTAGAGCGACGAGGACTACGCGCCAGCGGCTGATACGTGCTGCGTCCTTGAAAGCGTCGACTAAGTGAACTGCTCACAACTCCCAGGTGCTCGGTGACGTCCTCTTGCATGTCGGATATGTCCATCATGGAAAGGAAGGCACGACACCAGCTATGGTTCGGATTATTCCAGTACTGCGGCGAATTGATGTGGAACGGATGATGCGGGAAGCTATAGATATGAGCCACGGCGGCGATGAACATCTCGATGCAGATGAGGAAGTTCTGTTAAATTGGGATTACATCATTAAAAACTTTCACTTTAAATAAGACAAATGTATGTTTTCTGAATAAGAGAAAGTAGCGCTCAAGGTTGCTCAGCAGTTTGAATCGCTTGAGGCAATGGTTCACCAGTAACTCACCTGTAGCAAAGACGCCAGATTCGTATCGCCCACATCCGATCCGAAAATGTCCTTAATTATATTGTAGTACACCAGCACATTGAGCAGCACTCCTTGGCTATGATCAAATAAATAAATTGCTCAAATTCTCAGACCTTGCCCAGGGATCTCTTGGCACTTACAAAAAGGAAAAGAACACCACAGCCTTGATACAGAGGAACTTGGGAATGGGCTTCATAGGCTTGAGGTCCTCCTTGTTGGCACGGTAGAATAGCACCAGGCAGTACATGGCCACAAACTGGGAGATGTTGTTCACGACCACAATGTAGGGGAAGGCCACGTTACCGGCAAATTCGCCCTCGCCATAGACGCCGCACAGCTCACAGATGCTACGGATAAGGGATTACTATTTGCAGGAGAATCTAAGTCTCTCGGTACTTACACAGAGATAAAGGTGGTGATTGGTCGCACCACCGTGTATTGGAGGATTCCGTGCTTGCAGTTGTGGATGAACTCACGCCCCATCACCCACGGTCGCATGCAGCAGAGCGGAAAGAAGTGCTGCACCTGCGGCTTGTACTCCATGGTGGCTTCCAGGTCCATGTTGAGATTCAAGTAATTGAGCAGGTACACCATGAAATTGTAGATCACGTACGCCTCGTAGCATTCGCGCAACGAGTCCACGTAAATCGAATGCTTTGGAAAGAAGAGGCCGATCCACTGCGGAGAATCAAAGAGCAAGTATTAGATTTCGCACACTTGTTTGCGGTCTCCGATTCCAATTCCCATTCCGACGACCCACTTACCGCGTTCAGGGCGTAAATGGGCACCATCCACAGTATGCGAATTATGTGCTTTTGCAGAATCGGCTTCGTGAAATGGATGACGTGTTGGATAATATGCCATATCGACACGGGCACAGCGGCCAGCACGAACAGGCCACCGATGAGGATGAGCTGGTCGTTGCGCTGGAAGCCATCCTTCACCGAATTTACAATCAGCAGAGGCACAACAATAATGGCGAAAATGCCATAGGTAACGATCAGCAGCGGCCGTATCCAGATCCGCCAATCCTCACAGAAGCGTCTCACGTCCAACCCGCACATCGTTCGCCCCGGCAGATTCGCCTAGGTTCTCGCTTGTGATAAGGGCCCGGATTTTCCGTAGAACAGAATAACAACGCTGCCTAGTTGTTGATTCGTTGTTGCCGCCGCCCCGTTGCTGTTTTCTCTTCTTCTTCTTCCCCCCTTTTCACGTCGATAGTATCGATAGTACCATCGGTGTTTACGCACCTCTGGTTGCCACAAAAGAAAGGTGTAACCATATCGGGAGAAATAAAAAGTACCATAGGGAAGTTTTCGAATGTCCGTCAAATTAGCGTCGATGAGTTAGCGTCGAAATGGAACGGTGGGAAAATTGGAACATGGAGGGGATCTTTAATTATTAATTTATTTCGCAATTAAGGCACTAATTCGAATAAAATAAAGTTTCTGAATGTCAGATTTCGAGAGAAGCGAATAACAGTGGGTGGTGTATTTGGGCTGATAGCTAAGGCGCGAACTATGAAAATTGAACCAGATGGGAACCACTAGCTGAACCAGCGAAGAATAAATATATCCGGCATCACTACCAGTTTAAATAAGTAAATTTGATTTAAACTTTATGTTTAAACCTATGCAATATGAAGGTAATACAATAAACGGCATCACAGTTCTGAACATTTTGATCCATGTTTTATCAAAATCCGTTTAGTTGTTCATAAGAAATCCTGACTTTTTCATTTATTTCCATTTATGTACCGGTGAAATATAAATATATCCGGCAGCCCTGTCTGCCTAAAAACAAGAAAACTTGATTTAAACTTTATGCTTAAACCTATGAAAAAGGAAGACTGTCCTATAGACGGCATCGCAGTTCTGAACATTTTGATATATGTTTCATAAAAATCCATTCAGTCGTTAATGACAAATTCCAATTTTTTCATTTATTGCCGTGAATGTACATATGTATGTGTGTATGTTCGACGAAGAATATTAAATAAAAAAAATGTGATTTAAACTTAATGGTAGGACGTATGTATACAAAAGCAATAAAGGGCATCGCTGTTCTGAAAATTTTAATCCATTATATACTAGTTAGAGTATATAGAAGACTAACTGCAAAGTTTTATTTAGAGAGCTTTAAATATAAGTGTATATTTTGCTTATAATTGGACAGACAGACAAATGGACAGGCTAAATAGACTCGGCTGTTAATGCTGATCAAGAATATATATACTTTATAGGATCGGAAATAATTTATTCACTGCGTTGCAAATTTTTGACCTGAAATCATATGACAAATCAAGGGCATTGAAGCACTAGATTTGAGAAGCAAATTTTCGAAATAACATTTAATAGAATGCCCAATAAAAGATATCGTTTTTCTAAGCAATTTGGTAGGTGTTTCATCGAAATCCGTTCAGTAGTTTTGGAGAAATTAACATTTGAATTACTAATTTATGTACTAAGGAGGCATGACTATGCACCCCTGGTACCCAACTGCAATAAATAAAAATGTCGGATTTCTCATTAACGACTGAACGGATTTTGATGAAACATAGATCAAAATGTTCAGAACTGCGATGTCGTCTATGGAGCAGTTTTCCTTTTGCATAGGTTATGCTATAAAGTTTTAACAAAGTATTCTTGTTTTTTGGTAGGCAGGGCTGCGGGACACATAAATGGAAATAAATGAAAAAGTCGGGATTTCTTATTAACGACTGAACGGATTTTGTTGAAACATGGATCAAAATATTCAGAATTGCGATCCTGTTAATGGTACGAACTTCAGTTTGAATAAGTTTTATAATAAAGTTTAAATAAAATTGACTTAATTTTAGGCAGGCAGTGCTGCCAGATATATTTATTCTTCGTAAGAACATTTATGAAAATAAATGCAAAAGGGGGGTTTGCTCATGAACGACTGAACGGATTTTGATAAAACAACTACCAAAATGCTTGGAATGTCAATTCCATTCATGGGGCATGCATATTTCATACAATTGTTTAAATGGTCAACAGGAATATTTTCTGGTGGGCTATTCATCGATAGGGTGTGGGAGGCGCCACTATCGATATGAAGCCGGTGTTTTTTGAAGATCGGAAAAAGACAACGCTCATTTTTTAAAATCTTTTGGTTAGATTTAATAGAATATAGAATATTTGTCCCTATCGTTTGAGATACAGTGCAAGCTTGCACGCGTTTATTTAAGGGCGTAAGATTTTTGTAAAAGTTAGCGTCGATTTTGCTTGCGGGGGAGGGGCATAAAATTCCGCCGTGGTATATCGTAAAATAATCTTTCCCTGATTTAGCTAAAAATCGCACCGAATTGTTTTGAATAGCCTTTCCATTTATTGGGCAGTCACTTTTCTTAATGTTTTATTCAACAATTTGTCAATTTTATTTAAATTATTAATTTTCTTAACATGGTTCCATTGTCTGGTTCAGCGAGTGGTTCTCTGCTGGTTCCCATCTGGTTCAATTTTCATAGTTCGCGCCTTAGCTATCAGCCCAAATACACCACCCACTGTTATTCGCTTCTCTCGAAATCTGACAGTTCAAATCATAATTTTCACTAAATATTCGTTAATCTTTCTCTAGTAAGCCTATATACCGTGCATATGTGCACGCGTTCGTAAATAGAAATTTCTAAGCCTTACAATTTTGGATGCCCTATTTTGTATGGAGCCGACCGCGAGGTTAGATCATTGTTATGCGATTTGCTCAAAAACTGATGGTTTAAAGAAATTGAAACTTGGTACTTTAAAACTACAATAAATGTCCTTTATTTTGGCGTATCGGGTATTTCTGCACGCGTTCGATTAGCCGAGATATTAAGAAATCCGTGAAAACAAGAGTTTTCATATGCTTTTTTTTAATATATCCAAATGTCAAATACTTTCAAACCCAGTATAAAACAATAGTAAATTCATTTCCTAGCATTTATAAACTTTATTTTATTCAAATTAGTGCATTAAATACGAAATTTTCCCACCGTTCCATTTTGACGCTAACTCATCGACGCAATTTGACGGATATTTTAATTTCAAAAATCGCGGTAAAGGATTACACTCAAACTGGTAACACTAACAAACCATTCGATTGCAACTATTATCGATAACCTTCTAAAACAACAGGTGATCGATCGCAGCAAGTGCCATCGCTAAATTCCAACAATTTTCAGTGTTTACGTTTCGGAAAGTGCCACAAAAATAAAACTTAAAAAAAGCCTACTTAAATTGAAGTGGAAATCTTAATTCAAGTACCAACTGTAATTGCAACTTAGTGAGCACCTGACGATCACTCCAGTTAAGGTGAAGCAAGAGAAATTTGTGCAATTGGAGCAGCTGCGAAGCGCACACGCAAAAGAAACCAAGAGATTGAGAACTACATAGTTGACACCCATTCCGCCGCGGCCATGCAAATCGATGCGATCGAGCTGCTGATCACCTAGCTCTGCGAGTCAGACCCAGCAGCCGCAGCCGCAGCCTCGAAATGCTGCTCAGCGAGACCCACTTTTGGACGACGCTGCGCGACGAGGTGCGCATTAAGAGCAACGATCTAGGCGCCTTCCGATACCTGCGCCAGCGGGAAAAGGAGCAGGAACAGCAGGATCTCACCACGTTGGCTAAGCGTGACTATACGGAACGCCGCAATGGACTGGCAGTGCTGAAGAACAGCAGTCGCAAGGCGGCTGGTCGCCTGAAGGATAACCTAAAGAAGCTGGAGGATCTACTGCGACAGCATCGTATCATCCACTCCGAGTGGCAGGATGCGGCGCAAGTGCTGCTACTCTTCGCCAACGGACTGATTGCGCACATATGCGTGGACATCTACACGGGTGATATATTGCGCATGGTCTTTGAGAAGTATCTTGTGGGCAAGCTGGCCGCCGAGGTCATCACAGATGGTGAGTCGAAAAGCTTTGATTGATTTATATATAAGATACCCTTTCGATGGGATAGAGTCATTACATTCACCATCAAATATATGTTACTGTTGAAAAAGGTATAAACGTTTATATTGATCTTGAAAGGCACAAAAATACTATTTAAAGCCTTTCATTTGGTGTTGAATTATTCTGATCTAATAATTTACTTTTATATTAATTTTCTTTGATTTTAAATGCAAGAAAGATAAAATCGGGGTAGCCTGCTCCCCTGATATCTTCTCCATATAATTGTTAGCAAGCTAAATGAATAAGAACACCCATATTAATAATTAGCTCATGCATTAAAACACAATTTTATATTTTTTCTAAACGATTCCTGTTGTCCTCGTTAAAATATTGTAGTAGAAATAAATCTCACACGCCTTGGACGAATGCATTACAGTGAAAACATGATTTGATAAAATCTTTCCTTCCCTTTAATGTGCGCGTGATTAATGGCAATTGGGGTATATAATCCCGGCGCTATATGCGTCGCTTTAGGGTATACTCTCTTCTATATATGTATGCATGCTATGATATAGAGTGGTGTGGAGAGACCCCCGTCTCGGCCTTGCATTTGAAGGCACTCGAGACCGCTGCTTTGTGGCTTGTGTTGTGCAGTTATGGAGAAATTTGCATTGGCAACAAGTGCGACTTGATTTGCACTTTCCCACACCAACACAGCCGCACGCACACACCTGCACGCTGCACGGGCGGGCATGGGCATGCAATTATTGTAATTTTTAATTAATCTGCTTGCTTGTTTTGTTGCCTGTAAATATGCGAACCGCGCGATCCCCCCATCCCAACATATTCCATCCCATGCCTTGCCACGCCTCTCACCTTTCCATATTTTGTTCGAGGCACTCATTCAGCTTTGTCGTTTGTGTTTTTGTTTCTGTTTCTGTTTTTGTTGTCTTGTCCGTGTGCTCGTCGTCAGCCTTTTTCACCCGTTCCCACATCGTCTTGGCCTACAATACCAACCAGCTGACGGTGGTGCATCTGCAGCGACCGAATGCACGGTCACAGGGGCCGGAGAAGATAGCCAATATGGATCCGCGCATCTTCCACGTGATCATACCGGGCGCCACGGAGCGCAAGTTGGCCCGCCACCTGGCCGTAAACGGTAGCTTTGATCTCTTTGTGGTGTGGACGCAGTCATCGCAGAACGAGGTCTACCCCTGGAGACCAACCATCCGGGATCAGGATCGAGCCAATATACATGTATTCAAGATCAAGGGGTAAGTAAGCGATATTCCTTTTAGACTCCTTACTAATCCCTCTTTCATTAGCTTGCAGCTGGAATCCATCGCTTATTGCTGGTCGGAGAACGATCCCTTGTGCGTTGATTTTCTGCGAAGCAGTGAAAGCCAAATCATCACGTTGGAGCAGAAGGTTTCCCGCAAGGGAGACATCAGTGCTGAGATCTGTTCGTATGAGCTGGCCGCCGGTAAAATGCAGCGCACCGCCATTACCTCGATACCGATGGGCGCCCAAATCTGCTCGTTTGCCTTCAGTCCCGACCAGGAGAAGCTCTTTCTGGGCAGCATCGATCGCAACATCTGCCTGCATGACCTCGTCCAGCAGTCAACAAAGTACGCCAACCAGATCGAAATTGTGCCCAATCAATGTGCCTGGCACTGTGACTCTGCCATGTTGTTCGTGGCCAACGAGCGATCGGTGCTGCAGTGCTTTGACCTGGCTCTGGCCACCATTGGCCATCAGTTGGTTAGCGAGAGTGTGACTCCATCGAGCCTGTTGGACCTCTCGCATTACTTTGTGGCCCAGCCTACTCTTCTGAGTGTCGCCTTCAGTCGGAAACCGGATTTGAGCACATTCAAGCACACCTACGCCCAAACAGATTGCCTGCTCTTGCTAATCTATGAGCAGGGACCGCTGGCCTGCATGCGGATCTTTGGCGGCGCCGGCATGCGCGGTGATATTCACAACTCTGGCCTAACTGCCGACGTCATAGCGGACAAGTATCTACGGCTGCAGCAGCCGGAGAGGGCGGTGAATGTGCTGGCGGCACTAAACTGGGAGACCTACGGTGCCATGTGCCTGATAACGCTGCATAAGATAGCCAACTATGTGTTCTTCGGCGGGGATCAGCGTCGGCCGCGAATCGAGCTGATGGCCAGAGCCCTAAAGACATTCGCCCGCACGCTTTCGGAGGAGACCAAGGATGAGTTCAGCGACCAGGTGTACGATTTGAAGCGACGCTTTTGTTTCTACCTGCTGCGGTGAGTTACTATGAGCTTGAATAAATTTAAGGATTATTTATTTAACTTGCAATATATTTACAGCAAAAACCTATTTGCCGAGGCCTTGGAAATCGCTCAGGATGTGGCTGACTATGACATATTCATGGATCTGTACAATCTTACCAAATGTATTTCTAGTTTGGGTGAATTTGCACAGGTGGCGTTCAGTCAGGCAGCTGCCATAATCCATGAGGAAGACCGTGCCAATGGCAACCTCAGCCTGACCTGCGACTTGCGCTCGGAATCGGCCTGTTCGCTGTCCACCTGCTCGGATGTGCTGCGTGGATCGGGTCATAGTCAGCCGCAGGCCCTTAAAAACTATGTGCCACCACTGCCCTCGTTTAAGTCGAAGGTGTTCAATGCCGAGATGATTAAGATTAACATACCCAAGCCGGAGCTCAGGCCGCCATTGCCCAAAATTTCGATAGTAACTCCAGCGACGGCCTCCTTAGCAGGACTCGGCCTGAAGAACAGCACTTTGCAGCCAGCGCCAGTGAAAAACTCCAGTTCAAATGGTAAGCGAAAAAGGATTAATTCCAAAACTGAGATAATTATCAAATGTTCCTTCGTTTCCTTAGGCAACGTTTGGTCGCAGGATGTACCGGACCAGACAGTGGGTCTGCCCATGCCCAGCAGTCCGCCACCCCGGCCTCAGCCTTCCTCGATCATTCCGGACCAAAGCACGACACTTGGCCCGTTCAACAGCATGCCAACATTGCCACCTCCTGTAGTTTCAGTGGTCCCAGTGTCTTCGGCAGCCTACCAGCCCAAGTTCTACCAGCATCCGCTGGTTTCTGGAAACATTCCTGCCATGTTACCCACGATGAGCAGTGAGGATTATCAAAAGCGTTTGCTGCTCAAGAAGCCCACGGCATCCATACTGTCCAATCCGGCTAACCCAGCTCCCAGCAATGGAGAGGCGGGTGGAGCTACACCCAGTGCCAAGTCACAGACAGCCGAGAAGAACAAAGTCAAGTTCTCGGACACCATACAGGTGGCTGTTGTGCCGGTAAGCAAAAGCCTCCTGGGAAATTGGGAACTGTAATTCATAGTACTTTTTACTCATTAGGAGATTCCACGTAAGGAGAAGCCCATGCCACCGAAAAGAAATGGTTACTCCAGACCCGCAGCGCGGCATCTGACCAATCCGAAGAAAGAACTGGCCGACAGCTTGCCACTTTGTCATCCCAACGATGAATATCTGAAGGATTTCAATCCCATCACTACAAGTAAGTCTATAGAAAGATCGCTGACAGTCTCCATTGGTCTTACATAGACATTTGCTTCAGATATGACAAAGCCCCCGGCGCGACGTCGTGAAGAGGAACCGAAGCCGGGGAGCAGCAGCAAGAACGCCAATAGCTCCTCCTCCTCGTCATCCATCAAGGTGGTGCATTTCGGTGTGGTCTAAGCGGATAATTGTTAGTGCAATCCCCTTACTTACTTTCTGGTTAAGAGATGTGTCTTCCACTTATTTTTAGTAACTATTGCCGTCCTCCCAGTTAGTGCAAAGCTTTAAATAGGAAAGTTTTTACTTATAGGTTCTTCTCTCCACACTTTTTACACAGCTTAGCATTAAATGTTTGCCAAAAACGGATCCTACTTCTTCTTGGAGGTGGTGGGGCCACCCATGCGATCCAGTTCGGACTTAAGGTCGAGCAGCTCCTTGTCCGGCACATAACGCCGCTCCTCGCAGTCGTCGGTGTGCTCCTGGACACTCAGGCTAACGCCCTCAGGCAGGGCTGACTGAGCTAGGCGCAGGAACTGCGGATAGACAGGTGCATCTACATTGTTCAGCTGCAGGTTCCGCTCGTAGGTGGTCAGCTTGTACTCGGACTCAATCACCGTGGAGTTTGGCCGCAGACGCTGAACCTGTGTTTGCTGTGGCGGCAGGGCGTAGCAGTCGGAGACATCCAATTCCAAATACTCGGCCACGCCATGAAGGAAGCGCTGATAGCTCTCCAGCTGTGGATAGTCATAGCCCTTGATCTGTACGTTGAGGCTCTCGTATTGCGGGAATTTTGGTTTAAGGGACTGGAAGATAGGGCGAAGAAATGTGTTAATAATCTGAGATTCTTACTCTTTAATTCCTAAGATGTATTTTGATCGAGGACACCGGCAAAGACCCACCTCCAGGTAATCCGGTTCGTAAACACTGCCGCCGCCGCTGGTGCTTCTCACGGTTGTTGCTGTCACCTTCGGCGCCTGCAGGGCCAACCGCACACTGGGTAGCAGCTAAGTAAAACAGGTAAATTGACTATTTAATACAAATTTGATACAAGTTAAACGTTTATTTACTTTTCGTAACATGGCAGGCAGTCACAGTCGAAGTCACGTTATGTCACCGTCAATCGATAGCACTATCGATTGTTCCTGGCCGATAGCGAACTGGTCACACAGCGCCTCTGTTTTTGTTTTCCTCTCAGCTCCGGTCACATTGGACTGACCAGGCAGAAATAATATTTTTATTTATTTAGTCCAACACGTCAATTCGAAATGCAAAAAAGGTCTACGCTTTTTGTAGTCGCGTTGGCGCTGCTCTCTGCCTTCGTGGGAACACAAGCGAAATCGGACCCGGGCATCGTGGACACTCCGGTGAACTCGGTAAGTGCGCTTCCCCAATTCCCGTTCCTACCCCGCGGAGAATCACGAATCGGAAACAAAACACATTTGTGTATGCGGCATATGTTCCGGCTACGTAAATAATATTATCCCGTTCCTTGCAGGTGACACCCAACATCAGGCAACAGCGTCCGCTGCTGGCCAACTCGAAGATCTACGTGAAAAGTGAGTACATGCAGCGGCAAAGTGTGACGAATACCTTTGACCAAATCACCCAACCCCTAATAACCCCAACCCCCCGGAATTCCAGTTACGGGATGCACGTCCAAGGTGGAAACGAACTTGACTATAACCTTCCGGTTGACGGAGCACCCCTGCATCTACGATGATCGCTTGGTGAGAAGCCTCTATAATCATGTCATGTTGGCCATTCTAAGCTTAAGTTATCTTTCAGCTGGAAGCCATTGCGGCCGAGCCATCGCTACAAAAGAATGCCTCCATAAATAACGTTATTACAGTGGTCACAAAATCGTATCCCTGCAATGGCCTCATCGTTTTGGTGGCCGACAAGTTGTCCCCGCCGGCCGAGGGAGTCACTGGAAAGCCGGAACCGAAGCATCCCATGAAGGAGAACAAACATCCACTTTCGGTAATGACTCAGCTAGAGTGCGAAACACGAAAACTTACAAGTGAAAAAAGATATGCGGCGTACACAGCCTTATCAGTCTGAGGCGCAGTCGCAGTTAGAGCTTATCGGCTCTCCTAAGGCAGGGTATCACATTCTGGTGAAACTACTATGGAAGAATGCGACCATAGTTTTCAGACCCTTTTCCATTTAAATTATCTTGAAATTAACCTGATATAAGGAAGTTGTCTTTTAGCTATTTGAAAGTCCAACACTTATATAGGTCGCCCATATAGTGTTATCTCTTTTTTTTAGTTATTCATAATTTCAAATTTTCCCGAGGTATAACTTAGTCTAAACTACACTTATTGTATGGTTTGTTTATTTTGAGAGGACAGAATACTGATAAGTAATGTCTTAACACTTACTATTATATATCATGCCATGCTTGGGGAAAAGTGATGTTCGTGTTTAATAAACCCTTTTCTCTTTTTCAGCCCACAACAAACCCGATTGCGAGCGTCAAAGATGATGGCATCTACGAGATTGAGATCTTGATTTCACAGGAACCCGTTGCTTCCGAGTTCAGTGCCGTGGTTCACATTGAATTCCTGGGACCGCACGGTTATATCTCCGCCATAGATTGGCCTTTCCTGCCCGTATGTATTCATACTTAAGAATTGTTTATACCAAAAGTTTGTTTATTTATTTATTGTTTTACAGTTCTATTTAATCATGTGCATTGTTTATGTGATATTCGGCATTATTTGGCTCTTTGTTTCCTTCGCCCAATGGCGGGATCTATTGAGAATTCAGTTCTGGATCGGTGGCGTCATACTGCTGGGCATGCTCGAGAAGGCTTTCTTCTATGCCGAATATCAAACGCTGACGAACTATGGTGTTGCTGTGCAGCATGCCGAGCTGGTGGCTGAGTTTGTGTCCTGTGCGAAACGCACTTTGGCCAGGATGCTTGTCATCATTATGAGTCTGGGCTTTGGCATTGTCAAGTGAGTAGTTTAATTTTATTTTTTATATTTAAAGATGTCCTAATACTGCATTTTAGACCACGTTTGGGACCGATGTTGCATCGTGTTGTGGGCGTGGGCACCCTGTACTTTGTACTGGCGTGCGTAGAAAGCTATTTGCGCATCACCAACATAAAGAGCGACCGTAGCGAGCTCCTGGTTGCCAGTATTCCATTGGCGGTGTTGGACACAGGAATCTGCTGGTGGATCTTCACTTCGCTCGTCCAAACCACACGTACTCTGAGGCTTAGAAGGTAAATAGTACTACAGACACTTATTATAAGGCTAGATATTTTATATAAATATATATTTTAGGAATATGGTGAAGCTATCCCTGTATAGGCACTTTACCAACACGCTGATTTTTGCTGTTATCGCTTCCGTCATCTTTATGCTCTTTGCGTTGCGTTTGCGTAGAATCGAGAACTGTACGCCTGTGAGTTAATTGGCGGCCATTAACGTGAGCTTCACTGTATTCAAATTGTTTATTTTTTTTTTTAATAGGGATGGCGTGACATCTGGATCGATACTGGCTTCTGGCACATTCTATTCTCGGTGCTGCTCTTGGTGATTATGATACTATGGCGACCCACGAATAACAACCAGCGATATGCCTTCACACCGTTGCTAGATGCACCCGAGGACGAGGACGAGGAGGGTAGGAAGTGTGGCCTCAAATTGAAAACTGAATTTTATTGATTGCATTTGTCTTCTGCAGATGAAGAGGATCAATTTGTGGCCGATGCCTATGGGGTGAAGATGCGTGGTCAGAATGGTACGCCAAAGACGTCGGTGAATTCTCGGGCTGCCACCACCACCGAGGAAGATGACTTGCGTTGGGTGGAGGAGAACATACCCTCCTCAATGGCGGACTCGGCTCTGCCTATCCTCGACTCGGACGAAGAGATCATTAACACCAAGTTCGAGGTCTCCAAAATGCAATAAGCTGGGCTGTGACTTTCGCTGGACCTAAAAAGAGACTTGAAGTACATTAACACATCCGCGTCACCCGCCCCATTCAAATGTGCTATGCATTCTTATCCATTTTCTATTCGAAAACGAAACATAGCCATCGAGGATGATGGGAAACAATTGGTACTTGACTTTATTTCCCAGTCGCGCTTGTCCCAACTCGTGACTGGCGCCTGCCTTTTGAACCCGTGTAAAATATTGTATTTAACGTAGTTCCTTCTACAGCACACGTCCTCCCACTAAATAAATTTAACTTATTTATAATACCTAGCCTAAGTTGTAGATATCTCTATATGCGACGTACCGTAAACTTAATTTACTTAAATTTCGATTCTGAGTTAATATCCTTATCTACACACAGATTGTTGTCGCCTCTTTGTATATAACGAACCGATCTATAATAATGAACGAGAATGAGGATTCTGTAAAAATTATCATAAATTTCTGACAAAATCTTTAACTTGAACTGTTTACTTGCTGATAAATGAAAACCATTTGCAAATATGTCTAAGCCTAAGCACACACCATACACACACACACACCTCAATGTATTTAAATATATATATATATATATATATATACATATATTTTTAATCAAGCGGTTTAAGAACTTTTAATAAAATAATACAATCGTAACTTAAAGGTAGCCGTGAACCAAGCTGAAAGTGTTTTTCTAAAAATAATTTGCCATATCAGTTTACCGAAAAATTTGAATTTGAATTTAAATAGTCGATCAGTTGCCGCCAAGTAAATCGATAAGTTCCCGCTATATAAGGTTGACAAATTAGCTACTTTCTAGCCAGATTTGAAGCTCAAATACAATATAGCTAGATAGACAACTCTGATCTGCACCTCTTGCACCGAAATTAATCTGCCTTCTGTGGTTTCTGTTCGCCTGGTACTTCAGATCCAGAAATTGACAATTTTGTACTGAATGACCAAATTGAAGACGTGTTTTTGCCTACAACAACAACAACTAATACAACAAGCACAACAACATCTCAATATACATCTCTTTTTCAATAACATTTTTCTACCCATCCTAGAAGAAAAAAACAAAACTTAATAATTCAATATTTATTAGTTTTCTGTTGTATAAAATTTCTCTTTGCCATTCAAAATGTTGGTTTAAAAAAACTAAGTATTTAGAAGGTAATGTGCATTTTCTCAGATAATACAATTACATAGCGATTTCAGTTTGTAATCTTGCTTCGAGCTCCGGTCTCTTATTGTTAGAGAACACACATGTATACACATAAAAAGACACAATTAATAAACACATTATTTATTCGCGGAAGAATTAAGAACGGGCTGCAGGTTAATGAAACACGAACATATTTGCCACAACTTTTGTACAAATATGTTGTTCATTTTACAAATAAGATACAAATACTTATGGATACTGTCTTGAGGGCGGCTAAGTTGGCTTTGCGGCTGAACTCTGAACTGCAGATAAAGCGCGCGTGCGCCTCTAAATTGCAACAATATTTATGTGGGCAGGGTTGACATTAATATGTTTCTTCTCCGTTTAACAATTTCTCTCTTATTTAACAAATTTATTGCCTAGAAATGCGTATTAAATATTTTTTAGTCTGCATAATTTCCCACGCCCTAGGCGGAGTCCTCCTCCACGACTTGCCTGACTGAAGGGTGTGAATAGCAGGGAATTGTAAGCATGTCCGAGTACCATTATCCTAATATTATCTCAACTAGGGTAACATTTCGTAGAGCATAGAGCGCAGCATTTAATTCGCATGTTATTACACCCATTCACGCCGCCAAGGAGAGACCCCGCTTAGTTGGGGGATATTAATATGGTTTATGGTTTATGTTGAAATTGAATTACGAGGACGCTGCAGAGCTACCTACCGCCGTCAGCCTTGGCCGCTCAGTGCTCGGCATTCGTTCAGTTCGATTCGGGCTTGACATTGCGCCGCAGAATGGCCGCGGCCAGGTCCTGCTTCATGGCCGCCTGCTGCCGTTGGTCGGCCAGCGACTGCGTACTCCGCAGTCCGTTCACGATATCCTTGGTCTTGCCAAAGTAGATCTCGTTGAGCGTATTCCGGATCTTGTTCTCCATTTCCTCGACCATCTTGCCAATGTTGGCAATATGCGGCGACGACTCACTGACATTGGCGTCCTGCTCCGTTTGGCGCGTCAGGGAACCACCCAGGTTCATCGTTCCGGAGCCCTGTTTGTTCGTCTGCAGCCACAACATTGCTGTGGAGGTCAGCTTATAGTGCGCCGTCCGGCCAGTGGTCTTCTCCTGCACCTCCACCACATGGATGGAGTCCCAGCAGCCGCGGATCATCTTGCTGCCATCGCCGGCCTTCTTGATCAGTATCACAGCGGCAAATCCGTGATCCAAGTCCCACAGATACACTGACGAGACGCCGCCCTCGAAGTACATATCCCGGTATTGGTCAAAGGCATAGTTTGCCTCAATCTCCAATTTGCGTAGCCGCTCCGACGGCATCTGTCCATCCTCCAGCGGCGGGTAGTAGGTGTTCGACCAGGGCGATCGATAGGAGTCACCGTCGCGGTTGTAGTCGCACAGCAGATAGTCCTTGCCATGCTCCTTGTCTTTGGCAATCTTCAGCGGTTGATCCACGGACGAGAGCAGGTCCTCGCAGAGATCCGGCGCCAAATCGATCAGATCGATGAGGTTTTTCTCGATCTGCTGAGGCGGCAGGCGTCGCATCAGGTCCAACGCGCAGTCCATTTGCATTTCCGACTGCGAAAATGGGAACGAGGAAGGGAAAGAGAAACTTAATTGATTTCGTGTAGAAACTTGAGTCACTTAAGCGGAGATAAGAGCCCCCAAACACCAATGGTCCCCTTTGTGGGAGACAAGAGAGAGCAAGGGGGACGGAGGGAGTGCGACCGGTATTGCCATATATGGGCATTGTTTTAGGCCCATCTTCCCTTTCCCCTTTTCCCAACAAAAATCCCTGAATTGTATTACTAAGCTCTCTACTTTTCACTTAATCATGGGGCGGCGGCTCCTGGCAGGTCTCATCACCGTTTGTTGGCCTTTTTCTAAACTATTACTCACCATTTTAATTCTTTTTCGGGCCTTTGTTTCGCTTGGAAATTCGGCTTTTGGCTTTCAGTTCTAGGTAAACTGTAATGGGGAGCGGGGTACAGTCTTATCTCTAACTTCAATTTTCGTATTATTCGGTTTGTTTATTGCCGGGAATTGCACTAAATTGACTTTTAATTTTATATTTATTTTATTTTTTTCAACCTAAATACAGTGAGACCGTTTGCTTTTAGAGGTGCGCAAAACATCGATGTATCGATGTTTTTGGAATTCTCTAAATAATCGATGTTTTTTGAAGTATCAATGTTTCTAATCTGTCACTAAAAAGAGTTCTGTCTGCACTTAATAACTTACGGAATGTACTCTTAAAACCTTAAGTTCATCTGTGCTTTTCTGTTAAATATTCTTTCTTTTCAAAGCACCAATTTTCTGTAAACGAAATGTCAATGCAACAGTGCTGCCAATTCTTTAGGGCACTGCTTTGCTTGCAAGCATTTGGTAAATTCAGAGCTCTGTTAATTAACTGTTAAGTGAGAATACCTTGTTTGCAAGCAGTGCGAAATGTCGGTTTAAATCTTTTCATTAACGGTTTTTAAGAACCTTGAAGTTGTCAGCTATATGGTATTTTAACTTTTCATAATACCCTGCAGGGTTTATAATATTAGTCAGAAGTTTGTAACGTTCATTTCCGTCTTTTCCGACCCCGAAAATCATATATATCATTGATAAGCATTTTAGATTACCAATTTTTTTTCTATTTTTACGCAACTTTTTGCTAAATATCAAATTTTAAATTCATAACAAAGCCAAAAATGCGTCCATTTTAATTCGGAAAGCTGTCCCGTGCTGGTTTTTATCACGTTAACAAATCTGCATACTCAGTGTAAAATTTTAGCGATCTTAAATTACTGAAATTATAATCCCATTCTTTGAGTAGGTATTTATTTATATTTTTATGCCAATTTTTCCTAAAAATCAAATGGAAAAAATCGCATAACTAAGTTTAAAATGCTTTAATTTCAATTCGGAGCTGTCCTATGCTAGTTTTTATTAGGTTTATAAATCTGCATACTCAATTTAAAATTTTAGAAAATTGAATTTTTTGCCAATTTTTGGCAATTTTAATGATGTAACCCCTTATCGTTTTTTGCAAAAATGGGAAAAATTTTAAAAATGTCGATTTCTTTAAGACATACCTAGATCGACTCAGCTGTTGATGCTGATCAATAATATATATGATTTATAGGGTCGGAAATGATTCCTTCACCGCTTTATAAGCTTCGGAGTAAAATTATAATACCATATTTGATCTATTTTTACGCCATTTTTTGCTAAATATCAAATTTTAAAAAATGCATAACAAATCCAAAAATGCGTTAATTTTAATTCGGAAAGCTGCCCCGTGCTGGTTTTTATCAAGTTAACAAATCTGCATACTCAGTGTAAAATTTTAGCGCTCTTAAATTACTGAAATTATAATCCCATTCTTTGAGTAGGAATTTATTTATATTTTTATGCCAATTTTTCCTAAAAATCAAATGGAAAAAATCGAATAACTAAGTTTAAAATGCTTTAATTTCAATTCGGAAAGCTGTCCTATGCTAGTTTTTGTTAGGTTTATAAATCTGCATACTCAATTTAAAATTTTAGAAAATTGAATTTTTTGCCAATTTTTGGCAATTTTAATGATGTAACCCCTTATCGTTTTTTGCAAAAATGGGAAAAATTTTAAAAATGTCGATTTCTTTAAGACATACCTAGATCGACTCAGCTGTTGATGCTGATCAATAATATATATGATTTATAGGGTCGGAAATGATTCCTTCACCGCTTTATAAGCTTCGGAGTAAAATTATAATACCATATTTTATCTATTTTTACGCCAATTTTTGCTAAATATCAAATTTTAAAAAATTCATAACAAATCCAAAAATTCGTTAATTTTAATTCGGAAAGCTGTCCCGTGCTGGTTTTTATCACGTTAACAAATCTGCATACTCAGTGTAAAATTTTAGCGATTTTAAATTACTGAAATTATAATCCCATTCTTTGAGTAGGTATTTATTTATATTTTTATGCCAATTTTTCCTAAAAATCAAATGGAAAAAATCGCATAACTAAGTTTAAAATGCTTTAATTTCAATTCGGAAAGCTGTCCTATGCTAGTTTTTATTAGGTTTATAAATCTGCATACTCAATTTAAAATTTTAGAAAATTGAATTTTTTGCCAATTTTTGGCAATTTTAATGATGTAACCCCTTATCGTTTTTTGCAAAAATGGGAAAAATTTTAAAAATGTCGATTTCTTAAAGACATACCTAGATCGACTCAGCTGTTGATGCTGATCAATAATATATATGATTTATAGGGTCGGAAATGATTCCTTCACCGCTTTATAAGCTTCGGAGTAAAATTATAATACCATATTTTATCTATTTTTACGCCAATTTTTGCTAAATATCAAATTTTAAAAAATTCATAACAAATCCAAAAATGCGTTAATTTTAATTCGGAAAGCTGTCCCGTGCTGGTTTTTATCACGTTAACAAATCTGCATACTCAGTGTAAAATTTTAGCGATTTTAAATTACTGAAATTATAATCCCATTCTTTGAGTAGGTATTTATTTATATTTTTATGCCAATTTTTCCTAAAAATCAAATGGAAAAAATCGCATAACTAAGTTTAAAATGCTTTAATTTCAATTCGGAAAGCTGTCCTATGCTAGTTTTTATTAGGTTTATAAATCTGCATACTCAATTTAAAATTTTAGAAAATTGAATTTTTTGCCAATTTTTGGCAATTTTAATGATGTAACCCCTTATCGTTTTTTGCAAAAATGGGAAAAATTTTAAAAATGTCGATTTCTTTAAGACATACCTAGATCGACTCAGCTGTTGATGCTGATCAATAATATATATGATTTATAGGGTCGGAAATGATTCCTTCACCGCTTTATAAGCTTCGGAGTAAAATTATAATACCATATTTTATCTATTTTTACGCCAATTTTTGTTAAATATCAAATTTTAAAAAATTCATAACAAATCCAAAAATGCGTTAATTTTAATTCGGAAAGCTGTCCCGTGCTGGTTTTTATCACGTTAACAAATCTGCATACTCAGTGTAAAATTTTAGCGATCTTAAATTACTGAAATTATAATCCCATTCTTTGAGTAGGTATTTATTTATATTTTTATGCCAATTTTTCCTAAAAATCAAATGGAAAAAATCGCATAACTAAGTTTAAAATGCTTTAATTTCAATTCGGAAAGCTGTCCTATGCTAGTTTTTATTAGGTTTATAAATCTGCATACTCAATTTAAAATTTTAGAAAATTGAATTTTTTGCCAATTTTTGGCAATTTTAATGATGTAACCCCTTATCGTTTTTTGCAAAAATGGGAAAAATTTTAAAAATGTCGATTTCTTTAAGACATACCTAGATCGACTCAGCTGTTGATGCTGATCAATAATATATATGATTTATAGGGTCGGAAATGATTCCTTCACCGCTTTATAAGCTTCGGAGTAAAATTATAATACCATATTTTATCTATTTTTACGCCAATTTTTGCTAAATATCAAATTTTAAAAAATTCATAACAAATCCAAAAATGCGTTAATTTTAATTCGGAAAGCTGTCCCGTGCTGGTTTTTATCACGTTAACAAATCTGCATACTCAGTGTAAAATTTTAGCGATTTTAAATTACTGAAATTATAATCCCATTCTTTGAGTAGGTATTTATTTATATTTTTATGCCAATTTTTCCTAAAAATCAAATGGAAAAAATCGCATAACTAAGTTTAAAATGCTTTAATTTCAATTCGGAAAGCTGTCCTATGCTAGTTTTTATTAGGTTTATAAATCTGCATACTCAATTTAAAATTTTAGAAAATTGAATTTTTTGCCAATTTTTGGCAATTTTAATGATGTAACCCCTTATCGTTTTTTGCAAAAATGGGAAAAATTTTAAAAATGTCGATTTCTTTAAGACATACCTAGATCGACTCAGCTGTTGATGCTGATCAATAATATATATGATTTATAGGGTCGGAAATGATTCCTTCACCGCTTTATAAGCTTCGGAGTAAAATTATAATACCATATTTTATCTATTTTTACGCCAATTTTTGCTAAATATCAAATTTTAAAAAATTCATAACAAATCCAAAAATGCGTTAATTTTAATTCGGAAAGCTGTCCCGTGCTGGTTTTTATCACGTTAACAAATCTGCATACTCAGTGTAAAATTTTAGCGATCTTAAATTACTGAAATTATAATCCCATTCTTTGAGTAGGTATTTATTTATATTTTTATGCCAATTTTCCTAAAAATCAAATGGAAAAAATCGCATAACTAAGTTAAAAATGCTTTCATTTCAATTCGGAAAGCTGTCCTATGCTAGTTTTTATTAGGTTTATAAATCTGCATACTCAATTTAAAATTTTAGAAAATTGAATTTTTTGCCAATTTTTGGCAATTTTAATGATGTAACCCCTTATCGTTTTTTGCAAAAATGGGAAAAATTTTAAAAATGTCGATTTCTTTAAGACATACCTAGATCGACTCAGCTGTTGATGCTGATCAATAATATATATGATTTATAGGGTCGGAAATGATTCCTTCACCGCTTTATAAGCTTCGGAGTAAAATTATAATACCATATTTTATCTATTTTTACGCCAATTTTTGCTAAATATCAAATTTTAAAAAATTCATAACAAATCCAAAAATGCGTTAATTTTAATTCGGAAAGCTGTCCCGTGCTGGTTTTTATCACGTTAACAAATCTGCATACTCAGTGTAAAATTTTAGCGATTTTAAATTACTGAAATTATAATCCCATTCTTTGAGTAGGTATTTATTTATATTTTTATGCCAATTTTTCCTAAAAATCAAATGGAAAAAATCGCATAACTAAGTTTAAAATGCTTTAATTTCAATTCGGAAAGCTGTCCTATGCTAGTTTTTATTAGGTTTATAAATCTGCATACTCAATTTAAAATTTTAGAAAATTGAATTTTTTGCCAATTTTTGGCAATTTTAATGATGTAACCCCTTATCGTTTTTTGCAAAAATGGGAAAAATTTTAAAAATGTCGATTTCTTAAAGACATACCTAGATCGACTCAGCTGTTGATGCTGATCAATAATATATATGATTTATAGGGTCGGAAATGATTCCTTCACCGCTTTATAAGCTTCGGAGTAAAATTATAATACCATATTTTATCTATTTTTA